ATCAATAGCAAGTTAATTCAATTTTGGAAGCTCCGACAGATTAGTTTGCGAAACGTTATTTTGTTTTAAGTAAACTTCTAGGAGATGGAGGAGAAGGAGCTGTTTATTAAGCAAGATCAGTAAATGAAACAATTTACTCTACAGATGTTGCTTTGAAAATGTAATAAAAGATGAAAGAAGGTGAACTCAAATTTATTGATTTTTTGATTGATTACTAGAAAAATACAGAATAAAGTGCATTTCAAAAAAGCAATTTGATTAGAGTTTATGAAAGGTTTGAATATTAATAGTAATAAGTATTGATTATGGAACTTGGAGGAAAAGATATGAATTCTGTTTTAAAAAAAAGTCAACTAACATAATTATAAAAAGAATAAATATGTTTATAAGTAATAATTTGATATTAGATCTTAGATTGCTTAATCAATTGCATTTCTTCATAAATACCAAATTATTCATAGAGATATTAAACCTGAAAACTTTATATAAGTAGGTTCCATTTTCAAATTAATAGATTTTGGTTTAGTAAAACAAAGAGAACAAAATTTAAGATAGACAAAAATGGTAGGATCCCCACAGTATTAAGCTCCAGAGATAATCAATGGATCAGATGATTATACAGCTTCTGTTGACATTTGGTCTTTAGGATGTCTATTTTTTGAAATATTCAAAGAATCACCATTATTTAATGGTATTCATTTTATTCTATATTAAGGTTTATCTATAAGGGAAGTATAATAATCAATTTTTAATTATTGCAGAAATTAACAATAAGTACAATTTTAAATTCAATAATTACCAATCAGAGAAGAATTAAAAAATTTACTTTCATTAATGATTGATCCAATACCTCACAAAAGACCTAATATCGATTATGTCCAAAAACAATTCTAACTCAAATTCTAATCTAAAATACAATACTTCTAGAGAAGTAGTCCCTGTAAATGATTATATCATTATTTATATTTAGAAATTATTTTTTGAAGAGTTAAAGTATAAATTTATAATTGCATACAATTCAATTCATTAAACAATAAAAAAAAAGGATAATTTTAAATTTCCTTAAAGATAAGCAAGTCGATCTGGGTTGGAAATTATATCTTTTTAAATGTTTTAGACTTTTTAAATTTTTATAACAGCTAATCTGAGTTAAATAAGAGAAAACTGCTGATATAAGTTTAATAGCATTATATATTAAAATGATTGAGGATATAATTTTATATAATGTATTTAATTACTAAATCAAAATAATATGTAACCATTTTTCACAATTCGTTTTAATTGCAATATTTTTTCTATTTAATTAATTTTGATTTGAATCATAAATAAGTTTATTTTATTATTCCAGTATATGTTTGCAAACATATTCTGGGAGTAAAATTAAGAAGGAGGGTAAAAGGATTAATTACAAGTTTTAGGAGATTATCAATTAATTATGGCATAAAAGCAGTCAATAATAAGCCTTTTACTCAAACAAGGATTTGTCTATTTTAGATTAACCAAGTGTTATAGGATTCATCTATCATGAAATCTAAGCCAAATAGTTCAAATGTATTTTCTGTATTTTCTCTTTTAACTGACCTAAAAGCTCAGCAACAACTTTAAAATACTCTAAAGCAATATATTTCATTCTCTCATAAACTTGATTGAATTATTTCTAGTTGTAAAGTTGGTTTTAAGACCATACTGATTACTATATTTCCTATATTCTATTTTTAAAAATTGTTGAATTCTATAGTAAATCTTAAATTCTCCAAAAGATACCATATTCCTTTCTCAAAATTGACATAGTCTTCGGAACCTTTCATCATTTGTTAAATGTATCATTTTATTTGATAAATTGTTTCGATTGAATTCTTTTGAGGATGTCTGATGTAGCCATCTTAATACCAATATCCTTTCTATTGGCGATTAATCCCTGTAAAAGGTATGATTGAATATCAAATTTTCTTTAGTATATTATAAGGGATTGGTGATATATTGTTGACCAATGAAGGTTTTTTAAGATCCATCTTTTTGTTATTGACTTCCTTTTTAACAAAAATTCAGTTATTCAGTGAAATTTTCAATTAGGTAATTTTCCAATTCGAATTTANATAATCAATTTTTAATTATTGCAGAAATTAACAATAAGTACAATTTTAAATTCAATAATTACCAATCAGAGAAGAATTAAAAAATTTACTTTCATTAATGATTGATCCAATACCTCACAAAAGACCTAATATCGATTATGTCCAAAAACAATTCTAACTCAAATTCTAATCTAAAATACAATACTTCTAGAGAAGTAGTCCCTGTAAATGATTATATCATTATTTATATTTAGAAATTATTTTTTGAAGAGTTAAAGTATAAATTTATAATTGCATACAATTCAATTCATTAAACAATAAAAAAAAAGGATAATTTTAAATTTCCTTAAAGATAAGCAAGTCGATCTGGGTTGGAAATTATATCTTTTTAAATGTTTTAGACTTTTTAAATTTTTATAACAGCTAATCTGAGTTAAATAAGAGAAAACTGCTGATATAAGTTTAATAGCATTATATATTAAAATGATTGAGGATATAATTTTATATAATGTATTTAATTACTAAATCAAAATAATATGTAACCATTTTTCACAATTCGTTTTAATTGCAATATTTTTTCTATTTAATTAATTTTGATTTGAATCATAAATAAGTTTATTTTATTATTCCAGTATATGTTTGCAAACATATTCTGGGAGTAAAATTAAGAAGGAGGGTAAAAGGATTAATTACAAGTTTTAGGAGATTATCAATTAATTATGGCATAAAAGCAGTCAATAATAAGCCTTTTACTCAAACAAGGATTTGTCTATTTTAGATTAACCAAGTGTTATAGGATTCATCTATCATGAAATCTAAGCCAAATAGTTCAAATGTATTTTCTGTATTTTCTCTTTTAACTGACCTAAAAGCTCAGCAACAACTTTAAAATACTCTAAAGCAATATATTTCATTCTCTCATAAACTTGATTGAATTATTTCTAGTTGTAAAGTTGGTTTTAAGACCATACTGATTACTATATTTCCTATATTCTATTTTTAAAAATTGTTGAATTCTATAGTAAATCTTAAATTCTCCAAAAGATACCATATTCCTTTCTCAAAATTGACATAGTCTTCGGAACCTTTCATCATTTGTTAAATGTATCATTTTATTTGATAAATTGTTTCGATTGAATTCTTTTGAGGATGTCTGATGTAGCCATCTTAATACCAATATCCTTTCTATTGGCGATTAATCCCTGTAAAAGGTATGATTGAATATCAAATTTTCTTTAGTATATTATAAGGGATTGGTGATATATTGTTGACCAATGAAGGTTTTTTAAGATCCATCTTTTTGTTATTGACTTCCTTTTTAACAAAAATTCAGTTATTCAGTGAAATTTTCAATTAGGTAATTTTCCAATTCGAATTTATTATTAATGTGATAATTTAAAGAAAGGAACTCATTTTTGGAATTTTATTCACAATACATTTGTCATCTTGGGGAATAAATTCTTTTTGGAATCCAAATGAGTATTAATGTAGATATGATTATGCAATGAAGTTGATGTTGTTATCTCATATATTCGAACATTATTGCAAAGCTGCACACATTGCTCTTAATTTAATAATTTAATTAAGTTTCCAATTTGCTTATTATAAATTCATTTAGCTAGCGAACTTTCATAGTCAGCAATTTTGCATAAGGATCAGAATCAATAGAAAAATCTTCGACATCCTATTGAAAAAATAAGATTTTAATTATTGCCTAGTTATTCTGAACATGCCATTTTAATTGTATAATTGACATTTCGTAATAATTCCGATAAAAAGTTAACAATTTATAAGTAATACTCCAATACAAACCACTACTACCTTTATTTAATTAGTGTTTTTGCTAATTATCCATTATTGCTTTTTGATATGTAAGCCTTAGAATAATTAACAGTTGATTTTATGAATATTCCATCAGATGTATTGAAATAATTGTTATATTATCTCATATTCGCATATTTCTCTTGGAATTCTGATTGTTAACAATATTTTTCTCCTTCAAGGTATATTTCATCAAATTTGGGTTATTTTTTTTGAGCTTTACATCTACTTTAAAATATTAGATAGAATCTAAGGCTAATATGACATCTATGGGTTTAATACTCTCTTCCCTTCTTTCAATCTATTTAAATGTATTCATTCCAAATTAAAATGTAAGAATCATCAGTTTTCTCTTATGATTCGCTATTTGCTATTGGTTTTTATTTTTATGTAATATAGATTCTGTAGATGTATTTAAATATTTTTCAGTTCTTCAATCCATAAGTTTTCAATTCCACTTGAAATTTTAATTTTGGAAACCTTGACTCTGACCTTGATTTCACAAAGTCCTAAAATCCTAAAGAAATGAGTTTTTCTCATTTAATTTTCAACTGCTTAATAATGTATAATAAATAAAAATGAATTAAAATTAGGAGAAAAAAAACGAAAAGAAAGCTCCCTTTATAATTACAGCACCAAAACAGTAATGTTCATAACAAAAATAGAGTGATCTCTTCTGCTTATCTACACATTAGTGATTTTGAAGAAAAACCTAGATTCATCGTAGATGAGAATGGTAATAAAGTATTTTAAAAACTGAATCCTCCTCCTGAAAAATCTAATGTGAAAGCAGGAAATACAGAACTTTTAATAAGAAAGATTCCCTATGAGGATGATCCATATGAAAGAAAGGAGTGCATTGCCAGATATGAACAATTGTAAAATAAAGTTAAAATACCATGTCCTTTTAAGTGTCCAAGGAATCATAAAATCAAGGAGAAGGAAGTTCTTAAGGAGAAAACTGATGAATATGGCAGAAAAGTTATTAAAAGAAGTTTATCAAGATTACTGAGTGCAACGAAAAGCAAAGAATAAACTGAGAAGCTTAATAAATTAATGGTAAAAGCTGACACATTGTTTAGGTCAAGAAAAATTGTAAACACTGATAAATAATCATTAAATGTTTATGGCTTCGATAAAGGTGTGTTTGTAAATGTTGATAAATGGAAAAATGTGTTAAATACTTTGGAGAAAAAAGAAGAGGAAGAATTGTAGAAATCAAAATTATCGTTTCAAAAATAGAGGAAAGAGTTGAAACAATAGCATATTTTAGAATCTACTTTAAAGAAAAAAGAGAAAGAAGTAAAAGAGTAAAAAGACAAAGAAATCAAAGAATAAAGAGAATTGAAAAATAAATCAATCAAAGAGTAGAAGATTTAAAAAGAATTAAAATATAAAGAATTGCATGAATAAAAAGATTAAAAATTTAGAAATTATGAATAATTGTAAAATACATCTAAAATATCAGAAGATCCAAGAATAGATTTAACTCCAAAAAATAAATCAATCCTTTCACATCATTAAGAAAGTACAAAAATGTTTAAACCTACTACTCCATCCTCATTTTAAAGAAAATATAATTAATAAGATCTTAAAAATTAATCTTTTCATTCCATGTCGGGTTCATAAGAGATCAATAAGTAAACCACTTTGGACAAATCTAATTAGGTTTAACATTAGGTGATTTCAAAATAAAAATCAACTGTCTAAACACCAAAAAGCGACTCTTCTATACTAAAACAAGTATAATAAATTGAAGTGAAAAGTGTAAAATCTAATTAGTAGAGTTAAAAAACGGATAAAGTCAAAATGAAAAATAGTATAATAAATTAAACGTAATAAAATTAATCTTAGAAATCGTATAGTTAGAGACTAAAATCAGAAGAAGAGAGAAAATCAAATTATTATTCAGAAGAAAGAAAAATATAAGATAAAGATGAAAGAAGTAGATATTCAGAAGAAAGGAAATCAGATAGATAAAAGTCTAAAGCCAAAAATTAGGAGACAAATCAAAGAATCATAATGAAACCCTAAAATTTCAAAAGAGCTGGTAGTTTTAAAAATCCAAATATCCCAAAATAAGAAAATTAATAACAACCAAAATTAAGAGCTTCATCATCAGGAAAAAGAGTTTAAGAAGAAAAGCCACTAAATCTGAATAAAATAACACTCCCTAAAAAATTGGTTGCATCAAATGATAAATTAGATAAAGGTGATTTATTTAAAGTAATGGAATCTGAAAAGAAATATCTACAGGAATAATAGATAAATGAGGTTAATAAAAATCAATCAAGTTTAAATAATTTCACAGAATAGCATTCTGATAAAATGAATCATCACGCAGTGAATAATGATGATAAACTAAATGAGGATTCGCAAATTGGCAAGGAAATTAGTTAGGATCTTCTTATCAATAAAATAGTTATTTTATCTGAGAATTCTCATAGCAATCAAATAGATACACTTAAAGAGGATCTAAATATTATATAAAATAATAACCCAAATGAAAATTTATCTATTCATATAGATGTTAAAAAGGATCGACAGATTATGGATGATAAAATAGTTGAGAATCCACAAATTATTAAGGAGGATCAAAAAAGTTAAGATCTTTCTAATAACAAGCTAGATCGAATAGATGAAGATTCTAATAGCAATAAAAATGATAAACCACTTTAAGACCAAGTCATAATGTAAATTGATAAACAAAATGAAAGTAAACTTAGCAATAATGATAATGCAATAAATGATGAGGTAATTGGTTCAAAAGACATTGATCAAAATATGGAATTTATTGAATAGCCTGTCAATCAAGGTCTATTGAATATAAATGTAATAGTAATATTAAATAAAGGATCCTCACAAGAATGAAAAGGAGAAAGAACAAAATATGGTTGGATCTGGAAAATAAATCAGTATAATGTAAAACTCAACGCCAATGTAGTTGTAATATTAGAAGGGAGTTTCTTAAATTCAATCAACAAATTCATTGTTAATAAAATAAGAATCCAATTTTTTGAAGGATTCTTTATTGACTGAAAGTCTAGCAGAATCACAGTTTAAGGAAACTAAGGGATTAGACAAATAATTATTAAGTTCTTAATTAAATGAACAAGACTCAATAAACTTATCGGAATCATAAGTAACTCTAAAATCAGCAATATAATAGAGTTAGCTCTGGTAAAAATTATAGTGAATTATATAATTTAGATGAACTGAATTTCATTTTTTTTTACCTCTTTTTCTTTTGTATTATTCTTTAATATTAAATGACTCATCCTCTGAATCATCTTTCTCGTCTTCTTAGTCATTCTCTTTTTCATCTTCTTAGTTATCATCAATGTTGTCTTCTACTTTTTATTTGTTCAATAATGAATCTTCAGAGATATCCTAATCCTCATCTAGAGCTTCTTCTGAATCAGATACTTTATCATTCTTAGCGGAGATTTCTTCGTCGGATGCATTCCTTTTAATTCTTTTCCTTGTATTTTTTTTCCCTTTTTGATTTTTCAGTAATTCTAATACAATAAAATGAGAGGAAATACATTCAACATCATTTTCATTGGCTTCATCTCCTGTATCATCATATTCATCTTACATTCTATTTGGATACGGTGTAATAGCTTTAGTTTTTAATTTATGAAGCCACTCATGATAAATATCAATAGGTTCATCTAATGATCGAACTTTCATATCGAATTTGGTTTCACATCTTTCGCATTCCAACTTAGCAGTTTTGTAGCCTTTCTTGCTAGAGTAAATTGATAAAATTAAGAATACATTTTAATAATGATGCAATCTTTCCATCCACAAACAGCACAATCAAAATATGCTCTCGGTTTCATTGGTTTAGGTTTTTTGAGGATTTTAAAGGTTCTCTTTCTTCCTCCCATGAAATATTAATATTGGTAATTCTTTCTAATTCAAGATAGCTATCATATCAAATAATATAGTACTTTTTTGTTTGAACTTCAAAGTAGTAATTTGAGTTCATAAGAATATTGATAATTCAAATTAATTTTTAACGAATGTATTATCCAACTTGTTAACTATATTAATCTTGTCACATCCCTTTAAGTTAAAGTGTGACCTAATAATAATGCTTGGTCTAAACAACTTAACCCGATATTAACGGAGCAATCATAAATGAAAGAGAATAATTGAGAATGTAATTAATGGAATTGGAAGACCGATATCACATTGACATAGAAGAATTAAAAGTCAATCTCCTATCTGAAAGTGAAAGGATTCTAGTACAATCTTATTTTAGTTTTATAGTAAAAATCTTTAAATGAATTGGTTTAATAATATGAACCTTAAATTCACTAAAAAGATTCTCAAATTAATGTATTAACACAAAAATTGCATGCAGCCGAAACCACATTATAATAAGTCTAAGCTGAAAATTCAAAATTAAAAGAAATTGTATTTAAAAAAAAGGATAAAATCAAGTATTATAAACAAGAAATGGAAAATTAAAATAATTTTCACATTCAGAAACTAAACGAATAAGAATAATTTTGGAGAGAAAGATTGAATAAAGAATTAGTATTATTTATTTCATTGCGTTTAGAATTAATAAAAATTGCTATTTCTCTAAGAATTCTAATTTGAAAAGAAATCATTAGAAGATTAAATTTATAAATTGAAGTCTTAATTGGCTCAATTCGATGAAAAATATCAACAAATTTTATTTGAATTAGAAGTATGATGCCTTTAATAAACATTATAGAAAATCAAATAATAATTATAAGAGAAGACCCATGAATGTGAAGAATGGAAAACTAAATGTAGAAGATTGGAACATATTGAGTCAATCAAACCATAAACCCTATAACATTCTCCATCTAGAGATAGAGTATTGGAAGCAAAAATTGAATAATTAGAAAGAGAAATTAGAGTAAAGGATGCCAAATTGGCGAAAAAGAAGGAAAAAGTACAGACAGTTATTCAACATGTACCTTAATAAGTCATTGTTGAAAAACCTATTGAAAGAATAATAGAAATTGAAAAGATTGTCCCAGTAGAAAGAATCATTAGAGAAAGAGTACCTGCAAGATAGCCTATTGTTGTTTAACAAAATGTTTAAAAGAAAGTAGAAAGTGAATCTGAAGATGAAGAATTAATAGAAGAAATCAGAGTTTTGAAGAGGAAGATTGTAGAATTACAATAAGTAATTGCTAATCTTAAGGTTTAACTGGATGATTCACTAAATGAAAAAGATGATTTGTATCAATTTACTTCTAAGTAGACAACATAATTATGAAATCTTGTTGGCCAAGGTGAAACAACTAGAAGATTTATTGCGTAGTAGGAACAGGGAATTGTAAGATAAAGTCATTTCCCTATAGAATGTCAAAAAAGAAGAAGATAAAATTATTGTCCATGTAAACTAAGGTAAAAATAAAACAAGTCATGTCGTCAAAAGGTGATGAATATATATTAACAACTAAAATATTTATTAATCGATTTAAACATGTTATTTCATTTTTGAATAAACCCTTCTCTTATAAATCTAGCCCTGATATTCTTCTAATTATTTAAAACTTCATTTGAGTAATATCTATGAATATATTTTAATGTTTATTTGTAATTTAGTTTTAGTTTCTTGACTAAGATGAGTTCAATAAAGAATGCATAACAAATAGATGTAAAAAAAAACATTAAACATCTATTATTGTTAAGATATAGAATACATTGAAAGAATATCTAGAAACATTTCATTATCTGCATAGAGAAAGTACTATTCACACCAAAGATTTAGTATGAGTTGTTCAATTTGATAAGCATTTTTTTGCACCTAAAGTAGATTTATGAATTACTTCGCTGAATTCAAATAGAGCACTTAAGGTTGGCTAATCATATCTAGTATCATGAGGATTTAGGAGAGATATTGCAATTTAACTTAGTAATAAATGATATTGATTTAATCCTCTAGTGAATGCACCACTTAATTTATGCTGACAGGAATCATAATCATCAACTCCTGTATTTGGCATTATTTCTATAATATTTAAATCAAATTTAACCTAAAAGAAGTTCACAATAATTTCCATACAACATTTAGAATACTTAATCAATATTTGTCTCATAAATTTGATCTGATTCATCTTGTATTTAATTAATAAATTTCTAAACATTTTTCTTGATATCTTCAATAGCTGTATTAGAGTTGTCTATGTAATCATAAATGTAGAGCTCTTTTATGCTCACCATTGCATAGAGATGTTTTTAATACTTGACAAATTAATTTTCATTGAATATACTCAGAGCTCCATTTTAAAAGGATTGGAGAAATAGTAGATAATAGAAAACAAATGAGGTAATAATGATGATAAATATTAGATAATAGAGTAAAAATACGATCTATGATTATAATTAATTTTTACTTTAATTTTAAACCACTGATCTGATTCAATATATGAATTAGCCTTATTATTAATTTAAACGCTTAATTCTTTATTATCATACTTAGTCATTTATTCACAATATGATGTTTGAGTGGTTTTAGAGTTTAAAAACTTCATAGTTTCCAAATCAATCAGGAATTTTAATTGCAATTTCAACCATGCTACATATTAAATTGATGTAGTAATCTATGCTTTTGATAGTAAATGCAGAGATTTGATAATGGTCTAATTAAGATACAGAATTACCTTATTTTTATTAATAACTTTGATAATTTAAAATTCATTCGCTATGACAAAGAAGAAAGTTAAACAAATAGTAATCACAATCTCGAAAATTGCAAATTGTTGATATTCAAGTAATCTATTCATTTAATTATTATATTGTTGTGAATAACTAATAAGCAAACCTGTCTGAACTTTTGGAATTATAATAGCTCTCAATTCATCCAACATATTGAATTAAGGATTTATGAATTTCCATTCGGATTTATTCCATTCGTTTAATATAGTCATATATTAAGCTATTAAGTCATTTATGGGATTTTCAAGCATTTAATAACCTAAAAAGATTTCGACAAATTTCTTGGCACTGAGAGATTGATTGATAAATTAGGTTGATTACTAGAGAATCTCCTAACTTTTTTACAAATATTAGAGTGTTTCAATATCTGTCATGTTTTGTTTATCAAATAAATAAAGATCTAAAGCGTATTCATATGTCTGGATCATACATAAGGACAATTTTGAAATAAGTTGCAGTTATTAAATCTCTATTATTATGAAAAGTTACTTCAGAGTATATCTATACATGCTAAGTTAAAGAGGGACCTTTAAAAAAACCTATAGCTGCTAATAAGTATAGAGTGATGATCATTATTCTATTAAAGAATATAAAAAAAGTTATTTCCTTTATCTTCTTAGCTACTTTATTGTTATCTTATTTGAAAAAAATATTATTTTCAAGTTTGAGTACTACTTCAGTTGGATGATATTAGACAAATTCAGGAAAGACTTAACCTTCAGTGAGGAAAGATTTGTTTTAATCTATTCTATTTGAATCGACTTCAGAGTTGTTGACTTATGAAATGATAATTTATATGTACCTTATTGATGAACACCGAAAATTCTTGGGTCCATATACATTTCTATCAATGAAGGCCTAGATTGCTTGATACGAGACTCTGATAGAATATTCATTGTCTATGTTAAATGTATGTATATATTACTTCTCTGAATTATCTTTGATGATATTCAAAAATCTCATATTTATTAATTTTAATAATTGTATATTTATCCATAGATATAGTTTTAGTAAAATGAATTGTGGCATCTAATTTAATAATTTTATCAAGCAATCTATTTTATGAACAGTATTTTTCAAATAGATCTCTTAAATTGTCAAACATTTATTTCAACTGTATTTAATTGAAATCAAATAATCTACGAAATAGTACTAGTTTATTTATTCTTAATTTATCTTCTGCATTTCTGTAGATTAATCTATTCTTCTTATTGTATAGAGTTTATAAATCAGAATGTTATATTGCATCCTATAATGTAGCTGCTTTCAAATATTCATATTCTTCATTTAGTTGACTTAACTTTTTTGGTAATCTAAGTGTTAATTTTACATGTTATTCATCTACTATTTTGAATAATCTTTTATTTGTATATGGGTTTTCAGAATTATAATATTCAATATTATCTTCACCAAAAAATGTAAAAGATTAATCATCATTTTCTAAAGTATTTTTATCATTATTATTTGTTTTTTAAGAATTTGTTACATAATTATTATTTATACTCTCATTAGAATTATAGTATCTTGATTGCGTCATATTTAATGATTTTGAATGTTATGTTAATTTGAATCTAGTTATATCATCTTAATCTAAATAATATCCAAATTTTGAAAATTGAAATAAACCTGTGCAGAGTAAAAGCAAGCAAGTTTTTTATTATAATATATTAAATAGAGGTCTAGTAACAGCATCAACCTCCCAATCACCATTCAAAATAATAAAATTGATCTACTCTAATCTTATTATAGGTCTGATCATAGCTACAAAATTAATTTAATTCTATTAATCTAGCTACCATTTTAAATACTTTCTTGCTTGTATTACATATCCTTTTGAATGTTTGATAAATATCTTACGACTTTTATGAAGAGTCTTGCTTTTTCCACAATACAATAATAGTTTAATGGCATTTTGATGATTTCTTTAGAGTACTTCTGGTATTAACTGAGAGATATATTTCAAATTCTCGAATTCCAATACCTCTTTGCAGGATTAACTACATTTAATTATCTGTCCATTAAGTAATGAGTGAATAATTAAACTCATGTGATTGAATGGTTTTGAATTGTTGAACTATTCATAGACTTTAATTTCATAATCACTATCAGAGTCTTCATTCACAATTTCTTAATGTAAGGTAGCTGAACTTAGACTCTCAATTTGAGTTAATCTGACTTTCTTGTTTAAGATGAATAATCGATACCTAAAATAATATTAAATTTAAAATACCAAAAATAAACAAATTTCCATTTTAATCTTTTGCTCAAAAATGAAATTATAACATCTTATTATTTCACTCTTACCTCATGTTTCATTAGATTTTTCCATAAATTATTACAATTGGTCATCTCTTTATCGATGTCCTTATTAATATCTATTTGAACCTATTCTACTTAAGGATTCTTGGTCAATCTCCTCCAAAATGAACAATATAAACTCAATAATTTCATTATTACTTAGTATATTTAAGAGATTGTTTCCTCCATTTCTACTACATATTCAAAGTCTAAAAAATTATGATATGCAAGGCTATTCAAATCATTAGCATTTTCATCAGCTATCGAAGCCATCAATGCTAACCTTAATCGCATATGAAGATTTGCCTTTTTACTCCAAATCCATTAAATTTATTCAAAAGCCTAAATCTTGTTTTTCATTTTGAAGTATAAGAATTAAGCATACAGAAATCTCAATTCTATATTTCTAGGTTAAGTTTAGATGAGAGTCTCGTAAAGTGATTTAATCATGAATTTAGTGAAACTAGATCTATGATTTCTTATTGCTTATATTGTTTTTCTGATATCCTTCTACAATTTAGAATCAAAAGCAATTTTCATTGTACAAAAGCATCTCATACCAAATTCTGTATATTAATTTCTGCATTTATTTGCTAGATGATGATAGATATGCCCAAAATAAATCAAATCACCAACATTATTTACAATTTAATTGTTTTTCTAAAATTCTGTGAATACTTAAACTTTGAGTTCCAACCTTCTTGCATCCTTCGACTCTTAGAAAAAGGCTCTTATTTACAGTGCTCTCAAAGAAGTTTTGAATATTGTCCATACAAGACCATAAATGACGATAATAGCAAATACTGGTTTGATTTGATGTTGGATATGTAAATAAAAAGCAAAGGAAAAGCAAAAATAAATTAGGATAGATTAAGTGAATAAAAATCTGATTTAAACTTGTTAATAATGTTAAAAGTTTAAATTATGAATCATTATCATAATTAATATTACGCTTGAGATCAAATTAAAATATACAATAAAACGCTATAATATAGAGAATTAATTATACTTAGCTCCATTCTATTTAACTAAATGTTATAAAGATCACATTCAAATATCTTATACAAATTAGTATTGTTATTGAATAACATTATTTTCTGGTTAGTGCATCTCTTTTCTTAACCCATTCATTGTAGTAAATTATACTATAAAAAATTGAAAATAACACAATGATTAATATTGAAGGAGTACTAAGAATTGCTAAAACAATAAATATGTTCTCATTTCCTTATGTCTCTTCTATTCCTTAAATAAAAGGGAAAATTGATAAAAATATTATCATCATTGGATAAAATCCTAGAAGTGCAAAAAAATCAAATGCATGAATGAAAACCTGGTTTTGATTAAAGTATATATCTTACTTGTCCATACCATTTTTTCACTATTTTAGTCTTAGGCTAAGAGCTCTTGAGTTAGCACAAAGACAGCAAAAAGACCAAAATAAAACCAATCAAAATTAGAAACAAAATTGAACTTGCGAACAATACTGGGTAAGGCTAATCAGTGTAAAAGTGTAAATTGCAGTATTGTAGAAACAATATGATTTATGAAATTTGGTCTTCTTTAATATTTTATTACGCCATTAATTTTTAATGCCTACTAATAAATGCTAATTCTACATAAAAAGGAGAGATAAGTAAAATAAAAATTGACCTCCCAAGATATAAAATATTCCTAAATAAAGAGAAACTCTTTTGGCTTTGAGTGATTAATTATACAACTGGAAAATGGCATAATTTAATAATAAATTATTTGGCATAAATAATAATAGTTTTAAAACGACAAAGAAAACTAAAATTATTTGAAACCTCAAATATGATAATAATATAATAAGAGCTGATCAAATTTCCTTTGTGTAAGCATTATATTCTAATAGCAATAAGAAGCCTAATTAGCACCTTGTAACCTCAAAGAAGCCTATTTATAGCACAGATTTGTATCTGATTACAAATCTCGGTTAAATGAGGTCTATATTTTGTGTAGTCCTAATTAAATTATAGATAATTCATAAATACTAAAAAATTGGCTTATGGATTATTATTGATGTAATAGGCAACACCAATTCAAACTAGGTCCTCAATAACTCTTCCACATTTAGTTTGGATGAAATTCACAGCTTCTAACAAAATTCATTTTACTCAAAGCTATGTTGAAATACTTATGTTGGTAGGAACTTTTGGAAATCATTCTTATTATAATCATAGAAACAAAGGATGACTTTTGAAGAAGTAATTATTTAGATCCTTCTCAATTTAAGATTCCAATACCTTCTTTAAATAATCTTTAAGTATAACTGCTTAACCTGCCATTACCTTTTCTGCAAATATCTAACCTAATTGATCTAGCGATATATTATTTAATTTAAGGAAGATTATCCTTTTATATACCCATCAAACATTCAATTATGTAGTCTACAATTTGAGGATACAAGCCAGTAGTATTAAATGTAAATGGCTGGAGTTATGGAGCAATTTGATAGGCCAAGATGATGATAAACTGGGTATGAACATTTGTTCCTCCGAAATCACCAATTAAGCAATCAACTTCTTAATGTGGCTAATGATGCTTAATTATTTGACATTTTCAATAAAATATATATATTTATAAAGGTAATTCATTTGTAGAATTTACTATTTGCATTTTTTAATAGTTTGTTTATGTTTTATTATAATCCTACTAGTTCTGAAATGTAACCATTGCTTAAGGATGTTATTTCTGTTGATTGAAGATCTGATAAATGATTAGAGATTTTGATAATTTCTGTTAAGGAAACTCGATCTGTTATTGGTTTGCTCTTTCGAGAGAAATCAATGATATCAGAACTGGATTTGAAGGAACCCATTAAGTCTCTTTTGGATGAGTGGGTCTTGTAGTTATCTTTTTCAGTTAAGGTTCCAAAAGCAGATGGATATATATTGCTTCTCTTGATATCATCTACTGGGTTGGATTGTTTTTAACTTGGAGAATAGATTGCATGAGTCAAACCCATTTTGATGGGAGACTCTTATTTAGGGAATTTGTTTTCCAAATGATTTTTCACATAAGATGTTGATGATCGTAAGGCTAATGCTTAGGAGGACAATTTCTAATCTGAGTTCTTAAAATTATACAGGAGATCACTCTTTTAAATGAATTTTTGATTTTCAAATCCTTGGACTCTTGATTATACTTTATCACGTATTCCTTTTTTGACATCACTCCAAGTTTGATAATCCAATCTTTATTGTATTTCTGTACATTTAGTAATTGGAATATCGAATTTGCAAGGAGAAGATCTAATCTATTGCAATAAAATGAAAATTATACAGGAGAATAGGTAGATCTCATTAACAGTTAAATTTATTATTAGTTTATTAAAGAGTCATTTTAGCACTTTAAAATAAAAAAATAAAATACAAAAACTTATCATACATTCTAGAGATCAAATAATTTAATAAAAATCCTGTTAAAATTTTGTTCTTAAGATAGGAGCTATTTTAAAATATCAAATTTAGATTGTGAAAATGACAACAAAAAAAATACACATTAACATTCTTCAAACTCAAAATGAATTACCAACATAAAGGAAATTAGAAACTGAAAAACATTCAAAATAGAGATATAACAGTTAATAAATTAGAGTATCAGCCTTCGATGATTATAGAGTTCAGAAAAAACATGATTGGTAAGATTATTACGAAAAACAATTATCAGAAATTAAATCTCTATATCCAAATGCAACTCATAATGAATTAACTTCGATAATTTCTAAAAAATGGAAAAAGGCAAAAAAAAATTTTAAATTTTTCGATTAATTAGCATAATAAATAAAAAAAGAGCATATTAACAAAGTGAGTGAATCAGTACTTAATAAAGATGATATTTTATAAAAGTTATAATTGAAGAAAGAATCAGATTAAATAATAGAGAAATTAAGATCAAGTTCAATAAAGTTGATTCTTAACAATTAGATTCATGAACTAAAAGGAGAAACTATACTAGATGCTATAAATCAAAATAGATTAATAATATATCTCAATCATCCAAAAGAAATTAAAAATACAAAACAGGAGGATACCTGTAAAAGTATGCGATAAACAAAAGATGATTCAGTATAGGATAAAGAATAAGAAGAGGATATTGATGACAATTTTTAATTGGTTAATAATATTAAGGATTATTTATGATGATTATAAAACAATTATTTGATTCTTCATTCAAAACGAGCACCAATTGCTTTTCTCTTCTTTTTGTTAGGCATCACTATATCTCCATTGACAACTCTCTTCTTAGGAGGCTCTTCCTTAACTTCTGACAATTATTAAAACACTTTTGGCACATCTTTGTCTTTAGATGCAATTGTTTATTATTTAACTAAAGCAATTTCTGATTCTTTTTGGTTTTTCAAGGCTATAAATTTATATCGCATTGATTCGTATAAATCCATAGTGAAATCTCTGGAGACCTCAATTGAGTCTTTGTCTTCTATGATGAGACCTCCCCCTAGATCCAACACGCTCTTAATGAAAACTCCTTGAGTAAGTTAAAATTCGAATAAGATTTGTAAATTTAAATTTTCAAGGGTCAACTAGTATTGATTGCTTTCCAAAGCTTATTGCATCATATCTAGAAATGAATTCAGTGTTCCTTTGATTTCACTTTTTGATCTCATTTCCTCTATGTGTTTTTCAAGAATCTAAAATAACCAAATTGTCTTGCCATCATAGACTCTAAGCAATATGGCTGGAGTAGTTATGGCATGTTCAAAAGTAAACAGAATTAGATATTTAGTCCTGGCTTTCTGATAAGAAGTGTAAAAATGATCTAATTTTAAGAATGCTTCTTTAATATTGCCTTACATTTTAATAAAAATAATAATATAATTCTAAATTATTTCGATCAACATAAGTTTAAGATCAATTGATTATTAGTATAGATTCTTCGCGTTACTCAAATTAATTCTAACCTTAATTAATTCATATAAACACTAATTATATTCAAAAGAACAAATGGGATAACTAGGTTCACAGTCCTATCTATGGGAAATCTCATAAAGATATTGCATATGATAAGCACATGAGATAAGCTTGAGTAATATTAAAAAAAAGCATCAAATTAATATGTGTATCAATAATTATCTATCAAAGACAGCCTCTTAATTGCCACAAAATAGAATATAAATTGCAAGAGGCAGCGAGATAATGTAATTAATTAAAAAAGAAGAACTAGCCGATTCGCAATCCAAATGCAATACATACATAAAACCCTCCATCATCAAAAAAAATTCATATCAAGTAACTAGATTTGATTAGTTACAAGTGGATTTGTAGAAGAGCGTTGAAAATTTTCATTAACATCCAAAAATCCCAATAATAAATCAAATTGGTAAATTTTATATATTTTGATTGATTTCTGATTTATTTCCTTTCGCTTATTGCTCATAATAATATTTTAAATAGTTTCTAACTCTACTTATCATCTCTCTGTTTAATTTTATTAGTAAATCAACACCAAGAGCATTTTCTTAATTTAATTCATTGTAAGTTTCAAGTGGATTAAAGGAAATTACTGAAATATTTATAATTCATTATTTGGGAATTAAACTCATAATATCATGAATGTTGAATTGTACCCTCCGCAGCAAGAACATTATCTAAATCAGTTTTAAAAATTGCTCAATAATACAAGAAGTTATCCTAAAATCTAAAATAGGAAATATTAGAAGATGTCTAAATTAGAGAGCAATCACTTGTGTTGAATTCTTCACTAAGAATTTTCGACCATCTAGAATTCATCCAATAGCTTGCAGAATGAAATTTTCAATAAAATACTCTCAAAAATTTCAATATACATAAAACAAAAGGGGGAAATCAACCTTATTGATAATAAAAACTAATAAAATCATTTAGAATGTTCAAAAGGTTATGGAGAATTTGAATTTCTAACTTCCTAAAAGAGACAAACCAAAGCTCTAAGTACTGCCTATAGTTTAATCTATAGAATGAGTAGAGAAACTTTTCCTTGAATTCATAGCTGAAAATTCTATTGAATTTGAAAATTATTGTGAAATTAGAGACAAGATTTTATTTCATTATTAAGATTTACTATGAATTGTGTAGCTTAGGGATCTAATTAATGATTGCCAATATCTAGCTTATACACCTGATAAAGAATTCCTTATTAAAAAGTAATTGTTCATTTCAACAATGTGAGATCCTTATTCAAGAGAAAAAATTTGAGATTTTAAAAGTATCTTTAATAATCACGAGGATCATGAAACACATAATAAAATCTAAAAACAAAATGAAATTAGTCTCTCTTTAGAATCTAGAATAGATAAAATTCTCGTTTACTTGAAAGTGATCATCAAAATGTTCTTTTAATGATGAAGCAACCTAACATATAAAAAAGTGATTTCATTTTGGTTTACCTATCAAAAATAATAGTAGATCGGGTTCAATTGACTTAGAGTCATCAATTTAATCAGTTGGAGCATTTTCAATATTTGTATTAATTAAATTTTGAATTAGATAAAATGGAAACATTTCAAATATCTAAAATATTCTCAATTCTTACTATACTAATTGTTTTAGTTACTCATTTCTTCAAATTGAATAATGCGTATAAAATTCATCTTCATTAAATAAATTTATATGTTTCATACTTACCCTTTGACAAATTAATATGAGCATAATCTATAAACGTAATAGACATTACAGAAATTCTACAGAATAAGGTTTTCATCAAAAAAATATAGATTTATTTAATTGACAAATACTTTCAGAAAGTCATTGAGTCTAGTAAATAGCTAGAATTGGTTTTGTATTTCTTTATATCAAATAAGAAGCCAGTATTGATTTGTCAAAATAATAAATTGTTATTTGAATTAAAAATTAATGTTAAAATATATAAAAAGGTTATTAATTCCCTTATAAGGGTAGAAATTAAATATATACATTACTATTTTGATAAGAAATATATTAAAATTAAATTCAAAAGATTGATTAATCAAATTATAAAGAATGAAGAATCCATTAATGAAATTTCGAAAATTTGGATAATGGTCATAATCTATTTTTTGTTTAAATTGAGGTAAATAATGATTGCGAATTCTAGTACATCAAGTAATTTCTCGATTTAAATTTGAAAATCATATGGGGAAAAATCAACATTTTTGGAGTTAGATTCATAGCATAGGACTAATAATATTAAATATTAATTATATTATGAATATGAATAATATTTTTTAGAGATTATTCTTATTATTAAATTTATACATGTCAAGCTATTTTTGTGAATAAGACTTCAAAGATTTTACATCTCCAAGGTTCATTTTGGATGGAGCAACTCCACATGTTGATCCAAAAGTTGGATCAAATTCAGATGTTTAATTCCAATCAGAAATCAGTAACATGGAAAGTATGAGATCACTAAAATAGGAGACAACAAATAATAAAAACAAATTAGTGAAAAAGAATTCACAAATTTTATCAATAAAATTTGATGTATTCTTATCAATTATATTAGTAATAAGTAAATAAGAAATTGCAAAACACTCGGAGTTAATTTAAAAATGAGAATAAAGAAGATGATGGATTATAATTAAAGCAAGTCTTGGGTAAATAAATGTTACTCAAATTTAAAGACAGATTGCTATCTAATGCTCATCTTTTAACAAAACAAATGATGGAAGAAAAAAAGAATTTACTAAATTATTTATTTTTAGATGATGCATTATTAGAAGGGAAAAGAACCAAGAAGAAATAAGCTTTTAGTAAACTTGAATAATGTTTTACATTCCCTGTATTTTTACCTTAAGATAGATTTGTTAAAGTGTGGAGTTTATTTAGTATTTTATGCAGTTTTTTTATTTTGTGGCTGTCACCCTTTATTGCTTCTTTTTAATTGTAGAAAAGCCAAGAAATTTAAAGGATTACTGAAATAGTCTTATTGTATATATTGATTGATGGGCTGATTGCAAACAACAAAGCAATTTTAGTGCAAGGAGAAGTAACTTAGAAATTAAATTAATTAGCTTATTGTAAGCAGAAAAAGAATCATCCAAAATTATCTTAGATTTTAAATAGTTAATGATCTAATTAATTTTGTCATCTGGCTAATCATGTATTAAGGAATAGATAATATTCAGATTGCTTAATGTTTGTCAATTATTTAAATTATCATAATAATATTCACAGTTTACAATAAGATTAACAATTTTGTTGATTGTCTTTATTTAAATGGACGATTAAGTGAAATTTTAGATTTGATTTTCTTAATCATCTCATTATATTATTTTATTCATATTATTGGATGCCTTTGGCATTATTTAGCTCTTGTGTGTGAAGAATTGAACTAGTAATCTTGGTTAAGTAAATATTCTCTAGAGAATCAATCTTACTGGGTAAAATATGATTATGCAATATATTGGGCCACAATGACTATGGTTACAGTTGGATACGGAGATATCACAGCTTCAAATCCTATTGAGATCCTATTTTCTAATTTCACAATGTTTGTCAGTAGTTTTGTATTTGCATATTCTGTGAATTCAATAGGAATGATAATTAAGAACTTTTACGATCATAAAAATTAATATAAGTAAATATAATCTTTATCATTTTATTAATTAGAAGATAATTAATACTCATCAACACGTTTATGAAGAACAATTTAGTGGATGATTCCATCTAGAATAGAGTAAGGAATTATCTAAAAAATTAAGTGGATCAAGAAGGCAAAAGCAATCAAGTAGAAGTAATAAAAATAACTAAATTGTAGGCTCAATAGATATTAGAGAATTTACCATCAGGGTTGAAAAATGAAGTCAATTTCAATATCAAAGCCAGAATAATAAAAAACGTGAAAATATTATTTAATAACTTTTCAAAGCCTACTATAAACTAAGTTACATAATAGATTGAACAGATAAATTATATACCTAACGATGTAATTTATAATCCAGAGGAGAGACATAAAGATTTTCATATGTAAGAATATATTAAACAAATAGTTATTATGTAGATTCAGGTGAAGTTAAATTAGTTGAAATAAGAACTAAGAAAATTGTTTAGACTTACAATGAAGGATAGACATTTGGAGAATACTAATTTATGAGTGGATTTGATTCAAAATTTATGATTGTCAGTTCTCAATTTACATAACTCTATAAAATTTCAAGACAAGATTTCTTAAAAGTTCTATAAAATAATCAAAAAGATAAAGAACTATTTCAATAGATTAAGGATCAACTAATTTACTTATCTGACTATAGTTTAATTGGTAAGAAGTGCAGTTTATGCAACAATGGCGATCATATGAACAACGATTGTTTCCTTATCTCTTATAAACCGAACTTAGAAACACTAATAAAACGAGAAGGGTTCACTTTTTAATAACGATCTCTAATGAGAAGAAATGATAGACAAAAACTCAAAGTTCTTAGTTCAATAACTGTAATTAGATATTGTAATTTAGGGTATTATGAATACAGTTGTGTAATTTTAGCAATATGAATTAATCTCTAATTAAAATGAAACTCAAACAATCATAAGTGGTACCAAAAGATTTAAAGATTCAACTACGAGAAGATAAAGTGATTTAAAAATGGAGCCTCATGAAGGTTCTTCAATGAGTGATTTATCACCTGATATCAGATAAGAAAGAATTCAAGATACAAATACTCTTGCATAATAAAAGTTGAATTCAAGAAAACAATCTCAAAATTTAACTGGTAAATTTGCAACATCACTTTAATCAAATAAACACATTGAATATAAGGATAAGAGGAAGATATCTATTGGGTATTAGAGAGAATCTAGTTATATTAGTCCAGATGGTCAAAGTACTTAACTGATACAGTAAAAGTCATTAAAGTAAGGATTATCATCAAACATAATTATTGAAACTGATGATCATAATAAGCATATTAGTAAGTCTTTAAACTTAGATATTGATAAAATTTATTAATTTTAAAATTACATGCCTTAAAGCAATGCTTCAAGCATTATTTTAAGTTTGAATAAATAAAAATCTAAGATTTCTTCAATCTATTCTAGCAATTTAAAAAAAGCATTCAAATTCACTTTTTATTACAAAGTAGCTAAATTAGCATGTGGTATGAGATTAATTATGGCTTCCACTTCGAGAAGACTATTGAAACCACCTGGCCTTAAGAAAAATAAAGAATAATTTTAATAATGATTAAATTCGTTTAGGTTTATTCTTTATATATATATAAATTTCAATATCTACATTTTAAAAAAATGTCTATATCATTTAAATATTTTGACTTAACCTATTGTTTTTTTGAAGATTTCTCTTAATTAACAAATCTAACTTTATTAGGAGATTATTTATCATCTAATTGAGTTTTTTGTTTTTCTAAATTATTTTTTGCCTCCTTAATAAATTTCCAATCATCTTAAGAATCATCCTGACAATTATAAGTTTGTCTATTGAAATCTTTCTTTTTTAATGCACTTTTCAATGGTTATTCATCTTTAACAGAGTCACATTTCAGAGACTCCTCTCTTTTAACTCTGGATTCTCTCAATTTGACTGTTTTATATGATGATTCTCTTCTATGATGAGAATTATAACCATTGATAGATTCATGACGAGATTCACGTCTAAAGTCAATAGCATCTCTTCTTTCAAGATTTGAGTCTCCTCTTTACTCTTTCATTGAAGTAGCAGCCCTCAATATTTCTTATTGGATTGGTTATGAATCAAATTTAGAATCGTGCTTATTTAAGGAGTCAGTTCTTGCATGGATTTCATTCTATTTATTCTTCCTTTAGTTTTATTTTGATTATTCATTGAATCTGTCTTGTTCTTCTTTAATTGAAATTGAAAGATTTTGTAAAATCGATTATCTTTCTCTCAGGTATTCTCTTAAAACTTAGATAATTAATTACAATCTTCCATTTGTTAGATTTTGAAATTGAAATCATCTCTAATCATTCTAAGTTTTGCATGTAAAAGTTCTTACTCTTCAAGAATGATTTGCTCTTTATCGAAAAAGAAATCAATGTTGCATTCTTCTTCATCTTAATATTCGTATTGCTTTTGAATTTGTTAAGTAATAACCTTATTTACAATTTTTGATTTTTCTTTAACTGAAAAATCATAGTTGTCGGAGTTTCTTGAAAACGCACTTTCTCTGCGAGATTGATTTGCTGGAGACAATTATCCTTAAATTGGAGTAACTGATCTGAATGGCGAAGGTGATGCAAATCTATTCCCAAATATCATAGGAGAAGAACACTTATATTGGTTTAATTGATAATCTATTTAATACATACTAGTTAAATACCATGGTTCTATGACACATTATTCATTCGGATACTGTAATCATTGCTGATGTGTTTTTCCAGAAAATTTTTCATATTTCTTAGAGTTTTTTGATATAATTATATTTATAATTAAGTCTAGACTTATGAGAACATTTTACTCTCTGGTATAAATATTCACTTTATAAAAATGTATTATGTATTTATTTTATAATCAAAGTTAACTCTTATGTCTCTATTCCGACTAATTCCTCAAATTATTTCGAAGTTTTTCATAGCATTTCAAAAGCTCTTCCAAACTTTCGAAGGGATAATCATCAAAACACAGCTCCTTAGATAAATTCTAAAGAATTTCTGTAACAGTTTCTTCATCTTATATTAATTCTATTAATTTCTCCTTTAACATCCAATTCTCTTTTAGTACTTATGCAAATTATTTCTAAATTTCCTCTAATTTTATCTTTTTATTTGCACATTGATTTATTTCTTCTTACTAATTTTTGCATAACTCTTCTAAATCTAGATTTTGTTTTTTTAATTGATTAATCTCTTATTATTTCTTTTGTAAATTAGCAATTTTAGTTGTAAATTATGATATATATGCTCTTAATTGTTAAAGGCGGCGAATTTATAATTGGATATCTTAAGGATAGAGTTGTATTACCTATTCAGTTGTTAAGTGTTATCGCTATTTTTAATTCTCAGCTTATAATTGTGAGACTTACTCGGTGAGTTAGAGGATGGTTCTTTGCTTTTCCTCATCAGATTTTTTCATAATTTTAATTATTTCAAGATTATCCTTAAAGGTTTATTCATCTAAAATAGCATCTTAGTTTGAATTGGTGTCTTCTGTTATGTCAGATTCTTCAAACTCGATTTTCTCACACTTTTATTCCTTTGTCTATCTCTATATTTTTAGCTATTCTATTATCTCACTAAGTGATTATATATGAATATCTCTCTCTGTCAACAATTTTATGTACTTTTATCTTAGATTTTCAAATTATTGTGGGTATACATGTACTTTTTCATTTAAGGAGGCATTGGCATTCATTAGCTCTTTAACTCTACTTATCAATTCAGCATTTTCGGTTTACAATTTTAGTGATTGCTATTATGATTTTTATAATTCATCTCGTGTGAGTTTTAGCTCTTAAACTGTTCTAAATTTGTTATACGTATGGTTTTCCCTAAAATAATAGTGTCAATTTTTACTATAGATTAAACATCGAGAAATTATATTCATGTAAGGATTTTAGTTGCTCCAATAAATTATCTCTTTGTGCTTCAACAAATTGAATTTGTCTTCTCAATTCATATTCAATCAATGATAATTTGTCGATATTGCCTTATAATATTTTATTTTTTTCTTCCTCCTAATTTAATTTGGTCTGCAATTCTTAATGTCTTCTATTCACATCATCAAGCTCTTATTCTTGCAATTTCACTTTTTTTCCTTATTAATGTAATAATCTTTCTAGTTGGTTCATTTTTAAAAGGGTTTTAATAATTTATTTATATTTATTTTTGAAATAAATATTACATTACCATTTCAGGAAGGCAATATATACTTCCTAAAATTTGACATACTATTAAATAATCCACTTGTTTTCCACTAGAATTTGCATTTCTTTTTATATGGTCATTCCTTAATAAACAAATATTTATTATAATTTTTTACCTGTTTTTAAAATTACTAAATGGAAATATAGTATTCAAATCAAACGAAAAAGTCTATTCACTTACCAAAAATCCATTAAAATTATTCATAAATGAAGAAGGATAAATTAAAACAATTTTTTCGAACTGATAGAAGTATTTCAGATACGAAATAGCATTATTTTTATCATTAATCTAAAAAATAGTAACCTGAATTTATATACGAACCTTAAACTGAACGATTGGTCAGAGAAAATTAGTAATTAATCTTGTTGATATTTAGCAAAGAAAAAATCTCAGATTTTTAAAAGGTTGATTAGCCAACTTAGAGACACTTATTTTTATAAAAATGGAAAACCAATCCTACAACAGTTAATCGTCAAGTCAACACCTAAATTTAAGATCAAAGTAGTAACAACTCGTTCTCCTCTAATAAAACTAAATTGTTTGACGAGTCTGAATCAGAATATGAAATTTCTTCTAATTAATCCTCCGATGACGAAGACTCAGATTAAAGTTCAGAAATGAGATTCAAAGACTTTGAGAAAGATATAGACAAAATTCAAAGAAAAATATGTAAAAGAATTTCTTATTACTTAATTAGCAAATGATCTAAATAGATCATACTTTGGTTTTATTAAGAATTAAGATAAATTGAAGGATTTAATCCAAACATTTAGAAAGAGGGATTCTGTCAATCCGTTATACTTTTATTGCATGAATTAAAATCTCTTCCCTAAAAGAATCGATCTATCTAACTGTTTAATTGAATAAAAGGAAATGAATTTTAAAGATTTGAAAGTCAATTCAAAATATTTCCCATTATTATCATAGTTGTTAAAATCTAAAAAGTGCAAAAAAGTAAAGTCTATCATCTTATCAAATAATCATTTGAGAGAACATTCCTTATCAATATTTATCGATTCTTTTCCAGATTCATTAAAAGATTTGAATATATCTCAAAACGAATTGGGAAGATAGGGAGCTCTACTCATTGCCAAATTATTTAACAAACATAAGAAGTAATCTTTTTTTTCTATTCAGCTTGAAGTCCCTAAATATTGCAAGCAATTTATTGGGGGATCAAGGAGCAATTACTATTCTCAATGCTGTATAAAATGCTAAAACAGTTAAAAAATTGAACTTGTCTCAAAACTAGATTACTGATAAGGCAACATAAGAAATATAAAATTTCTTAATTTCAAATCTATCAATTGAAGTTTTAATTCTAAATTGGAATTAATTGGGGCCTCAATCAGGAATTGGTATTGCCAAAGCTTTGAATCAGAATAAGAATCTAAAGGTGTTAGATTTAAGCTATAATCATTTAGGGTTTAATGAGAAGAGTAATTGTATAGGTTAATGGTGCTAATTAATTGAAAATCCAAATCTAGCTCTATGCCATCTAGATATTTCATACAACCAAATAAGCGAAAAATAAATGGTGTAATTGTAAAAGTCGCTCTTGAAAAATAATAATTTATATGGGATTCACGTAGAAGGGAATAAGTGTCCTGCATTTATAGATGCTTTTGGGTTCTTGCAATTTTCAAAACAAGAAAATTTGATAAAACAAGTGCAACAAAAAAAAATATAGATTGATGGAGTCAATTATATTCCTATATGCAATGGTTAAGAACTGTTAATGGACTGTTGTTGGATTTGTTAAGGATGGAAAGAACACCAATTTACTTACACTCCAGATCAGAATAGTGAATAAGTGCCATTATTTTTACATTTGGATTTCCTTGAGTATTTTTATTGCTAACTATAGTTATAAGCCCATTCCCATGACTTCAAGCTTTGAGATGAAATAATAATTGATGGAATAGAATAAGAGCAATAAGTAATTGGAACTTACAACAGGAGAAATTATCCATTAATTGAAATCGATAACGGATGCTGAAAAGAAAATTACTATGGCAGCTATTGAAGAAGCATATAATGTTGAAAATAATACAAAAAATGAAACTCAAAATCAAATTATTGAAGAATTTAATAAGTTGTATTACACCACCTATCAGATGTGTCCACCGAAAAGCAAAATTCTATATTTTTTCTCTGATCCTCTTAGAGAGAGATACTTTTATGATCCTACTTTAGAGTATGTCTAAAGTCCTATCGACGACTTAATTTTATAAGGGAAAGATCCAAAACATTAGATGCATGTGTTTGCAGATAACACTTAGATTCCTTTTTAGAGAATTAACTTTGTAAATGTCTTAAACACCAAACAAGAATATGTTATTGATGATAAAAATAATTACAAGCCTTTGATTAAAGTGAAACCAAGAATTTTACAGAGAAAATATATATTGACTAAATACTTAGGAAAATTCAAAAATAAGAAAGGGAATGTTTCCATATGGTCAAAAGATGATTCTCTTGTATTCAGGGGAATGATTGGGGACTCGGTGGATGTTCTTGATTAGGCATTCGAATATGATTGGGGTTGTTCAAAAATTTAAAGATTTGTTAAGAGTGAGTATGAGAGAATGAAATTAAAGGAATATTTTAGATAAAAATATCAATTGATCAAAGACATCTATAAATATTTTTCAAGTTTTGGATATTAACCACCTGTATATGATGTTTTCTGTATTTAATTTGGGCAATTTCATAAAATTCTCTCCCCTATTATAGATGGTGAGAATTTAAAATAATCAGATGTTGAGAGTGACTTAGTTTCAATTAAAAATAATGTAGATACAAAATTTATTTACAATCCTGATAAGGCTATTATTAGATATCAATTTATGGAAGTCCTATTTAGATTAGCTAATGATAAATTTATTCGTTCAGGACAATGTAAGAATTTCGCCGATGCCGTCTATAGATTATTGAAAGAACTTGAATAACATTATGAAATCCTCGATAATAGCCAATAGTGGAGACAGGACAGATTTTGGACAAAGGAGGTAGATCTCATACTCTAATTTAAATCGCCTTTTTTAAGAAAATTGTACGATTTAGCTTCAGATTTAACCAGTAAGAAATGGTATTTCAAACTTAAGTGGGTTTCTATTAAAGAATTTAGAGAATTTTGTAAATTATATACCAATGATATTCTATCTGAAAAATAAGTGACTGTCATTTTTAATTATTCGATGTAAACCTAAGCTGATGAGGTGACTTAAGATCGTTTCTTAAGAATGACATTTAATGAATTTTTGGAGGCATTAGGGAGAGTAGCAGAAAAAATTAGTCCTGCTCCTATTGGAGAAGATGCCTAGATTTGGCCTGTAATGGCAAGGCAAACTCTGCCATTACATATAAAATTAGAATCGTTACTAACTTTTATATTTCTAAAATTGAGAAGGTATTGGTTCATTAATATTTTTAGACAGCCTGAATTCATTCAATTCACAGATTTATTTTGTAAGGATATAATGGATGCATAGGAAACTAGAATCATTTTCATGCCTAAAGTATATGAAAAACAATCGAAGTTAGAGAATACTGATGAGTTCGTCATTACAACTACATAATTAACAGTGTACAACACAATATCCTTTTTTAGTAATTCTATTTAATTAATATTGTTAGATTCTCATCATTAACCTTATTTGCATCCGAACTATCGAAATTTCTTAATGTAAACAGGTAAAAAACGAACTCTGATGAATCCAAATACTAATATTGTTGTCAATAATGGATTTAGTAGATAAGTTTCAGGAAGGACAACTATTTTTGAACAATAATAATAAGCCTAATACAAAAACAATATGATAGCGGTAATGGAAGAATATGATGATTAATGAGATATTGAATATATTTTTCTCCTTTATGCTTGTTAAGTATTTAACTTAAAAGTTGACAGCTCAATCTTATAATATAATTTTTTTACTTGAAACCCATTAATTATGTTCAACAATATTAATCTATTATTTGAAATAAACTCAAGTTCAATTTGAATCAATTAATTGATTAGAACTTAGATTATATAAAATATTAATTAGAATGAAAAATAGTAATGAGAGATCTAAATGTTAACTACCTCGTTTAAAGGATTATTCAAAAGAAAAAGCAAATAAATTGAAATCCTTTTTCAGATCTAATCGTAGTATTTCAGAAAACAAGTTGATTGAATGTAAATTCAAAGCATCAAAATTATTGATTGATAATTAATATTCGAAAGATCACAGTCTAATGTCTTATTACATAAAGAGTAACGAAAAGTTAACAGAAATGAGATAAATTCTAACCAATACTTCAGTTCAATCAGATCAAGGAGATGCCAAAAAGAAAAATTTCCCATTGGGATTGCTAAAGCATAGGTTTTCACCAATTGAATAGGTCAAAAAAGAGACTTAAGAGATTAATGATGAAGTTTCAAAAGAACTAATAGAGGCTGACTAAGAATCAATGAAAGGAGGAGAAAATTGCATGGAATATGAGGAGGATGAAGATATAATGAGTGATGTAAGCAGTGAAGATGAGCCTAAAAGATTCAACGGAATTGAATTGCAACATGAGATTAAAAAAATCTTTCAAAAGTTAAGTAACATAGATTTATTTATTATTTAGATCAAGAAATAGATTAATCTTACTTTTATTTTATTAAACGATAAGATAGGTTGAAAGATTTAGCAATTAATTTTAATAAAAAAAATGTGGATCCAATTCATTTTTACTGTTTAAACGATAACATATTCCCAAAGAGGATCGATTTATCAAATTGTTTGGTTAATGGGAAGGAGATGCATTTTTCTGATCTTGGCCTTACAGAGAAGTATTTCCCTTTAATAAAAAACTTATTGTAATCTGTCAAAAGTAAAACAGTGAAGTAATTATTTCTGTGTAACAATCAATTGGATGAAAAATCATTACTCTATTTGATTGAAGGATTTCCTCTTTCATTGAAAGAAATCAATTTAGGAAATAATGTTCTTGGTAGAAGAGGAGCACTAATATTATCAAACCAGATATAGAAGTTTACTAGTCTCAAATCTATCAATCTTTAAAATAACTTATTAGCAGACAAAGGTGTTTCTGTGCTTTTGAATTGTTTTTAAAAAAACGTTACTTTATTAAAGTTGAATTTATCAGAAAATCAAATAACTGATTCTTGTTCAACAGTATTCTATTAGTTCCTATTGCAAAACAATTATTTAGAGATATTAATTTTGAATTGGAATCAATTGGGACCATCAGCAGGTACCATGATTGCTAAAGGGTTGTAACAAAATAGATCAATTAAAGTCCTTGATTTGAGTTATAATCATTTGGGATAGAATGATAGAACCAACTTTATTTAGGCATTGTGTGAAACGATTTCTATTCCCCAGATCACATTAGCTCATTTAGACATCTCTTATAATTAGCTCACTGAGAAGCAGTTAAAGTTATTCAGTGTAGCCTTAGCCAAGAATAATACCTTATATGGTTTGCACATCGAAGGGAATAAATGTTCAGCTAGAGTCAATCCATATGGATTTATACAATTCACTCATGAAAGTGAAGAATTTAAAGTAGTTTAATAAAAGAAAACTGCAATTGATGGTGTCAATTATATCCCAATGTAAGGGGATAATCTATTCGGGAATGACTGTTGTTGGATTTGTCAAGGATGGATGGAATATAGATTTTAATATATTCCTGAGAATGATAATAATTAAGATCCTATTTTCATCCATCTGGATTTCTTAGAGTAATTTCTGTCACAACTATTAGTTATTAACCAATCCCATTGACGAGTAGTTATGAATTAAGATAATAATTGATGGAGGCTTAAAAAATAAAAAGCAATTATTTCGATTTGACAACTGGAGAGATAATTCATCAATTAAAATAATTAGTAAATACTGATAAGAGAATTACTTTGGCAGCTATAACTGAGGCTTATGCAGAGGAAACCAATAAGAAAAGCGAAGAAATAACAAAATAAATGATCCAAGAATTAAGTAGGTTTTACTATACTACATATTAAATGTGTCCTCCAAAAAGAAGAATCCTGTATTTCTTCTCCAATCCGATTAAGGAAGAATATTTTATTGATCCAAGAGCTATGAATATGCCTGCTCCACTTGATAATGTCATTCTGTAAGGTAAAGATCCTAAACATGCAGCTCACATCTTTTCGGATGGCACTAAATTAGCTTTTGCCAAAATCTAATAAGTAAATTATATTTTTTCAAGACAAGAATACATAATAGATGATAAAGATAATTATAAACCCTTAATAAAAGTATTCCCAAGATCATCCTAAAAAAAGTATGTATTAAGGAGGTTTGCAAACTTTTTAGTAAGAAAGTAAGCTCACCTTATCACATGGCACAAGGAAGATTCCATATTTAGGCCATTCAATGGGGATACAGAAGAATTACTAACCGAATGTTTTGAGTTTGATTGGAACAGCAGTAAAATCAGTCGTTTTGTTAAGAGTGAATATGAGAAGTTAAAATTGAAGGAGTATTTTAGATAGCACTATTAATTAATCAAGGATGTCTATAAATTTCACTCTAGTGTTGGATATTAACCACCAACATTTGATGTATTTTGCATTCAATTCCCATAATATATGAAGTGGCTGAACAAACTTTCCATTATAGATGGAGATCTGTTAAAATCTCAGGATGTAGAAATTGACATTGTTTCCTTAAAAAATAATGTTGATCCTAAATACATTTACAATCCAGATAAGGCTATAATTAGATATCAATTCTTAGAGATGTTCTTTAGAATTGCTAATGATAAATATGTTAGAACTGAAATCTACAAGAGTTATGCAGATGCCATTTTCAGATTACTGAAGGAATTCAAAGAACAATACGAACGCTTTGATATGATCCAAGAATGGAGATCTTGTAGATTATGGACAAAGGAATGTGATCATTTATTGTAAATTAAGATGCCCTTTGTCAAAAAGCTCTATGATTATGTAACAGACATCACGAATCGAAAATGGTATTTTAAATTGAAATGGATATCTATTAGAGAATTCAAAGAATTTTGCAAATAATTTAATCTACATGAATATCTATCAGAAAAGCTATAAGTTATAATTTACAACTTTTCAATGATGACCCAAATTGATGAACTTGCTTTAGATAGGAATATAAGAATGAGTTTCATTGAATTTGTTGAGGCCCTTGGAAGAATTGCAGATAGAATCAGTCCCGCTCCTATTCAAGAACATGTAGATTCATACACTTTACTACAAAGACAATAATTGCCTTTACATGTAAAATTGGAAACTCTGCTCACTTACTTGTATTATTAAATGAAATCCAGAGATTATGAATATGAACAATTCTGCGATTTGTTTGTCTATTATAAACCTGAATAGTCTCCCAAGAGTAGTTTTCCTAAAACAGACAAAACTAAGAAATTAGACAAGGATCACGATTATCACAATGACTTAACATCCCTTACAATTTATAATGCCGTCTCATATTTCAGTATTTTAGATGATTAATTTAAGATTAGAATAAATAGCCATATTTAAATCCTAAGTATAAACAATTTTTAAAACAAAACATCATTTAGACATCTCCCATTCGTTCCTTTTAGCATATATTATAAAGTGATAAAATAAGAAGAGCTAGATTGTAACCAGAAACCTACAATTTAGAATCAAGGTTAAATCAGTAATAATTCAAGGCTCAAAGTCCAAATATGTAGACAACTCTCTCTTAAAATGCATGACTAATATATAATTATTTATATAAATTCTAATAAATGTATTTTATTCATTTTTTATTTGTTAATGTATTTAGCAGTTCATATTTGCTTTCCAATTTGCTATTAATTTCCTTATAGGTTAGATTGTTGTATTTGAATTGAATATAACGCTTCTCTTCATTAATAGTAAACATGTTATGGATATTATTGACTTGTAACAACAAATTAATAAGGGTTTCATAGTCTTGTATTTGAAAATTGTGAATTATTTAATCAAAAGACACTTTTGAATGGAGTTCATACTCTTTTTTTAAAAACTGATATAATTATGCTAAGAGCGCCTATTCTTTTAAGCAAATCTAGAATTATTAAGACTATTACACTAACATCCTAGTCCTAAAAATCAAGATCCTTTTCCTTAATTTCTTTATCTCCATTATTCTCAATAACACTAGTTAATTTAGCAACTAATTGTTGACTGGCGGGATTGGACCAATTCTTCAATTCCATTCCCAATCTGAAACAAAGCAAAGATTCCATCTTCTGGGCTTCAACACTAAAAGAGTTGGAACCCTCAAATTTATGGGCTATTCTGTAGCATCGTAGGGCTTCATCATAATCCTTTTTATAATTAAATAGTTTCATACTTTCATTGCATTAGCGATCAATCCGGCATAATAAAAATACTCTATAATAATGTTATCTTTCTTGTCTATGGTGGATTACAAAAATATTTTAGACTTGATAAATTAATAGCCTAATTTATAATTGTAGGATTTTATGCAGGATTGCAAAAAGGCAATGTGCAAGTCAGTAATAAAGATGATTGCTTGTAATGGCTATGTTCATACTAATTTATAATTACATATTTCAGACAGATAAGCATTTTTGTAATCACTCGGGTATTATAGGGCATTAACTCAGTAGTTAGCTTAGTTAAGCAGATGCGAAAAATATTCAGATACATTATTTCTATTGAGCCGATATTGAATTCCATAAAGAACTTTAACAACTATTATGATCATAATGGCTAATTACATAAATCATCTCCTATTCATTATATCTAGCTGTCTGATGAAAAAGCTAGTATACTTTGGCGATATGTTGAGGTATATAGACTTATTTCTCATTTGGAATATCGCTGTCATCGATTTCAAAATTCATTTATTATAAATAATAATATATCGTGTAATGGGCGAAAAAATGGTAAAAATATGTGACAATTTGTTTATCTATAAAAATCTTCTATAAATATTTAATATTGAATTGTGGTGTATGAATATGTAAATCTGATGTAAAAATGATTTAAATTAGAAATATCATAAGATGTAATACTAATTCTTAGAATCAGATGAATTGTACACAAGTGTGAAAACATTGACAAATGTAGCTAAATAAGCAGCAGCAGCAGTCCAAAAATAGGCCAAGAAAACAGAAAAATTGATTGGGGAAATAGAGAAGCCAATCAATGTCCCATCTTTGCCTGCTGGTTTCAAAGTACATTGAATCTTATCATAAAAATAGGTAGATGTGCCTCACTTTGATGTGACCAAGAGATTGAATAAACTTCCTCGTTCTTGGGAATTACCATAGGAATTGTACAAGAAACATCTACCAAAATATAATGTCGGAACAATATATAGAATTTAAGAATTACTCAATGCTGGTGAGGGGTAACACTATTAATAAAATATTTATAGGTATATAGGTTAGACTGTGACAGTAGCAGGTTGGGCAAGAACAGTGAGAGATTAGAAGAATCTTTGTTTCATTGAATTGAATGATGGAACAAGTTTCGGTGGTATCTAGATTGTGGTTGAAGACAAGATTGGCAATTTCGAACAAGTTGCTAAAACTAATACAGGATTTTCACTCAAAGTGACAGGAAGCATTGTAAAGAGTCCTGCCAAAGGATAATTGATAGAAATGCTTGTTGCTGATCCTACTAAACATGAAGTTGTCATTATTGGATAAGCTGATCCTGAGGAATATCCTATGGCAAAAGGAGTTTAGAAGCCAGAGACTTTAAGATAAAAGGCTCACTTGAGACCAAGAGGCAATTTCTTTAGTGCTGTCACCAGAATTAGAAACAATTTGGCTTATGCAACTCATGTATTTTTCTAAAATAATGGATGCTTGTACATCCACACACCAATAATTACAGGAAGTGATTGTGAAGGTGCTGGAGAAATGTTCAGAATCTCTACTATCTTCGATAACGATGTCTCGAAGATCCCACAAATAAATGGTAAAGTAGATACCGCTTAGGATTTCTTTAAGAAGGAAGTGAATCTTACAGTTTCCGGTTAACTATAAGTGGAAGTAAAACGATGACTTAATTTATTATAGCATTTCTGTATAAGTATGTCCAATGTATATACATTTGGTCCTACTTTCAGAGCAGAGAAGGCTCATACTCATAGACACTTAGCTGAGTTTTGGATGATTGAACCAGAATTTGCATTTGCAGATCTATTTGATAACATGGAAGCCGCAGAAGGTTATGTTAAGTTCTGTATCAATTACATTTTGTAAAACAACATCGATGATCTCCAATTTTTAGACAAAAGAGTCAAACCTGGATTGATAGATTATCTTAAAGACATTGTAAGCAAGGATTTCGTAAGATGTTCTTACACTCAAGGAATTGATATTTTATTGAAAGCATAATAAGCAGGAGCCAAGTTCGAGAACAGTGACATCAAGTGGGGAATGGATTTGAATAGTGAACACGAGAGATTCATAGCAGAAAAAGTATTCTAGAGACCAGTCTTCCTTTATGATTACCCCAAAGAAATTAAGGCCTTTTATATGAAAGTGACAGATGGTATATTAAATTCATATTATTTTTAGATGGAAAATGCGTAAGAGCTATGGATATGCTCATTCCTCAAGTTGGTGAATTGATTGGTGGGTCTTAGAGAGAGGAAAGATATGATGTATTGGCTCAAAGAATCAAGGAATGTGGATTGAAATTGGAAGATTATGGACCTTATATGGATTTAAGAAAGTAATAGACTCCTTATATATCGTAGATATGGAACAGTACCTCATTGTGGTTTTGGATTAGGATTTGAAAGATTAGTCATGATGGTCACAGGAGTTGAGAATATAAGAGATGTTATTCCCTTCCCAAGATATCACGGTAGTGCTGAATTCTGAAAAGTTAATAATATTAAAGTATATTATATGAAAACACAAAGTTATATCAATGCTTTAGTTTAATCAAATCATGCATGTTTGGAAGGCGGATCATTTTGTTACTCACACTCTCAAATTGAGTATCATCTTCATCATTAATGCAAAAAGATGATGATTTACTAAATTGATCTCGTTTGAATGAAGACTTTTCCAATTCTGTTTGAACCTCTTGGATTCCTTCTAAGTTTGAGGGATCATGAATCACTATCTTCGTTTGTACTTCCTCCTTGGGTTATTATTAACTCTAAGATTATAAATTCATCTTTTTCAACTAACAATTACTCAATTTTTATACCCAATCATATTAGAAATCTTTTTCATTGATGTTGAGTTGTTGAAGTATGTTTTTAAATAATTTCTTCAAGAATTCATAATCACTCAATGGATATTGTTATACGTTTGTCAACCTAACAAATTAAAAATACTGAAGGAATTCAATTGGCATATCTTTACAAAACTTTTCTGGAATCATTCGCAACTTTTACTCTTCCATTTGTTTACTTTTAGATCCTGTATCCTTAACTTTGAACATGTCTCCATTCTTTAAGAAATACATTAGAATAAAGCCTAAAGATTCCAAGTCATCCTTTGGAGAGGCAGCTTAAAACATAATCAAGACTTCAAAATACTCAATCCTAAATGCTGATTTAAACTTGAAAATTTAGTTAGTTTAGTTTAATTAGAGAATTTGGATCCTGAACCTATGTATTTCCCATTTTTATGCTTGAATTTAACACATTGTTAGAAATCAATTAAAACAAAATCATTTTTGCCTGGGATAGTCAATATCTTCTTAGGCTTTAAGTTACGATGGACTATGAATTGACTATGCATCTTCTCCAATATGTTTAGCTATCCATATCTTGACTAACCATTACCAATTATATGCCTATCATACAAATTGTTCCTAGAGTAAAGTTCTTATTAGCAAATTAGAAGCATAATTTCAGACTTGGTCCATATTTGTCAAATACTTAATAATAGTAATTTGTATTCTGCAGTCTCACATCTCCTGATGCCAATACTGTAGGCATGAATGTCACTTAAATTCATAACTTACTTTTTATACCAACATTCAATTTCTTTAACAGCTTCTCCTCCTCTTAAATGCTATCTATGTTTGTGTTAGCCTATCAGGTAAATGAACTAACAATAAATTTAAACTCTTATTTACATTACTAATCGCACTATGAAGTAATTTCCAGGTTGCTATTTGTTTATCGCTTTCAACATACATCAGATATTCTTACCCAAATACAGATTATGGACTCTCCCTCTATAGATACAGCTTTTCAATGCGTATTATCCTCCTATCATTATTAAATTCTATTTTTGTTGGCTCTCCTTTGATTTTGTTTCACTCATTTATTAATCAAATGAAAACATTGAATGACATCCAAAAACTCAATTAACAACAGAAAATTATATTCACTTTCACCAATCAATTCACCAACAATACAAATTCCGCTTGGCTTCCTCGTGATGTTTAATCTCCCTTTTCTAATGCTGTCACTTAATTATCACCTCAACTCTCCGATCATAATATTATTCATAATACAAGAGGCAATTTTAGATCGTAGAGTCAATCAACTGAAAAATAAATTATATCTAGAGATATTATCAACAAAGCCAGAATCTAAAATGCTTAACAATCTGCAAGATAAGAAAAACATTTTCTTGGATCCATCAACGGTATTTAATAAATCAATTCTCCCAAATCACAAGCCAACCAAACCATGTCAACTCATAGTTCAAGTAGAATTGACCCTAAAGTTAAAAGGAAGCTTAGTCAAATGAGCAAAGGAAATTTTTTGCATTTTTTATTAATTTAAAAAGTTGGACATGTACTATCAAATATTATGTCTAGAAAGATGAGAAGCAATTTTATGACTATCTCAAAAAAACTTATAATTTTGAAATTCCTTAACCTTAGTAAGAACAATCCACCAAAATTAATAAAAAAGATATTAAGTATCTCTTCACAATTGACGATGACGATGAAACCATCAAGAAGACTAGTCAATAGATTTTAAAAATGAATAAATTTCGGCGTCAGAAAGAAGTCCCTCTTGATAAATATGTATAAGATACTTATGAATCCTAATTAAGAAGATTTCCAAAAGTTANACGATGGACTATGAATTGACTATGCATCTTCTCCAATATGTTTAGCTATCCATATCTTGACTAACCATTACCAATTATATGCCTATCATACAAATTGTTCCTAGAGTAAAGTTCTTATTAGCAAATTAGAAGCATAATTTCAGACTTGGTCCATATTTGTCAAATACTTAATAATAGTAATTTGTATTCTGCAGTCTCACATCTCCTGATGCCAATACTGTAGGCATGAATGTCACTTAAATTCATAACTTACTTTTTATACCAACATTCAATTTCTTTAACAGCTTCTCCTCCTCTTAAATGCTATCTATGTTTGTGTTAGCCTATCAGGTAAATGAACTAACAATAAATTTAAACTCTTATTTACATTACTAATCGCACTATGAAGTAATTTCCAGGTTGCTATTTGTTTATCGCTTTCAACATACATCAGATATTCTTACCCAAATACAGATTATGGACTCTCCCTCTATAGATACAGCTTTTCAATGCGTATTATCCTCCTATCATTATTAAATTCTATTTTTGTTGGCTCTCCTTTGATTTTGTTTCACTCATTTATTAATCAAATGAAAACATTGAATGACATCCAAAAACTCAATTAACAACAGAAAATTATATTCACTTTCACCAATCAATTCACCAACAATACAAATTCCGCTTGGCTTCCTCGTGATGTTTAATCTCCCTTTTCTAATGCTGTCACTTAATTATCACCTCAACTCTCCGATCATAATATTATTCATAATACAAGAGGCAATTTTAGATCGTAGAGTCAATCAACTGAAAAATAAATTATATCTAGAGATATTATCAACAAAGCCAGAATCTAAAATGCTTAACAATCTGCAAGATAAGAAAAACATTTTCTTGGATCCATCAACGGTATTTAATAAATCAATTCTCCCAAATCACAAGCCAACCAAACCATGTCAACTCATAGTTCAAGTAGAATTGACCCTAAAGTTAAAAGGAAGCTTAGTCAAATGAGCAAAGGAAATTTTTTGCATTTTTTATTAATTTAAAAAGTTGGACATGTACTATCAAATATTATGTCTAGAAAGATGAGAAGCAATTTTATGACTATCTCAAAAAAACTTATAATTTTGAAATTCCTTAACCTTAGTAAGAACAATCCACCAAAATTAATAAAAAAGATATTAAGTATCTCTTCACAATTGACGATGACGATGAAACCATCAAGAAGACTAGTCAATAGATTTTAAAAATGAATAAATTTCGGCGTCAGAAAGAAGTCCCTCTTGATAAATATGTATAAGATACTTATGAATCCTAATTAAGAAGATTTCCAAAAGTTAGGTAAAAACTTGAAAAATCAAAGCCATATAATATTGCATTGTAATGAATAATAGATATGATTACATAATAATATAATATTATATATTTATAGAGTCAATTTTTTTCTTACTGGAATAATTTTATACTTCCAACTGATTTCTATTAATTCATTTTATAAAGTTTTTCAAATTAAATTAATTTTTTTCAAAAGCTTTTACACCTCATGAACACCATATTTCTGTTAATGAAGATTTCATCAAGAAGAGTAATACAAAATGAACTTCATATTAGTGTTCACCCTAGGTAAAATAAATTAAGAAATACCTTTATATTTTTGTTTCAAATTAATTATCATCATTAAAAGTGATATATTAAAAATTATTTTCTAAAATATAATATATCTTTGAACGTACACTTTGTGTAATTATGAGCAATATATTTACACTTGTATTATTCTTAAAAAGAAGTCTTAATAAAAATAAAAGAATATTATAAATCTTTGCAAGAGATGGACCTGATATTATGGAATATATATTTTTTTTGATTTCGATTTGTCCTATATATTTCATTACAAAAACAAGTCAAAATTAGGGCTATAAAAAATATATCCTTTTTGATTTTACTTAAAAATAGCTGAATAATTATTCATATTTACTTTAAATTATATGATCCATTTAATAATGAATTTCTTATTATACAATTATTTAAATTAAATAGATGGAGCACTTATTGGTAAATTTTAACCTTGGTAAACTTAAACGTCCTTCCTATTCTTATTCGGTGCTGCTAATTTCGATTACATTTTGCCAGTTAATCAGTGCAATTTTTTCAAAGTATAAATACTTTTAGAATATAGGTATTAATTAATCATTGCCCTTCATTACCCTAATTTAAAATATTCCCAAATTTCTGAAATCGCCAATTTAATCAAATATATAGATGTTAATAGTATAATTTAAGAAAATGAGATCATAATATAAATATTGTTTTGGTGGCTAACTACCTTGGTAATTGTAACATATTCGCTCTATGCAATCTGCTATTTTTAGGTTAAATATCAAAAAACGAAGAATTTAATAGATTAGTCCAGTGCTAAGGTTTTTAATTATTCTTAATTTAGATGTTAGCCTAACTTTTATTGATTGACTAATGGATTACTTGCTAGCCAACCTAGCTGGTTTATTTAAACTTAGCCTTCTGTTCAGTAAATTAAAATTGTTTGAATATTGGAATAAGCATTGAAGGTTAATAAGTTTTAGGAGTTTTCTTAATATTTATTAGATTTATTACTCAAATAGTGATTATATTATTTTTCACAAATCATCAAAACATTAAGAAAGATGCATTATCTAGTGGATCAAGATTTATATTACTTTATTTAGAAGTCTTTAGAGTCTTGCTGAACATTTAGTTGGCCTTTCCTATTTAGAAATAGTAATTCCATGTAAATATTGAAAGTAAACTAGGTAATACTTTTAATTTATCTTGCTTTATCAACATGTCTCGCTAGTTTTCTTTTCAGGATGAGTGATTTTAAGATGTTTATTGCAAATCAATATGTAAGATAGGTATTTAAGTTGTTCACATTCTCTTTATTTGGCATATCTTTAGGATTCGCAATAAATTCATTTTCAATTCAATTTAATATTACTCAAAGTGATAATTCAATTTCAATTAGTATATTGAGTGTAATTTCTATCACATGGGTTTTTTATTAATATTATATCAATTAATAAATAGAACATTTTTGCTTACCAACTGTTACAGGTGATCATTTAATACAAAAAATAATAAATCTAAAATCAGTTGCAAAGCAGTTAAATACATTGCATCAATTTAGTGAAGCTGATTCATATTATTTGGGAATGCTAATTTAACATTTATCTAATAGATGTCTTTAAGATACAAAGGAAAGATGCTTTTGTAAAATGAGAATGTTATATGATCCAAAGAAACAAAAGGATATCAAAACTTCTTAATTTTCTTTGCTTAGATAGAAGAGTTTGTATTTGAAATATCTGATTAAAACATGGTATGAGATTTATCTTTTTCATCATCCTCAAGATGTAGAAATTAGAATGAATTATGCTTTATTTCTATATTACAAAATGAATAATTCAGTGTTATCTTATCTGTAGATTAAATTAACAAGTGCTTACAAAAGGAATCTACTCTAATAGTTTGACTTAAATAAAATTCAACTTTAATTTAAACATGAAATTATTGATAATAATAGTTTAAGCTATCATAATGATTCAGATTTTGAATATGTAATTAAGATGGAACAAATAATTAAGTCTCTTGAACTCAATATTCAGAATTTTCTTGATTTTAGTTTAAAGTTTTGGAGACAAGTAAACTAGAAAATAATTTATGAAGACGATCTTTGGAATATAAATTAGGATATTATGTTAACAATTTCATAATCAAATGAATTGTGGAATTAAATAAGTAAGCACAAGATAATCAATAGAGATAAAGTAATTGTTAAGAATTTTCTAATGAAAAGGCCGAAATGGCAATTCCTTTATAATTGGTATTATTTGTATGTTCTAAACAAAAAATTAAAGTAAAGCATGTTAGATTATTGTGATTCTTAAAACATGGTGCAATAACCAATTGATGAAGATTCTGGTTCAGATAATTAAAACTAAATTGATTAATTTTCTTGTCAAAAGGCTTTCAATTATACATCAGCCATTCTTCACACTAATCAATCTGGATAAATAGTGAATTTTAGTGAATCTACTTATGATATTTTTGGATTTTAAGAATATAATAATATCAATCAATTATTACCTAAAACATATATTAGAAATCATTAATTTGGAATTGATCAATTTATTTAAACTGGTAAAAGCAAATCTTTGTACAAAAAAAGAAAGATCTTAGCTTTAAATAGTGAAAAGTATCTTATGCCATGCAAAAAGTACTTGAAATGGCATATAAGTCACCTCTCATAAATTGAATACATATGCATGATTAGACCTATTTATAGACATTAAAGTGTCAGTTACATTTTGGTTAACAGTGACTGGGAGATAGATTGTGTATCTGAATAAATTGCAGAATACTTTTAACCTGGCTTATGCTTATTTATAATCTGTCCAAAATTGTTGAAGTATTCATATTATTCAAAATATTTGACTGAAAATGATCTTAAATTGTTTAAATTAAAAAGAGCTAAAAATGAGGATAACAATCAGGACTCAATAGTTGATGCCAAATTCACAAATAGAAAAATTACTATTGTCCCCAGTAATTACAAAGGTTAATATGTGTAATAAGAGTAACCCTAAGATCTTGTTAGTATGGTTTTAGAGGATGATAATAAGAATGTATAGGAAAGTCCGCTCTGGATAAACGATGCTCTGTATGAGGATCTGTAGGAAGAGAAGGATTAATTATTTAAGAGGTTTTATAAGGTTGTGGATGAGGATCATGTCAAATTGACCTTTCGTGTACCAAAAAAGATCAAATATTTGATAGATGATTATGCTGAAACTAAATAAGAAATATTATTAAATGGTCTAGATTAAATGACAATTAAACCAAATAAATTAAAAGATGAGAGGATTGTGAAAAGAAATTCAAATGGAAAACTATAAATTGATAAGAAAGTACTCTTTTATAAACTGTTTCAATATTAAGAGCACTACTATGAGAACTTATATAATCACTTTAGTAAAACATCAATCAATATTTAGAAACTAGTTTTTAGAAGTACTGCATAACTAGTAGAATGCTAAAGACTGTAATCAAAATCGAAGCATCTATACGATTTACTAAAAATACAATCATGGATAAATATTAAATCATCAAAATAACTAATCTTAATGTTATTGAAAGTTAAATCTTAAATAAAAAGGACAAGGTAATTTCATATTTGTAATTGATAGGCCGTAAATATTCTCAATAGAAAAAATCAAATAGTCAGATAATCAAGATAAAGTATCTTTTAGAACCCTTAGCAATTTTAGCATTTGTAATTATTCTTATAATAGAACTACAAATAATAAGTTGAGTTCAATTATGAAAAATTGACCCATTCAAGTGGTTAATTATTAATTATATAATAGTTTAAAATTCTGAAGTGGAATCATACAGAAATACGAATAGGCCATTGATGTCTGAAGATCACGTGATGTTGGATTTCAACGCTTAATAAATAACATCTTTGATTCTCAAATCTTCAAATAACATTTTTATTAAGGAAGAAAACAATAAACCTGCAAAGCATTATACTTAACTAAACTTTTTAAAGATTTTAAATAGAATTTTCATCTTCACCTTAATCATTTTTAACCTTATTATTTTAAATTAGGGTCCTAATATCAATCAATTAGACATGGATGAACTAGGGGTATAATATATTATTATTAAAGTTTTAAAGTGCAAAGAAGCACTATGATTTTATCAACATTATGATTGAATCATATGATAAATTGATCAACACTTTTTATTTTTAAAATAACCTCCTTATTTAATTTCATAATGAATCTTAATTCTACTAGAACTTACAAAATAGTTTTAATGATTAATTATCCGAGATTACGAAATTATATCAATAACCAAGTTTTGTATAGAAAATCTATAAATCATAAAATTACAATGAAAATCTAAATATAATTGATTTAATAAACTAATATAAATCTATAATTGGAAGTCTTTAATAAATAGATTAAAACTAAGATTTTGAGTAATAATTAGAATTCTTCCGAACAATATTTATTCCTTTTCTCTTTGATTATTAAAGTCGGAATATTTATGAAATGATTGATTATCTAACTCAAAATTACTAAACCCAAATTTATATTTGTTCTACAGTTATAATGATATCCACAGCAATATTTGGATTTTATTTAGTTTCTAATATTTTCAATGTTATCAAACTTATAGGATAAAGCTAAGTATTATGATGAATATCTCTAGAAAGTTGCTAAACAATTATCTTACATTGACAAAACATAAATTGAAGAATCGCTAAAATTATATTTGAATCTAAAATTCTAATTTTCATGTATCCGAAGTGCAAGTGGCCTTATATAGAACAGTAATTATATAAATCAATTTAGATTATTTTTAATCAACCAATTAAACAATCATAAGGTAAGTGGATGAAGATGAAAAAAGCAGCTGTTTAAAGAGATAAAAGTAAAAGCTATATGAATGGTCCAAGAGATGGAAAAAAATAAAAGTATAATTTTAAATCATGTAGATTTTAATGGTATTAAGATATCTATTATTTATGTCAATCATATCATTTTTAAGCTATTTCTACTTTATTTACATTATGGGATTTAATAATTAGATGTCTAATATATTAAGTTCAAACTATTTTACTTAACAAACAACACAATTGCTATCATTAACTCTGTCCAAAGAAATCTTTATATACAATTTCTTTAATAAAACCTATATCGATATTAATAAATACAAAGAAATTCAATAAAGTTATGTGGCGAGTAATGCTGAATTACAGACCTAGTTATATGAAACCAACATTGATGAAATTGATCAAATTTTTAATGGAGATTTATGTACATCTATAAACTAAAGTATTTAACTAATTTAAACTTAGTTGTTAATTTCTAATATTGCAATAGCTACTTGAATGGGGCATTAAAATATGGTTTACATTCCTATAATTTTTTACTTTCTTAAATGGCTCAACAATTGCTGAATCCAGATGAGGGAGTTTATGATAATACAACGGTAGAGAAGATCTTCGAATTTGATTAAGTAATAAACGCAGTTATAGATTAAGGTTAACTAATTTTAAAGAATTGGATATGAACAAGCTTGGACAATCCTGGGTTTAAGATATAGTTAATCTATTGTAGAAAGTTCAAAATTAGAAATAATCTTTTTGTATTTCCTTATCAAATAAATTTAGATCATGTTCTTTTTCTTTTACTTTACTGCTATTCATCTTTCTATTTGAAATAAGTTTTTTTAATTAGATGTTTAGAATAATGTTAGATGTCCGTTGTTTCTACAAAAGATACTTTTCCAATATTGCAATAGATAAATAAAAGATTATCAGAGCTTAACTCATACAGTGTAGAATAATCAATAAATGAGCATAACACATATACGTCATCATTTCTCTTATATTAATTATATTTTAACAATATTATGTCTTTTGTAGAATAGAAAGGCAAATAGTTAAGACCGTTAAGAACTCAAAGAACACAATCAGAATATGATTCTCAATAAGTGAAACCAAGTCCTGAATTATGGATATAGAATGTGTTAAAGGATGAAGCTGAACATAGAAATGTATTGAAGAGCTTTGGAATTGACAAGGCTTCTTTGAAAACAGCTGGAGTAACATAGGCTGACAGAATTTATAATAGTTTGTTCATCTATTCTCAGGGAGTGTACAACTCTTTAGAAGAGTTGATTGCTCAGAGTTTTGATAAGAAATCTATAATGGGGAAGCTTTGGAAGGTATTCTAACTATTGACTGAGAAGTGCAGACCTCAAGTAATTGAAATAGACCAAGCATAAAGTTAGTAGAAGATCACTCTTAACATTTTGAATGACTAATTTCAATCATTGATGCAACTTAAAGAGCAGGATTTGATTGATCTATAAAATTAGATTAAAATGAGGGATGAAACTATACATTTGCTTTAACATAAACTAAATTTATAGAAATCAGAGCTCACCCAATATGATGAATTAATTTAAGAGAGAGATAAATTATTTAGCTAGGAAACGAAAAAAAGAGTCAGTTTCGAATCGAAAATTAATCATATCTAATGTATTTTCAATTAGTAACTGTAACTTAACGAATCATTAAAGTTGAAGATGATAAATGCAGAATAATAAATACAAAATTTGGAGTTGGATTTAGAACAGAAGAGACAAATTATTTTAAATTTAAATGTTGAAATAGGAGAAAAAGATCAAAGATTAGACAATCTGAAATGCAGAACCTTTGACTCTGAATTATAAGTCAAATTATTGAAGGAGATGAATTAATCCTTAGAGTCTAAATGTTAGGAGTATGAATAAAAGAAATAAAAAGACTATTCATTGATTTAATAATTGAATTATTAAACTTCAATTAATTAATCTCAATACAATAAATTAGACACTCTCAATAAACAATTAACAGCTAATTATGAGCATTTATAATAAAGACTCAATGAATAAAATAACGATATTTAATAAAAAACACAAGTGGTTTTTGAATAGCAAAACAAAATCACAAATTATGAAACTTAAATAATATTGTTAACATAAGAAAATGAGTGTTTAAAAACTAAATTACAAGAGGTAACATAGTTATCTTAAGAAACTAACAAGAATGCCAAAAATTAAGAGATTGAAATACAATAATTAAAGTAAAGATAATCCGTTTTATCAACTGAAAATGCTTAGATAACAATCCAAAAAATTCAATTGGTTAAAACCTATGAAGAATGCATGATTACATATTAGGAATTAAAAAAAGAATTTGAGTTTGAATAAGAATTAAAGTTTAAAATTGAATTTGATTTAAAGAGGTACTAAGATTAAGTAAAGTAACTTGAATAAGAAAAGAAACAATAATTTGATTAAGTGAAGGAAATTTAAAAGAAACAAATGTTTTAATTATAATAGAATGATGAAAAGAGCAAATTCTAATAGAATTAAATAGTAAAAAAGGATGAGACTATTGAAGAGTTGAAATGCAATATCAAAATCTTGAATGCAAGTAATTCAACTCTTGAAGGGTAGGTGAACTCACTTACATAAAATCTAAATGAATTACAGAATAAATATTCCTCAGAAATTATCAAGAAATAAGAACTTGAACAGCAACTGAAATTAATAGGATTGGAACTTAAAAATAAATCGGTAGAATTTAAGAAAATGGAAGAAAATCTCATGTTGCATCAAATCAAATATAGTCAAATCAAAGATTACCCTGATATGTACAAGGAAATCAACGAACAATATATAATTGTGCAATAACTAGTTGATTAATTATAAAGAGATATTGCAATGCTAAAATAAACAAAATAATACCAACACGCTTCTATTTAAACAGGTGAATAGAATTCATGTAGTATCGAATCTTAAACAGAAATCATACAATAAGATTACTCTTAATAGTTTAGTGCCACACAAGACGATGTTCAAACTTAGACAATTCCAGTATTTACAAATACTAAATTAATTCAGACAGAATTAAGTTAAGTTTTACTTACTGATGATAACTCTAGTTGTTTTGATAAGATTACGAGCAAGAAATAGCATTAATTTACATAAGTGGATCTGATAACTTAGACTGAATTCTAATTGGATTCATAAAAGTACACTTTGGAATAGGACGGGTCATCACATCATAGATCTATTTAGAATTCGTATAATTTTGAGGATAGTTATTAAACGAGATTGTAACCTTAATATGAAGATTTGGTTTATGACAAACAATAAATGAAACTGATAAGAAATGGCAAAACGAATTAAAATAATAAAATTGAAGAAGATCCTACTCAAGAATAAAATAAGTCTTTTATGAAATCAAAAATAAAGGATAAAGTCAATAAAGGAATAGAATTACCTTAAATCTCAAACTATGGAGAAAAATCCTAAAATGTACCAAATTAGAAGACTCCTTCAGCAAGATTTGCCAAGATGTATGTTCAGGCATCTGAATATTATAAAAAATGAATACTCTTACTGTTATAAATTTCAAATATTTAAATATTAATTAATATAATATTCTTGACACTATAATTCATTAAAAATTTTTGATTAGCTTTTCAATTGTATCTTTAGGTAGAATATCTTTCATCAAACTTAAGTATTCGACTATTTGTGCTCCATAAGTACAAGGTTTTTTGTATATTGATTTTAACACTGAATCAAGCAATGATTTAATATAATTCAAACATTATTATGCTTCTTCGGTATTTGATTATTTTAAAAATTAGTAGGTGTGTTTTAAAATGGATCTGAAAAATTATTGGATAAATTTGGTTTGAATTGGATTTAATGTTAATAATCCTTTAATGAATCTACATTGCATTATCAATTAACAGAGTAAATATTGATCAGAGACCAGACCCTCAAATAAATCAGATTCACAATCATCCATGTTCTCACAATACAATTCAATGAATCTCACTAGAACATGATAATCGAAGATTGGCTATAAGACTTTCACATTTGGTATTACAAACATTACGTTAAAGTAATTCTTGCAAATCTTCTCCAAGTCTGCATACTCTTCATCTACATCATCCATATGTAGACAAATATCCTTAGCATAATTGAGAATGATATCATTTGGCAATCCCTAAAATAATTCAGGGAATATCAATTATTCTTCCTCAATTCTTGCCTCAATCAAATTGTAATATTCATCACGCATTTCATCGAATTCATCATATAATTTAAATAGAGTTGGTATCTACAATTAATTATGTACTATTACCTTTTACTTTGCCATGTCATTGAAACATTGAAAATATTCATTCACCAATTCAAACTCCCTTAATTGCTTCTATAACTCCTAGTTCTACTCTAACCAATTCTTTATTAACATCTCACTAGAATGAATGGCCGATGTGGATCTTTCTACTTCCTTTTGCAATCTGTCTCTTTTGAAAATCTCTTAAGATATCAGAGTCTATAGATTTCCGATAATTGATTCCAAATTTATTTAAGAGAAGTTGTCCATAAAACTGCAATAGTGCATCTATTAGGAATCATTAAAATTGAAAGACTTAAACCCATTATTTGCATAGTCATATGAAACTTTATTTGATTTGATGATATTTTTCTCAAATCTATTAAATTCTTCATCATCTGAATTATGTTCATAAAAAAGCTTCTATTATTTTGCTATTCCTATCATATTCATCCTCTTGTTATCCATATCAGTAATTAAATTATTATCTGTTTCGTCTATTATAATTACATTTTATTGATTTTAGTTTCTCTTTACTGGCTGATCATCCTCATAAATTCCATCATTTTCTAAATCTATAATATTGATTTCTTCTACATTTTCCAAACTCTTTTTAGCTAAATAATTATTCATTCTGTTTTCCTCTTCTAACTCCTTTAGATACTCATAATTCTCTATTTGAATCACGTCCTTCTGAACTTCTACTATTGGTTTATTTTCTACTTTCACATATTTTTTAATTTAATCTGTATTTTCTTCCTCATCGTAGTTCAATCGATTTTTAGGTTTCACTATTTAGTTCGTATTGGATTATGCAGTATTATCGTTTTATTCTCTAATATCCTGATCTTAAAAAGAAATAGAAACTTGTTTTTTAAATTTTTTATTAAACATTTATATTATTAAATATAATTCATAATTTACTCAATATTTCTCTTTAAGTAACTCATTTATTGATTCCCTTCTACTGTAATACAAGGGAATACTAAATTTCCTGCTTTCTGATTCTGGATAGTTAATTGTCTTTACTTTGGAATACTTATACATTTTTTCGTATTTCCTCAAAGCATAAATCACATTAGACATAGGCATATAACCAAAAAAATTCATTAACCTATCAATATTGAAATTGGTTGTTTGGAATTAATCATCAAAGTGATTAATTTGGCAATCATTTAGATCGCTTAGACATTATTATGAAATTTGATTCTTTGGTGAATTAATGAGTTGATCATCTTCCGACTCAGATTTTAATTGTCTATCAGAGTCTCTGAAGACTGATTTTAAATTTACAAAGAGATTGGCCTTCTTTTATTATGATTAATTTCTCTATCTAATCAAGAACGAGTTATTTTTTTTCAAAGGAGCAACTGGTGGAGACTTAGACAATTATTTGTCTAATAAGGATTCTTTTTAGCAATGACTATTTAAATCTTTTGTCGCATATGTAGAAAATAGTTTCATATCAACATCAATTTAAGTCGTAGAAAGATTTGCCTTGTATTCTTCAACAGTGTCCTTTATTGCTGAGTGCAGCATTAGACATCGCACTTTCTCATTATTTCTTTCAATAAAGACCCTTTTTTATTTGGATGGCTGTAATTCAGCTTTCTTAATTCTCTATAATATGTCTGGCTTGTAGGATAACAGTGGACAGTCAATGTTAATATGATTACTCAATTTACAGAAATTACAATTCTTTTAAACAATCTAAAAGTTCTTATTGAATATAATATTGTCTTTGATGTGATGAAATCTCTAAAAATCTTTAGAATTTTAGTTTAATAACTATAACATAGATTAACGATTTAATTTGAATATTTTTGTAAAGCCTTAGCTTCTGACTGAAGTTTGTGATTAAAACCCAGTAAAGAATTAATACTCACCAAATGTATCCCCAGCTTTTAAGGACTGCAACAGTTTTTAACTATTTTCTTCATAAATATTAACAATCCCTTCTTAAATGTAGTATAAACTTTAATCATTTGAATCATTTCTATGATATATGACATCACCAGGAGTAAATTTAAATTCTATTAAACACTAAGACAGTTATTTTAGAGTTGATTGAGAGAATTGATTATTCAAAATCTTAATCTTCTTCATAATATTCATCTAAACATCTTATACAAGTTCTTATTTTAATCCAATTGGAAGATCAGCAACGATTTTATTGATATCATCTCTATTTTCGTTAGCTTCGGTTTCACATTAATATTTGAGGTAATTTCTGATTCTACTCTAAATTTACAAATTAACTTAGCTATTTTTCATAAATGCATTCATAATTATAATTGAACGTCTAAGAAATGGAGAATTAATAAATACTTATATTTTTGCTAAACTTCATATTAACTTTTAAGTATCATTCCTATTTGACTAATTGAATAACCAAACATACAACTTGAGAGAATCATCATTAAATTAGCTGCCAAAGTTTCGAATTGATTAGTAGGTGTAATATCTCCATAGCCTACAGTTGACATAGTCATTGTGGCCCAATAAAAAGATGTGTTGTACCTTTCCCAGATTGCGCTATTTTATAGGTTTCTTTGAATTAGCCATGACTGACCTTAATCCAAAGTAATTTCACCCACATAATGCCAAATGCATGCCATAACATGTGCATAAGAGAAGATCAAAATGATGAGGGACATTACGTCTATAGCATAATGATATTATCCTTTTAAGTAGAGAATTTCATATAAGCTTTCATAATTTTGATTGAGTTTTTTGTAAGAGATGAATATGATAATGATACAAATGGTGCCTTTGAGCTAAATATTATCAAAGATTGGAAAAAAGGAGACAATTAAGGTGGTAATATACATTAAGTCTTCAAATAAGCTTTTTTTAAAGAAATCTTTAATTCTTTCTGTTTTATCATAAATAGTTTCACCATTTACAATCAATGGACTATTGATTTTAAGAAAAGCATCGAAAAATACTTAAAATACAATAAAAAGGAAGAGAACTTTGAAAATGGAGATTTCCTATTAAAATGAAATCATAAAAGGAGTAATCCATAAGGTGACTATTTGTATGAAAAGAGACCATATAGTTAAAATGATTGATACATGACTACCAGATATTATAAATGGTATGCGATTGTGAGCATATTGATTTCCTTAAATTATGATGGATTTTACTTTTGGTTGGTTTTTACCACCAATCTTGAAGTAAAAGATACTTATTTTCTTTACTCAACACATAAGAACGCATGAGAAGAATGTTTTTGAACTTTTAGACAAGGGAATTTCTGTTTATAGTCCTCATGAAACTTGTTCGATTTAACCCAATCTTAAATTCAGACTTTCTTTTTCTTGTCAACTGAATATAAAGGGGAGGTTATTATGAATACCTATTTGCTAACATCTTGTTTTATCATAATTGAATCACAACGAATTGTATTTGTTATTTTGTGTGGATGCAATGATGTATTGGAGTCCATTTATTAAAACTGGTATTTTTGCAATTGTTCCTGATCAAAACTCAATCTAGGACCACTAGGATGAAGATCCCTATTTAAATCATTCGAATTGGATATTTATTTCAAAATACTCATTAATATAATTATCACAATCTCGGTTTATAAAATAGTTGAATAGCATTCATGGCTTAATCTTTCAGATGACTGAATTGAGGAGATATGTTCTTTTCCAATTCTTAAATAAGAGACATCAATAATCTATTATGTTCATTATAAAATGAACTTAAGACCTCCTTATTTTCACCTAGGATCAATTTCTAATTAGCAATCAGCCAATAAGTATACATATTAGGTTCAGAGAGAGTTGATCTATTATAGAAACAATAATCTTACTTATTCCATTTTTAAGTATCTCTTGTCAAGGTCATTTAAATCTCAATGACTCTTCCAAGCAATTTGATCTCTTCAATTATCGAAGGATTGAAATTCTTTAATGAAATGCAATCACAAAGTAGCATCATTGTACAAGACAATCGTTTCTATCTAGAGCATAAGAATTCTTCACAATTGAATTGACCTTGTTTTGCCTGTTACAACAATTCAAATGATTTGACATGTGCCAAAATAATATTATTCAATTCTGTCATCAATGCTTATCTTAATTGAGGAAATCCAATAAATTAGTCGATATTGTATTCAAAGATGTGCATTAATTCATTCATAAGTGACAACCCATATTTCAACGAAACAGCCCCTCCTAAACAAGGCTTTTAATTCAATATGAAATTCTTTGCTCTCTCAAAATCAAGACTTAACATATTGAAAGATAATAAATTTATCAAAATTGCCAAAAGCTTCAATTTTTATGTCAAATTATTAGACTAGTACAATTCAGCCTCTTTATTTATTTTGACTGTGTTCAAAACTGAAAACAAATTCTTCAACCACTCTTAACCTTTCAATCCAAATATTTATCTGTTCATTGTAGAATCATCTGCATAATTCAAATTAATTTTGTTTTAATCACATTCAAAGACAACATGTAAATCTACTTTTTCTTAAGTTCCTATCATATCGAAAGAACCTGAGAATGTGCAAAATGCTTTCATCTACTTCCCCTTAGCCTTGCCAATCTCGAAAAATACATTGTAAGCTTTAAGGAATTCCAACGCTGTTTATTTATTGAAGCTATTTCTATTCTTCATAAATAGAACTGCCTCATCAACAAGATGTTCAGGTATACCACTTGCTATTGCAATATTCCTTGCATGCAACGTCATGTGTCCCTTTTAAATCCCCTCAACAGCTAAAGCTCTCAAGGCTGCGAAATTCGAAGCTAATCCAACAGAAACAATAATCTCAGCCAATTTCTGAGAATCTGGATAATCCAAAATAGACAAAATCTATGAATATAAAGGATTTTAAGGCAAAACTCCTCCTTAAGTACCAACGCTGATTGGAACTGTTAATTCACCAATGAATTTATTATCAACTATTTTATACTATGAAAGTGGTTTGTATTGTCCACTCAAAGATGCATACCCATGTAAGGATGCATTAACTGCTCTTGCATCCTATCCAGTAGCATTACAAACTGCTTCAATTCCATTGATAATCCCTTTGTTATGTGTTACAGCTCTGTAAATATCAAGATCTGCAAATTGATATGCTTCTAACATTAGTTTAGCAACATCTTTTCCACTTAATGATTTATAACTCATTTTATCTATATCTAAACTAAACTACGCTGTTACTTTTCTATTCATGCATAGATTCGTTAGTATCTTAATTCCAATTCTAGTCCCAGTTATTTCTGCTATCAAAGGGGCAATAAATTCTAAAACAGTATTTACTAAATTTGCTCCCATACTATCACACACATTGATAAATATATCCACACTACATTGTCCTTAATTCAAGTTCCTACATTTCACATCCTCTACCCCTCCTCCTCTCTTTACCATACTTTAACATGCTTAATTTCCTCTGTTAATAATGGTCTATCTATTGGAATCGATTAAGCATTCAATTTTTGAATAGTTCGAGACATCTAATAATTAGATTTAGCCCATCATCACAGGACGACTTGAATATGTTTGAAATCCAACACCAGCTTCACTAATAGTTTTAGCTGCTGCACTAGCCGCTGCAATCACTGATGGTTCTTCTATAGCCATAGGCACTGAATAGCATTATCCATTTATTAGGAAATTTAATCCTAATCCAAGAGGATATGAAATCTTTCCAATGCAATTTTCAACCATTAAATTTGCATTTTATAATGATAATCCTCCATCTTTGAATGGCTCAACATTTACATTCATTGTTTTCTCCAATTAGTCCAATCTCTATTATATTGTTTTCTTATAAAATCCAGTCCACAATTGATTATATTGCTTTTAAGATTATTAAGAAGTTTAATCAATTGAGCTATTATTATTATTAGTCATTTAATCTCTAATTTATTGTATTTTTTTGTTAGATCTAGATTCATCAAGTACTATCATATCAGAAGTTTAGTTCAATTCGATTTGTTTATGCACAAGATATTCTCGTCTGTATTTATCATCTATTGCTTTTAAATAAAATGTTCCTGGATATAAGTCAACTTATTTTGGTTGATATTATTGGCTATGCTTATTGTAATTTATCTCTCTTTATTACATAATGTGATCATATTCGATACAGGAAATTCTAATCCTCTATTGTAATCGTTCTTGAACCTTTGAATTCTGTTTCATCATCTTTGTTGATTTATTGCATCTCAAAAAAAAGAGTGATGCTGCACAACCTGAACCATATGAGAACATCATTATTCTTTTATTTAGTAAATCATCTTAGGTTTCAATCAAACTTACTAATCCGGCATATAGAGCTCCTGTATAAATATTTCCTAATTCTCTAGATAAAAGACATGAGGGGAAAGCCTTATTCAACCAATCGTTTTAATAGAATTTAAGCATTTGTGATTATTTTTCATTAAAATTTTAGAATGTGAATCCAGTATCAGCCTTTTAAACAAATGATTCATTTAATTTAACTCTCAAGAATGACTTCTAAACCATCTTATGAAATGGACTGTGAAAACAATAAAAGTCAGCATCCAAATTATTATTTTTCTTATAGTAGGATTACATACAATTGTCAATAGATGATAAGTAGCTCTATATTGATAGTTGACCATCTACAGTAGGGTATTCACTGTGAAAGTTTGGCTTATAAAAATCATAATTATCCTTCATATAAGTTGTTCTAATTGGATCCAAGGTAAAAGTTGCATTTGGGGCTATTAACATGGCAATAGCTCCTGCCCCTCCAGTTGTACGTGCCGATCCTTTAGCATAAACTGCTATATCAGTGCAGACAACTAAACCATATCTCCCATCCCAAGCCTCACTCTACATCCAATTGATAGTATTAAATAAAGCATTAGTGCCTCCATAACAGGCATTTATTGAAGTCACGCCCTCAATATTTGTATTGTCACCAAATAATCTCATAAGTGTAGTTTTAGTTGATTTGGATTTATCTAACAATGACTCTGTGCCCACTTCCAGTCGACCTATCAATGCAGGATTAATTTAGTTTTTCTCTAATAGATTTGTGACCACTAACTTTTAGATTTCTATTTACCTGTCAAAGCCATAGTATTTACATCTTCAAAAGGTCTTACAAAGGCCATATTCACTTGACCCAATCCTACTGTATACTTCCCTTAAGAAACATTATCGAATAATTCTGAAATCTTATTTATTTTTAGTACCTAGCTCTGCTTAGTTAACATAAGTCTTAGGGAAATAAATCTCGATGGCTTCAATTCCAACGTTAATTGCTTTCATGTTTATTATTGGATATTTAAATTTATATTATTGGTTAAATCAAGCTTCCATTATCAGAAATCAATAAATTCGTATTTATTTAAATATCATTTATAATATGCTTTATAATTAAAATCTATATTAAATCTTAAAGTTAGTAATAATTGGGGAAGTTATTTGAATGTAAATGCTATTATTATGTACTGTAAAATAATATATTCGATATCATTGCTTTTTTGCTTATACTTTCTTTTTATCTCCTCCTTATTGTTATTTGCCCTTTTAACTTTATTATTAGGTTTGTTTTTATTCCTTTTGTTCTTTTGGCTATTATTATTGCTTTGCTTTTTGATCTTTCTTTTCGTCTTTGACCTCAACTTCTGCATCCTCCTTCAATTTCTTGATTCTGAGCATACCTTATTTAGCTGATAAACCAGCTGGAGTACTCATGATAGATTATAATCTTACTTTACTTCCCATGCTCCACCTGCAATTTGTAATCCTGTTTATGTGCATCTCCAAATACCAATAGCTTATCTTTTCAATGAGTGCTTAATAATCAATTCAATTTCATACTGCTCCTGTGAAGGTGTTAAAATATCTCTAATGCTAAGAAATTTCAAATTTCTTAATTATTTTTCTCAAAGAAGCACCATATCTGGTACCGTATTTACCTGTGATTCCCACCTTCTTTGTTTTTTTGGTCATATTTCAAATAAAAATAAAATCTTTAATTTATTTAGTTTAAACTATTTTATATATTTTATATTATTATCTTAGTATATGATATATTTAAAACAAAAAGGCATAATGAGTAGATTATATATTTTATGATGATGTATGTAAGGTAAGAACATGATTATTATTAAAAAAATAATTCTTTTGATATTATATTATACAACACAATTTGTCAAGGAATTAAATTAAGAAATTATTGAATTTTCTTTGCATTTAAACTCACACATAATTAGATTTAAATATATCAATCTCATCATTAAACAATTTCATCTAATAAAATCATTCTATTTTAATATTATAGCCTTTTTTCCTTAAGATTTCATTTTATCATATTTTAATAACCTTACAAACGAATACTTGTTCGGAATCATATATACTCTAGTTAATCTAAATTTTTTTAGGTATTTCATCACTGATTCGATAATCTTATCATAATTATTTTCTGGAAAATAATTAGTATATATTATCATTTTATCTAACCCTTCAATTATATTTAATGGTTCAAGATTATTTTCATTCTCATAAATAGACTATTACTAAATTAGATTCTATAACTAGCCTAAGGATGCAGCTTTCTGTACTGATTCATGGCGTTTGGTTTATAAAGCAGTAATCACACTCTACCCAGCAAAGAAAAGGCTTTTCCTTGGTCTCTATCCATATCGGAGCATATCAGTTGGTTTCAGAAGTGGGGATTCTGCATTTAAAGGAGATGCTGAGATAAATTTTGTCCTCTGACTTTTTCTCCTACTTTCGCTAGGTAAAGCATAAGACAGAGTTAATACTTGATCACTCTTTTTTTCGTATCTCGCACTCTCTTCACCAGATTCTTCAGATTCATTTATTGAACCTATCTATTAAATATCCCCTGCAGTATTATTATCTAAATCATTTGATGTTTTTAAATGCTTTGAGCTTTAAAGTAGGCTTTCTTAGTAATAAACATTGTGACGAATTCCTTTTCTTTTGAATTAGAAACGTTCTTGTTGCCAATCCTAAAAGAAATTCTTCTTAACAACTCTTTCTAAATCAGGTTTATAATGAATAAATGGACATTTCCAAATAGAATGAGATTCTTGGCAACAATAGCATTCAATAGATGAAGAATTATAATTAAATAATATCTCATCCTTCAGCTAATGAAATTGTTAAAAATCATGATTATAAGAATTTAGTATTTTCAGAAATTGATTCCTAGATATAAAATATATTTAACTGAAATCACAGCTAATAGCAGTACCTAATCTCTTTTGATTAGTTAAGAATTCTAACTCTCCAAAACATTATCCAGTAGTAAATTTTTTGAGTACTTTTCCTGAATTGTCATCAATTAAATTGACTTCTCCTTTCCATACTATGAAGATATTACATTCATCTATTTGATTTTGTTGATAAATGATTTCCCTTGGTGTATAAGACTACAGATTTAATTCACAGGCTATTTAAGGAAGAATTTCTTATGAAAAGTTTTTATTAAAAAAAGGAATGCATTGCATAACTCTAAATTACACATCCTGAATTAATTCAGATTTTAATGTTGTTGGTAATTTATCTATAATACCACTTATTTCATTTTTATAAAGTTTTTCTTATTTATGATAATGATATTTCAAATAATTTCTAATTCTACCCTAAAGCTGTTCTGCAACTTAATTGTTATTCATGTATTGATTAATTAGTAATAAAGTTCTCTTATATTACTATTTCTAAGCGTCCATATTTGTAAATATTGATCCTATTTGATTCATAGAAAATGCAAAAATTCCACTTGAAAATATCATGAGAACTATTGCACATAATACTTCATATATATTTTTACCAGATATGTCTCCATATCCTACTGTTACCATTGTGGTCGTTGCCCAATAAAATGAGTAAATGTACATCTATAGAATAGTAGAATCTTCGAATTTTGGATCTTGGGTCCATGATATTTCTTTCAATTCTATACTTTTGACTCCCACATAATACCAAATACATGCCATAAAATGTGCAAAGTAAAATGTGATTATTATCAATTATATTAACTTTACTATTTCTGTCAGAATTGGAGATTCAACAAAAGATTCTTCATATTTAGTTAAGTACTTCTTCAATTTTATAAAGTTCAAACCAAATTGTAATAATACAATTACTTCTTAAAATCCACCAGCCCTTATTCCTACATCACTTATGACAAATATCAGTGTAATAAAGTAAATAATGTCTTCATGCATTTCATTAGAAATGTAATGTTTTAGAATGTTGATTCTATTTTTTATCAATTTCCCTTAATCAAATATGCCTCTATTAAATTTAATTATTAAATCCGCAGCAAATATATATGTTAAAGCACTCTCAAAGGCATCAATATTTTTACTTGAAGATGGATTAAAGGCTATTTTAAAGGGCAACCACCACAGTAATATTGTTAGTTAAATAGCTCTACAAAATTCCCATAGTAACATCACTTTACTAGCTGGATTAAATACAGGAAGTTTTCTTTATATCTATTTTTTACTGCCATCTTCAGAAGTCTATATTTATTTTATCTTTTTCCAATTTTTTTTTTTATTCAACACTTCCCTCATATTTTCTCTGATTTAATCACCAAGAATTATTGGTAATATGTATGCATTCTTTTTTAATTTCTCAATAAATTATTTTACCAGATTATTAATCACTAACATTTTTGCCATTCCACTATTCCTTGAGTGTTTTTGCTTTTCGTTCTTATCTTAAAAATTATTTTATTATTGGAAATTATTAAATGAACTGATATCTTAATTTTTACCTTTGGAAATACTATAACGCAGATTTCTTAAAGAATTTGCTTATGGCACAGAATCTGATTCAGAGTTCTCTTTGAAAGGTATGTCTTGCATATCTAGATGAATTAGGTGTGGCCTAAATGAATCTGAGATTCTAGAAGATCCTATTTTAAAACAAAAATTGCACCTGCCAATTTTAAGTCATTATACAATGTTTGTTCTAAATCATCAGTCATACAAATTGAGAATTGAAATAATTAATTATTTAAATTAAATAACTTAGCTTAAATAGGATATTTATTTCAGATGTAATCAATATTAATTGGTACTTATAAAATTAAAGTTATTATTCAAAAAAGAATATTATAAAAAATATCTTCTTATTAATAAAATAGATGATACCAATTCAATTGATTAAGCTAGGAAGATAAAATAATTGTTTAATTAAAAATTAGTATATAGATCAATATTACTTTCTGAGAAATAGAATCTTTAATATATATTTAAAAATACACTAATGATGCTTTTTTGCATTATTTAAAGAGAAATAATAATCTTTATAAATTCATAAAAACTAGTTATTTTCTGTTTATAGTTTTCTTCTTGTCAATTCTAAAAGAGTTTCAGTGATAACTATTTTCTTGCTCCTCATAAGTTTTCTAAACGATAACAAAACCACTTCTATGTTATTTTGCGGAAAATATCCTTAAAATACTCCAATCTTATCAATGTCTAACATAAAAACCTTTCGGAATTCTTATTCTATTATTTCAAGTTAGCTAAGCGAAGATATAATAATATGATTATTTGAGTTTGATTGCCTGTTTTTTAGTGATGGAAGTTCCAATATTTGATGAATACTTATTTTGTTAAGATTTTATTCATTTTAAATTTCTGACTAACTTTATGTAAAATAAGGGCTTTCTAATAGTTTCTCATCAGTATTATGTTATCCAAAATTTTTAAAGTTAAGTGGAGTTAATGTTTTTTTTCTTGGTTTTGAAGGACTTATTGCAGGAGCAGTTTCATTTTTTATTGATTGCATTCTAGATCCTAACTCTTCTTTATCATCAGAATATGATTTCAATGTTTGAAGTTAAAAATACCCCTTCTTTTATCCAACTCTTTCAAACATTGTTCTTATTGATACAACTTCTTAAGCATTGTCTCTTTATCTTATAATATTTCGATTGGGTTTATAAAAAGAATAAGGGCAATCAATAATACAATGATTTTCTGAACAGCAATAGCATGATGAAATTTAATTTATATGATAGAACATTAACTAATCTTTGAGTTTGTGAAAATGTTCAACATCGATGGTAGAAAATTTGATAATTTTCAAAAAGGTTTCTCTTGGCATCCTTAAAACTTAACTTAAATCTTTGCTTATGGCCGTAAATTATCTATGCTATGAAGTTAAAAATTCAATCTCACCAAAACTTTATCCTTTACTGAGGGTTGCCAAAAGCTTTCCTGTTTAATTTTCAACTATCAACACTTCTCCTTTCCAAACAGTATATAAACTGCAATCATCTAATTAGCCTTATTAAAAGATGATTTCTTTAGGGGTATAAGATTGTATTTGTAATGTTTAAGATATGATCGGAATAACACTTTTAGAAAAGTTAGATCTATAAAAGGATATTTCAGACATAATCTTGGTTTGTATATTTTTTTAGAGATCAGCAAATATGTAAGAGGGAAGTTATTTTAAAATTTAATCTATTTCATCATTTTAACTTTATTGTTTTAATTTAGCTTGATATTTGATGTAATTTCTGATTCTACTTTGCACTTACTAATCTACTTGATTTTTTTTCATATAATTATTAATTAATAATAGAGTACGTTTATAAGTTTATTGTTCAGTATCAATATGTGTAAATATATCTCCTATTTGATTAATAGCATATGCAAACATTCCTGTTGAGAATATCATTAACACCGTAGCACACAAAACTTCGTAACTATTTTAAGCCGATATGTCTCCATAACCAACAGTTACCATTGTTGTTGTTGCCCAATAAAATGAATATAAATAATAATAGAGCGGATCTGAAGAGTGAGGTTAGAGTTTGGTAGTCCAAGATACCTCGTAAACATTCAAACTTTTAACTCCTATATAATACCAAATACAAGCCATAAGATGAGCAAAATAAAATACTGTAATAATTAGTTGTAATAAATTAGTTACTTAGATATACCCTGCTTTGGTTGCAAATATTTCTTCAAATTTTTTGATTTTCTTCTTAAGCTTTTTATAATTGATAGCAAACTAAATCAAAACCAATATTTCAAAAAGGATGTGTGTTTTGATATCAATTTTATCGATGACAATTAATTGAGTAAGAAAGTAGATAGTATCTTCAGTGAGTTCTGTTGAAACATAATGTTTTAGTATTTATGTTCTATTCATGATATAATCTCCTTCCTTTATAAAGCCTTAGTTCAATTTTAAAACGATATCAAAAATGAATATATAGATTAAGGATAGTTCGATGCTATCAAACTAATAATTCGGTTGAAATGCTACTTTAAATGGTAACCACCAAGTCAAAAACATTAGTTGAAGGGCTCTCAATATGTTCCAGGAAAATATAAAGATGGCAGTTGGATTCAAAATTGGAAATAACTCCTTTTAAGGTTATTGATTTTATTTCCTTAGTTTATCTAAAATTATAACATCATCAATATATTTCTCTTTTAAGAAATTCTGCATTTGATTTGAAATTACTCTAGGTAATATATAAGCTTATCTTTTTAGTTTTTCTATAAATCTCCTTACCAATGACTCTGTTTAAAACATTTTATAAATCAAAACATTTTTTTATGATTTTTAATATTCCGATGCTTCTTTATCTTTTTTTATGATAAGTATTCTTTCACTATTCCTATTTAGCTGAATAATTGATCAGATTTACTTTTTTAACATGTATACTAGTCCTTGCTGGTACAAATGTTTATGGCAATAATTAGATTTCAGAAGAAGGAAAATTGACTGATCGAACTGACTCAGTATTATCTTTTAAAGGAGCCAATGAAAGATCGACTTTTATTAGATGAGGTCTGAATTCGTCACTCTGTTTGGGAGAGACTTTCTTATAAGAACTTATTTAGATTACATTAAAAAAAATCTGCAGAATTAATTGATTCGCGATTATCCTCAATCATCTTCAATTTGTTTAATTAATTAATTAATTAATGATAATTAATATAAAGATATATATTATATAAATGCAATGATCATTAGTGTATAATTTAGGTGGATTAATATTGATATAGGAATATAATTTAGTAGCAGAATGAAAAATCAAGTTATTTTAATTAATTATTTTATTATTCAAGATTAGTTGTTAAAAATTTTAATTATATATTTGCAAATAATTCACAATAATTTTTGGACTCATTTATTGATAAAAATATTTAAATTAATTAAAATGGCTGCATTTTCAACATTCAACCTAATCACTTTCGGAGGGTTTGTAATATTCTCTCTGGTAGGCATTAATATTTCGAATAAGTATGTATATGGAAATTCTTATTTTAGTTAATTGTATATTGAAATCTTAAAGGTATTATTGGTGACAGCCATAGTGATGCTTATTCATTAACTATACTTGTTAAGAAAGACTACTTCTTCAGTTGTTAACAAACCCAACCAAAAGCAAATTAATTTTAATGCGTTTAAAGGGAATATTAGAAATGATGTAATATAGCCGAATTACTTTAGAAGTAGAATTTAAATTTAGTTAGGTGACTAATCGGAATTAATGTAACCATAATCAGGATAGATGGATGAATAGAGCCAAAAGGAGAAGCAAAGAATTTTGGACAAGGAATAGAGAAAAAATAATATGAAGAATTGTACTAAATTGAATTGTTATGAGTTTAGATTTTAATTAAGACAAAGAATTGCAAGAGGGTTTGAAATAATTTTAAGCTGGGTCACTGAGATAATTTTACGGGGATGATTCTAGTCAAATTCAATAAACTTCATATTAAGCTCCAGTTCAATTATTTGGTCGAAGTGGTTTTTGTAAATATTGTATTAACGATAAGATAATGAAATTTAGAAGAAGAACAAGGAAACTGAAAAGTTATTATTGAGACTAGTAAAGAAAATCGGAGATGCTCATTTGAAAGTTGAAGAACTATTTTTTACTTAATTCATTCCAACCTTTGTTAATGAATATTAAGATCATCTAATAAATGTTAATAGAATGATGAAAGAACATTTCCAATAGAAGATAATAGAGATAGATATATTTTTTGCCAATAAACCCTTTGATATTAATTCAAATAAACATGAGAAATCGATTGGTCTCAAGAGCATCACCATAGAAGATGTTCTATATTTCAAGAACTAAATTAAGACAAAATCACGAGAGCCTGTCAAAGCACCTGTTGATGTTGATAAATTTGCTAGGGACAAGGTAGAGTTCATAAGAGAATGCGATCTTTTGGAATTATATAACAACATCCTAGATTTGACATTGCTTAATAGAAATATCACTGTTGACAAGAAGTACTTGTTATTAAAACTATTGACTTTTACTGAGAGTAGAGGGAAACCTTAATATTAGACTGATGGTTTAATGTAGAGGGTGTCTAGTGATTATGAAGTAATTAATTTAATAATACTTTAGATACTCTTTACTGTATTCATAAATACAATTATGAAGTGTGTTAATTATGAGAATCAAAAGTTCTCTAAATTCAATGCAAATGATGGTAGTGAGAGTACTTTGAAAACCATAAGTGTAAGCATTATTTCTTTGGAGTCTTTTGATTTGAAGGAATAGAAGATTGATTAATAGAGCAGGAATTTTGTTATTTCATAGAAGTTGGAATAGTTGGATCAGGAACCACAATTTCACTTTTACAGTGATCATATTGTAAGGATGTTAAGAAAACAAAAGGATTTAGAGAGTAAAAAGTTGAATGAATTTATTTTGTATACTTCGAGAGTAAAATCAACATTAATAATAGGACTCTAATTCATTGAATGGCTTCGTATTCTATTATTTACTGCATCTTTTATGTCTTCCTAAATCGCACTGGTAGCAATTGCAACAGATTGAAATGGAGTAAAGAATGATTAAGTGCTTGATAAGAATGGCAAAGGATCTATCATTTTTAGTGACGAATCTTTGATTTCATAATAAATATATATTATAGTTTCTAAACATCAATTATTTGGGATATTTGTGGATTGTTGATATATATATATATATAAAATTAGAATTTTATAAATAATTTTCAACTTCAGTAATCGATGGGCAATTCTTGCATTATTTATTCCTGTTCCTATCTTGATCTTGAATAGGCAAATTGAATTATTTTAAAACTATAGTAAATGCCTGGTATGGTCATTAGAATCCCAATGAATAACAATGGTAAATATTGATCATAATTGGATGGTTGTTTAAACAAAAGCAATACACCAATTATCAAGAAGGTTATACCTAAGATAGTCAGCATAATAGTTATGGCAATGATCTCATTAAAACAATAAGTACTTTTTTTGGAATTGCATTCAAATGAAAAAGCTGTTATTCTTTAAATGATGAAATGGTGCTGTGACCATCGTCTTTGGAGGTGTTCTAAAGTTCAAATTCATCTATTTATCCTATTTGATGAGGTTTCAAATTCATATTAAATATTAAATAATAATCATGCAAACATTGACTCATTTATGTATATATTTCAATTATAAAGAACCTAGTGGTTTCTCATTCTTTTCCTCTAGAAATACAAGAGATTATTAGCATCTCATAGTTAAAAACAAACCAAACACTCAATCTAAGAAAAAGAAGCTCCTCTTACTTAAAAGAAAGAAATTAAATAGTAATTCACTTCCACACTCCTATCGAATCCCCTAATCCGATGACATTCAAAGTTCAACAACTCTGACCTTAACTGAAAGAATAAGGAAGCGGTATTTCTAACCTCTCAAGAATGCTGTTGCCAAAATCACTGAAATTAGACAACAACAATTACCCAGAAGGAAATCAACTTATGGATTATTATTTGGTCAATTGACACAAAAGGAAATGCAATCCTTTCCCACAACTATAGAATAACATAAACAAGTAAATAAGTAGGAACTGGCATTGACAAGTTTTGCAATTATGTTAGAAAGAAAGCAAAGAAAGGTCACCACTAGAAAACTCACCAAAAAGCTTTCCAAATAAGAATCTCTTATAGGTAATTTACTATTAAATACTATTTAAAGAATACGATAATATGGAAAGACCTCCTTCCTGTAAAACCCCTCCCAAAGTAATCTTGACATCCAAACCCTAAAGCAAGTCAAAACTTCAATTAGAGAAAGAGCGTTACTTTAAATGGTTAGATCTCAAAATGTTTCATTTCTAATCAAATAAACTCTAAAAAAATGTTATGCCTCAACAACCTCAAGGAGTCATATAACATTTTCAAACTCAATCTTGTGTTTCACTGAGAAATCTTCAAGTTTGTTCTTTTACTTCTTCTCCTCGTCAAAAGCCTAGAGTAAAACAAAGCACAGAAGTTAATTTGACACTCACCAAATAAAAAAGTAAATCCACTCTCAAACCATTAAGACCTTACATAATACATAATAATTAACTATAGAAGAAGATACAGTAGACATTTGAAATCAAGAATACGTCGTGGTCAAAACAAAATTCACTTGAAAGACAATACTGATTCATAATTAGATTATATATATATATATATTGCAGAGAGTATCATTTAAATTATCCAATCATCCTAAAGATGGTTTCCTTATAAACTAAGTGTTACTTGCATTATGTTGTCTGCATGACAATATTTAGTGTATAGAATGGGCAATATTCGATCTTATCCTATCCGATGAAGTTGGTTTATCATTCACATACCTGTTGCTCAGCACTAAACAATACTTATTTATATGAAAATACCTGGCTTATTTTCAAAAGTGTTATTAGCTATTAATGTTCGAGTTTGTTATAATTTTAGAAATATGTTATCCTTACTTAGTTTTTTTTCAAATTCCTTTAATATAGTATTTGTTTATGTTTTTGATTTTTTAAAGGCACTATTAGAGTCTTTATCATTATTGAAGAACTTATTATTGAATTTGGAACTATTTTCTTTAGAATTTATAGATAAGATCCAAGGATGATTCAATGCATCTTGAGGTTTAATTCTTGACTCAGCATCCCAAGTAAAGCATCTTTAAAGGAAATCAATAAAGTCATCATCTGTAGTTTTAAGAATTTCCTATAATGAAATGGATTTGGGTTTCCTATATGTTTTGATTGTTTTTTTTGGTTAACCATTCTCCTCGAAGAAATGCTTCTTTCTTGGACATTTTAATGCGAATTCAGTAGATGGAGCTCCAATAACCTCCATTATCAAATTAAATTGTTCCAATTCGTTATCTCCAGGAAAGATAGGTTATCCAGTATGAATTTCTGATACCAAGCATGCAAAACTCCACATATCTATTTCCATTCCATATTTCAAACCAAAGATCACTTCAGGAGCTCTATAATATCTAAGTGTTGATTAAAAGGGATAGAATACCTGCTTTATATATAAGTGTAGACCTAGTTACCATCTATGCATCCAGAACCGAAATCAACTAGTTTGACGATCTTTGATTTCATATCTTGTACCATAACATTTTCAGGTTTTAAATCACAATGAACGATATTGAGTTTGTGTAAATAATTCAGGGCTACTAAAATTTAATATGAAAATTTTCTTAAAGTTTCATAATCTAAACCTCTGAACTTTTACTGTTTTAGGACTTCAAACAAATTGAATTCCAATTTTTCAAATACTATGCATTAGTGACCTCTAAAAATAAATTGTTCTTCTATTCTCACTATGTTGGACTTATTTAATGGATCCCTTTCTTTAATCATCATAAGTAGATTGGCTTCTACTAAAGCTTATTTTTTTAATTTGTCTTGGTTTCTGATGATTTTTAGTGCAAATGTTTTTTAGGTTTTGTGATCCAAAACTTAGAACACTTAACCAAAACTACCTTATCCAATGAGATTGATAATCTCATACTAATATTTGATATGATCTTTGGCATAACATAAATATTCTCCATTTTAACCATCTTACTATATTTTTGATTATTTGTAATAATAGACTTGTTTCATTTGTTAAACTTCAAGTATTTCACTTTTACTCAAATTAAATAATCGAATAAACTAATCTATCAATAATGGAAACTTTGTCATAGTGGAAATGGGACCATTCTCTTTTTCCTTATTCGCCTTATTTTTGAAGTTGAGTATAATATTTTGAATAGTGTTGGTGTTGTTTAGATTGGTATTAGTATGCAAAGGTTGAATTGGCTTGAAAATTTTATCAGATGCCAATCCTGAAGTATTTGGACTAGTGGGTGTAGTATCAATTTTGCGTTTAGTGGAAAGTGGATGAGCAGTTTGGATAATTTATTTTAAAGCAGACATATCCAAATGAACAGAAAATTTCTTACGATCTGCCAATTTCATCAACTAATCTGTTAAATTAATATAATGAACTTAAAAGAATAAGAATCAATTAATGATTATTTTAAAGATGATTCAAAATTTATAGGGGAATTCTAATTGCCGGATTACAAGGTTATGCGTGGATACATCGGCGGATATGGAGATGAATTGAGACTCTATTACACTAAATTTGATCCTCCAAATAAAAAGGCATCTTTATGCATAGTGCATGGTTTCGGAGAACATTAAGGAAGATTTCTACATGTATGTCAAAATCCTTTATATTGAGATTGCTGACATGTTTGCTAAATTGAATTATGCTGTCCATCTAATAGATCTGAGAGGATTTGGGTATTCTGGAGGTCCAAGAGGATCGTAAACATTGAAGGAATTACATATGGACATTGAAGTGTTACTGAGACAAGTATCTAAAGATATTCCATTATTTCTTTATGGACATGCCATGGGTGGTTTGCTCATAATCAGTTTCTTAATTCGGAATCCTCAATTAAAAGTAAGAGGTATCATTACTACTGCTCCTATGCTTGGATTTCCCATGGATAGAAAACTTAAGGGAATCAAATACATAGCTGTCAAATATTTTGGACATTACATGGAAGTATAAAATTATATTAACATCATTTAAAGGATTTAGTCATCAATACAAAACTGAACATAACTGGAATGAGCAAGAATGACCAACATATTTAAAGATGTTTTGAAGATAAATTGATGATGCCTTTGTTAGGTATTGGAATGGCAAAAAGTATTCTTGAAACCTTAAATTATATGGAATCAAAAGTCTAGACATTTAAATACCCCATCTTAATTTTACATGGTAAATAGGATGCTGTTTCGAGTTATCATGAAAGTGTAAGATTTTATGAAAAATGTGGTAGTCAAGATAAATCTATTAAATTGTTTGAGAATGGGTATCATGAATTGCAACATGATTTTGAATTTATTGAAATGAAACAAATTATTATTGAATGGTGTTCCTTGAGATTATAGAAAGCAGAACCATTTGGTAAATCTAAATATTCATACATTTAGGTATTTTATTGTAATCAAGATTAAATTATGGTATTCCTGTGGGTAAGAGCAATAGCATCAAGATTCTGCTGGGTATACTTTTCGTGCTTGTGTACTTATTAGTGATTTTCAAATTCAAGAGAAGATTCAAAAAATATTAATATCCGATTATTCCATTGATGATAATATATAGATATTATAATAAAAATTTATGAAAAATTTTAGAAGAAACTTTAATCAATCCAATAGACCTTTTAGAAATAATAGAGGACCTAGATCAAATTTCAAAAGAAAATTCAGCAAAGATGATAGTGATCGCAACAACAATAATCAATGTATTTGGCTTATTATAGACTATCCATTATATAGCCGATAGAAGACCATTCAAAAGAAGCTTTAGATTCAAAAAGTCTGGTAAATTTGATGCATTCAGAACTGGAAAAAGAAGATTTAGAAAGTTATCTGAAAATAAAAGTGAAAACTTAGAAAATAAATTGGATAAACAATTAGAATAATATAAGAGCGGCTAATAAGTAGTAGGAAACAGTGGTATTGATTCTCATGTATTTTATAGCCTCTTCCAAATTAGACAATGCATTAGATGCATATTTTTCAAGAAAAGGATCAAACACAAAAGAAAATAACTTAGATAGAGAATTAGCAGGCTATTGGAAAAAAAATAATTGATAAATGTTAAAATATTCAATATAATCAAAGATATATAACACAAGAACACTCTTATGATAGTTAAATAAAAATAACTTTACATAAAATTCAATAATTATGAGATTATGATTATTGTTTATCTCTGCTCAAACACCCAAAAGCAGAAAATACCTTATCCATAAATCCCAATTCCTCTTATCTCTATTAAGGCCCTTATATTTCTCTTAATCCCTGGGCCATTTACTACCTTTGGGAAACTCGACTAACTCTAGTTTTAAAATCATCTTCATAATTGTAATTAGAACAAGCTGTGGATTTACAATTATTATTAACATTTTACTAGTTCGGGTAATTGGATGATTTTGATAAAGTTTTTAAATCACAATTACTATTCTAATTTGTATTTTTAATAAATGATCTACTCATAATGTCCTCATTTTGGGGTGAAATAGATCTACTAGACAAATCATTCTATTTTTCCTCTTTATACATATATGATCTTAAGTCAATACCGTAACTCTTGTAGTGCTTTTTCAGCCAAACATGATCGAATATTTAGTTCATTGAAAGCCTTTCAGCAGGGTTGTATTTTAAAATTCCTTGAATTAATTATTTAGCTTCAGTAGACAATGTTGGATCATAATCGATAGTTGCCATTTTAACGATATTATTGCATTTTTCGTTTTCAGTCCTTCCTTTAAATGGTGCATAACCATGTATTAATTCGTATAATAAAATTCCTAAACACCAAATGTCTAAACTAAAACTATATGGTTAATTGGTTAGCATTTCAGGAGCCATGTAATCAAGGGTTCCACAGAAGGTTCTTCTTACACCATTCTAAGTTGTTTCAGCTGACCATCCAAAATCACAAACCTTTATATTGCCTGATTTATCTAATAATAAATTTTCTGGTTTTAAATCTCTGTGGATTATGTTCTTCTTATGCAAATAATCAATTCCTAAGCAAGTCTAAAAGAAATATACAAAAGCTTCATTTTCTGGGAGTCTTCTTCTTTTTCTAATATAGCTGAATAAACTGCCATTTTCTTAAAATATATCAGATTTAAGATACCTGCTAATTCTAATATAAGAAATACATTCTCTTTATCTTCAAAATAATGAAATAACTTAGTGATGTGAGGATGCTATAGTCTTCTTTAGATTTTAATCTCTCTTTTAAGATTTTCAACAGAACAATACTCAAATATTTACTTTTTATTCATCTTAAACTTAATAACCATTATTACCACTTTCATAGCATACATTTATCCATTCTAGCGATCCTTGACAAGTTTAACACACCCATAACTGCCTTTTCCCAATTCCATCTTATTATCCTTGATGATGATTTCAAAATCTTCAGCTGACCTTCTAATCGATTTTAATGTTGAAGCTGAGTCGTTGAGTTCTGTCTTTGACTTTGGTAGGTAAAGTCTGCAATTGTTCTTATGAGACAAAGTCCTTTAATAAATTACACTATCTACCAATCATTATCCTTGCATTTTTAAGAGCAATATTTCATAATTTAACAGGCAGAACAAATGTATCCCAATTCTAGAACTGTCTTGCTCGTGCAATATTTATATGAACAGACTTAATTCATTTTATAATTTATAATAACGCATTAATTAATCTATTCTCACCAAGGCATTGCCTTCTAAATTGCAGTAGATTCCAAAACACAATAATTATGAATATAAAGGTTTGATAGTTATGAAATGGAGTGCTAGAATAAACATTATTAGTAAAATTAAATATTCTTAATTTGAGGAAATAGAATTTTATATTATATAGGAATGAAATCAATATATAAAATAATTATAAACTATTTTATTAGAAATATTTATGGCTCATTTAAAAAAGTTTTCACTTGCTAAAAAACTAAGCTAACTGCGTCAAGAAAGCTTGTAAGTTTTTACTCCTTTGTTATTTGCAACTGGGAATGATGATTGTCTCTTTTATTCTGCTGATTTGGTGATGAATTTGTCATCAAGGAAAAAGAAAGATATGAAAAATCTGCTATTTACAATGCAAACCTTAGAAATACCATATTTAAGTGCTAATTAAGTCGGAGTAGAAGATAGGTATTTCGGAATAATGTTTTAAAAATAAAATTTCAAATGGTCATTAATTGAAGAAAAAAACCTGGAATAATTACTTTGTGTGAATCCTTTGGTTTTGAGTGTTTCAGAAACAACCTCAATAGATTGGGAGACTAATATCTGTTTCCCATTTATCCGTAGTTAAATTGAGAGGTACGATCGAATTCGTTTACACTTTCAGACTTTAGAGGATGAATAAGAATTTGAATTTGAAGGGTTTAATGCAAGAGTTGTATAGTAGGCAATTGGTAATTAATAACATTATGGTAATAGATAGCTTGAATGGTTATTAGATAATTGACCCTAGAATCCATTGTGGGAGGTGGGAAATCAATCCTAAATGGAAGAATGTCTTGCCGAAAACAGAACTTACAATAGACACCTATAGAGGAGAAATCTAGAAACTTGTGAAAAGCAATCCAGAATGTTTTAGGAGAAGAAATGTCATGTAATTAAACAAAAAAGTTAAGGAGGATGATGATGAATTCTCTTTTGAGGCTATGATGATGAAACGATTAGAAAAATACATAAAAAGAGAGATGCTTGAACCTGCAGCAGCTGATATGGAGGGACAATACAAGTAGCATATTTTAGATCAAATCAAGAGTATCAAATGAATTTTTAATATTTTTTTGTTTATAAATTAAATGAACCAATCTACTTTATAACAATCCACTGCCTTGAACTCATCTGTAGCACAAAGTCACATCTCCAAAATAATGAATAAAACCTTTCTTTTGAGTGAACACGATTCCCAGATGAGAGAAGTGCTTCAAATTAGTTATAAGGATTAGCATCAAAGTTTTAAGAATGAGATTTCTATGATTCAAGGAGCTAAGGATTCAATAGTATCATACTTTATATAATGATAGACCTCAGGTGTATATCTGAGTAATATTCAAAAGGAAAGAGCTGATCAATTTGATGTTGTATTGGCACAGCGTAAGTTTCTGTGGAAACAAGAAGAACAATTATATCAACAAATTGATGATTTGAAGAAAACCAATAAAAGATTTTAAGATAGTGTTTCTCATTATGGAGTTCGAAATCACAATTTGGAAACTGAAGTTAAATAAAAGTATGATTAAATCTAAACAAAACTAAATTCAGTCAGAGAGGAGAGGAAACAATTGTTGAAGAATTTTGAGCAGATCCAACAAAATTAAATTACTAGTCGCTCTAAGTTATCTAATGTGGGATAACAAGTGCTTGACAATCCATAATACAGGTCTATGATGGACTTTATCAATTAATAAGAAAAGAAGGTACAAGCTATGAAGATTGAATACAATGATCCAGCTTCTAATTAAATAATTCCATTTGATAAAAAACTATAACAAAGTAATTATTCAATTCTATTTTAATAAAGTGGCTGAAAATACATTTGAAAAACAAGCTAGATTTCTATATTAAGGAACCAAATTTGAAGGCAATGACTAATAAAAATTGGCAGCACTAAGTACATTAAGAAACAAAATTGAATAATATATTGATGACAGAGGACTTTAAGGAGTTATCCTAGATATGCCATTTAAATTAAATATGACGAAGGAGTAGGAAAGTGCACATAAGGTTGAATATAATCAAACCTTAGCAGAAATTGATAAAATTAGAAAAGATTATATCTAATCAGGAGGAACAGATCCTAATTTTCTGATATCAGTAAATAATTTGGAAAGATATTACAAAAATAATCATCCTATAGGAAGGTAAGAAATGCCTGATAAACTGAACATGAATTTAGAAGAGAGAGGGCCAATTACATAGAATCCTATATACTAATACTTGCCTTAAACTTTTTAAAAAGAGATTTTAGAGTTGGAAAACCAAGTTTAAATTTAGAGAGAAGCAGATCGGAGAAATCCAAATTTAAACAAGGAATTACTTAGAAATCCAGTTGATGTAGATGACTCTAGTAAGGCGGATGAGATGATGCTAGAAAATTTAAGATAATAAGAAATTAGTATAATGTTAGCAGATCATATGACTGAGGAGAATAAAAGGAAATATGATGAAATATAGAAATTAAAAGAGATATACGAAAAGAGGTTCTTGGAGAAGAAAGTCTAAGAATAGCTGGATTTGAAATAAGTTGAAGAAGACGTTTTGAATTTTAAAGGGAGACCATAGGATAAATTAAATTATTTATAATATCTTTAGGGGTAAATAGGTACAATGCCATTACATTATGATCCAGATGGAGGATTCATAGTTCGATTAGATTTTGTAAATAAATTACCCATTGTTTATGAACATGTCAAGATTAGTTATGGATTATTTATTAGGAAGTAATGTTATTTTAATAACTTAGTTTAGATGAGCCCCACACGACGATGACAACTCAATCACATGAATGTACCTAAGAGAATATATTCTAGAAGAAATGTATAATATAGGAAAGGTTTGTTGAAAGAAATCATGAGATATACAAAGATACATATCTCTATCTCATCCTGTGGTGTTACAATTAAGATTATGGTAATGGTGCAGCTCCAAACTAAGTAGGATGGACTCTGCATAAAGTTTTTGATGAAGAGAATCTAATTTCAGGATGTTTCCTTTTACCATTCTACAATGCTTCATTCACATATGATCTACATAAATAGGTGGAAATTTAAGAAATCAAATTGGGCCTGCGAATCAGCATGCCTGGTGATGCTGTGTTGGACATGGATACCAAGATAATCAATATTGTTGATTATAAGTTATAGCCTTTGCATTAGAAGTAATAGGATGTTATCGATCTGGAAAAGCAATTTAAATTTAAAGAATATAGAGTATTCCCTATCCCAAAGGAACTTCTATATATGCAATGCAACAATCCTTCATTATGGAAATCTGAACTTCCTCCTAATGTATACAAATTGATGGACTTCGGTTTCCTCAATGAATAATAGGCAGCAGTTAAATAGCAATAGTAAGAATATAATGAAAGATAATAAAATCGTTTGAATAGACCCAATAGAAGAATCTTTGGTAAACAAGGTACAGCATTAAGAGGATAAACAGACAAAAAACGCACTATGCTAACTTTTAAGTAGAGACTAGCATTAAAGAAGGGAACAACCACACCTAATACAAATAAATCAAAGTCAAGAGATAAGGAACTTTCTTAACGACCTGATAGCAAGGCTGATACTTCAAGGTAAAAAATACAAGAAGGCAGAAGCACTCAAAGAATTTAAGAAAAAGAGAAGAGTACTATAATGTCTACAAAGCCAAGGAAAATAATATTTAAATTAAGATCGTTATCTCAACTACATGCTGGGTCTATTACATCGTTTTACATGAAATTAGCACTCTTCCAAAATATTAAACTAATAGAAGATGACTCTAAGAACATGTGTGTGTTCAATAAAGAATTAGAACCAGATGAAAAAGGCGATAATTATTTTAATTATACTGAAACCTTTACTTTTGATTTAAATTTAACCAACTATTTTCAAGAGTAGAATTAAGAAGATATCTTGAATACTTATTTATTTATTGCCATATTCAAAGATAAAATAGATCTATTTGGTTGGCATGCTTTGTAAGTCTTTGATTTCACAGATGATCAATATAAAATAAGGAGTGGCATCTACTCTGAAAACCTGTATGGACCTCCAGGTTAAGCACCTCCATTTAATTTAAACAGAACCAAACGAACTAATAATTAAATCAACTTTATCATTATGCAAGATGATGATAGGGTCCTTTAATTACCAACTTATGATAATTATAAACTAGATTAAAAATGTAAGTCATCATTATTTAATTTTATTAGTGCTAACAGAAGAAGATAGAGAACAAAAGAAGAAACTCTACAGTGTTGCAAATCCTAAATGGAATACTTAAATCAGATTGGACATCACACTTTTAAAAAACTTCTCATAAAAGGAGGATTTCATTATGAAAACTTTTGTTTTAGAACGAGAGAACATTATTATCGATGTCTTGGATAGACAATGTATTAGACATGATAATATTGAACTATTTGAAGGACAAGGCAAGGGAGAAATGATTGTAAATCATACAATAATCCTACGTATTGGTACAAGATATTTAATTGATACTTTTACTTTGACATATAAGAAATTAGCATATTTATTTAATTTTATCCACAAAAATGATATTATTGGAAGTTGTTAAATGAATTTATTTACAAGCAGTGGAACACTAAATGTTGGATAACAAAGTGTATTTGTTCATGATTTGGATGGGAGTGGCAAAATAGGGAAAAAAACAAATCGTTAAATGTACTTCTTCATACAAGAAGAAAACTTAAATCTAAATGATATCGAAGAAACACCAAAGTATGCTCAACACATCAAAGATAAATAGCAAAATCTTTAATTCGATTAAAGTAAAGGATTAGTTATTTAAATCGATTCCTTAACTGATTATGTGAATTAGAAACCAGTAGATTTTACAATTTAAATTTACAATGGGAATGAACCGGCAATTGATGAAGATGGAATCATATGTGCTTATACCAGTTCTAAAAAATATCAACCAGCTGCTAATTAAAGTGTACTCATCAATGGATTTGCTTATTTTAAATTACCACTCACTTAACTTTTACATAAGAAAGTAGATTTAGACAAATTTTATGTCTTCATTTCATTTCAAGATTTAGGATGGATAAGTTTCCAATTATTCTTGAATGGTCAACTCAATAGTTCAGAGTTTGTTGGTAAATTATTTTAAGGAGAAGTACCTGCTCCTCCTGTGGATTACACTGCTATTAAAAAAATAAATACAAAGATTTCATATTCTGTTAGGTTTGACTATAAACCAAATTAAGAATACAATGACGATGAAATTCAAGAAAGTCGTCCTCAAATTCATAAAAGTGGAACATCAAAATTTTAGTAATCTATTCCTAGTGAGTAAGTAGCAAAAATAGCATCAAGAAGAACTGTGAATTCCACAGAATAAACTGATAAATTATTAATTGTGCTTATCAATATTAATGGATTTCTGGATCAGGCAGTACTAGCTGTTAAAGGTCTTCTAATGATGGATAGCAAACCTCTTTTAGATAGGAATAATTAAACTTGTTCCTTTAAGACTGATAAGGTTAATAATGTACAAAAAGTGGCATTCTTTAATAACATGAAATTTGCTTTCCTTTTGGATACGACTAGTTTGAACATGGAAAGTTATTTGTTTTTATCTGTATTAGATGAATCTGAAATTGTTATTGCATGGTTTGGAAGAAGGCTTGTTTCATCAGTCGGGAAGGTAGTCAGAGGGTAATAATTTGAATATTTATTTGCACCACCACTTATGAGACCCCCTCTCGATAAATCTAAAATTACTGCTTTATAGTAGTCGATATAATTTGAAATTAAATGAATAAAATAATTCACTCAATTTTATTTATTATTACAAATAATAGAAAATTAATTTGATTCTATAAAAACAAGACACACAATCAAAATTAAGAAAAATCATAATAATTTAATCCTTTGATCTTAACTAGAACGTATTTACAAATTGAATCTCCATTATATTTAATAATATAATCTGCAATAGTATTTATATATTAATTTATAAATTTCAGTTTATTGAGATGTAATTTAAATTTTTTCATCTCCTTTTTCTAACTGAAGTTATCGATTAAATTTAGTTCTAGGTCTATTAGTGCTAAATTTATTAACATTATTGGAAATATAAGACTCATATATATAATGTGAAAATTAAGAATCAAATAAACGAAGAATATCCACAATGACTACACTTTTATTAGTAAAAGTAATTCTAATTGCAGCATACTTAACATTTTTTCAAGAAAGAGAATGATTTTTTAACACTCTAAGAGCTTTTTGATAGATCCTCAAGAAATAAGGCTTGAGAAAATACTCCATTTTCATCATCTTCATTGCTGTCTGTCGAACTGTGACTGCTCCCTCCCAAATCTATTTCCTATAGCTTTAGTGTTTCAAGTATTTGTTATCCCTAATCAACTTTGTTAGGAATAAATCGAGTTCCTGGCGTATCTCTTGTGCACTACTGACATCTATTACAAATCTTTCTAAATGAGTAATTCAAGTTTCTGCATTCAACACAAATCCAATCGCAAGGTTTAGTTTACATAGTAAGGTTTTCTTTTTGTTTTTTTAATTTTATTATTCATCTTTGATATTATTGTTCAATATAAATAATTGAAAATAAATGAAAAAACCGACAATTCAGTCTAAATTTGTAAAATCCCCCTTATTACATACTTGTAAATTCTGCCCTCTCTCTAATAATGCTAAGCAGCCCTTAAAGCACTTCTTTTACCACTTTGGACTTAAAAAAACGATCATTCCTTATCAAAGTAAAAGGAAATACTCTAAATAAATTTTAATTTTTAAATTCTCTATAATAACTTCCCCCTCTTAACAAAATCTGTACTAACTCCACAATCTCATGCTTTACCATCCCTCCTATTTAGTTTTGGTATTATTTTCAAAATAATAATAATTATGCCTTAATTACTTTTAGATCCTCAACAATATTATTAACCATAAACTAGCATAAACCACTCACAGTATGACAATACCTATATCTCTATCCTATTTATGTATGTTAGTGGATCATAAAATTGAATATTAGAATAATAATCATTTAATAATTATTTCTGAAGCTATTTTTTATTTACACCCACACAAAACAGAAAACTTAACCTGCAATTAGTTGTCAGAAAAATCAAGGACATTCTCTATTATCACTTTTGCAAAAAATGAAACTCAGAATTTCACTTCAACTATTAGTCAAAATAAAGTGCCGAACTTTTAATTATTCTATCATAATAATTTAACTGTAACATTTAAATGAGTAGGTCTATTGAAGTTTTCTATCTACTAATTTTATTACATTATCTAAATTATTGGTATTTGAGGCATAAATTGAATGATCCTTAAATTCATACAATTAACCAGTAAAATTTTATCAAGGATAAATGTCTGATATGTTGAATTTCAACACTTAAATTGAATACAATAACTTATTATATGGCTAGCAATAATAGATAATCACCAACCTACTCTTTTCTTAATTAGTTTATAGCTTGTGATTTTTTCCAGTTTTACCATTCTCAAATATGAGATATTTTTAACAAATAAAATCTCCTTTAATAATACCAATATACTATTCTTTTTTCCCTTTGGGATATATTTTATAGCTGCCCTTCATTAAATAAGGTCTAGTCCTTAGCATTTAAAATAAATTATGGTATTATTCTTAAAATAATCTAAAAATTAGGAGGAACTACATAAGATCTATAATAATTATTTTTCCTAAAGGAGTAGGCTAAATTACAATTTATTCAGCATTAAAGTCAAAATATAAATCTAATAAAACAAATAATGATTGCCTTTAAAGTTCTCTTTTATAGAATATTGTTCTATTATTCATCTATTTCTGGTTTCTAAGCTTTTTGCTTTTATATGTTTGGTTTTATTTTGCTGATTATGAAATTTTAATCAAATAATTGAGATCATTTTTGATTTATTTGAAACTTTGAGTTCTTTCTTTCAAAAGTCAAACCTTAGGGAGTATTTGATTAGATACTTGCTGAAATCTATTAATTCATTATCTGGTTGCAAGAATTGTTTCTTAATTTTAATTTATTATCTTATTTCGAAAATTCAGTTGTTTTAGAATATAAATTTATTAATATAAGTTAAAACAAGAAAATTAAAATATCAGGATTGTAATATGATTCTATGACTATTTTGCTTTGATTATTATTTCTTATTTTCTGTTTTGGGAGATAGATGTTCAGGAATACGTTGTCCCTTTTTAAATTAGTAAATTACTTTTTTTGATTTTGGTTTTGGTTAAGTCATTTTTTATTATAAATTGTCGTAAATGTCCTTTTAAGAGGGTACTTTTAATGTGTGTTTAAACTAAGATGAATTTATTAATTTGATTCTTTAAACATATAATTCCATATCTTTTTCTTGTTGCTTCTCCACTTGCAGCCAATTGAATTTTTCAATCCTTTCATACTTCAAAAAGTGATTTCTTATGTTATAAAATAATTTAAGAGAATTAGTGATTTATTTAGCTTGAATATATAATTCATATAAGCTTATTGCTAATAATTATATTAATTTGATACTATCTTTGACATTCTGTTGCTAATACTGTTCCAATTATTCTTCTATCTCCTTTTTTATAAACAAATATTCATTTATGCAATCTTTATAAATTAAAATAGTGATTTCTTTTGTTATTTACTATCTATAACTAAATGACTTACGGTGAAATCTGATTCTTAGAATATTATTTTTTAAATCATGGGAATCATTGATATTTTAAAATTGATCATATTTGTTAATTTAAAGAGCCACAAAAACCTAATTTTTCTGCTTTAATTCTCTTCTAAGTATGGATATTGCATTTTCTAAGATGCGTAATAAATATCCAAGTTGTTGGCCACCCTTTGCATATATGAATAGTATTATTGAGCAAACTCGATTTCAACATTATAAAATTTAATGGGATACTTTTGAATGATATCTATACTGTTTTACTTCAGAATAATTCATTTAAACTTCATTTGAATTATGATTCGTTTATCCTCCGACTGTGTTGTTGAGAAAAGAACTCTATGCACATCTCTAATTATTATATTGCTAACAAATTATCTTCAAATATGTAAACACAATACCTTTCCTTATGAAAAGCATTCTATTAATTCATTCTCATCGTTAATTTATTCTGATATTATCATCATATGTAATGAGTAGAGCACCTTTAATTATTCTAATAGGGATTTTGTCGGCCTAAAATAGAGTTCCCTCCTCCTTTATTAACATTTAATAATGGCCTTAATATCATCTAGATGAACCGTTAAGGAGTTTTAATCATAAATAGTAGACTTTTCAGACAAAGCTTAATCAATCACGTTTTTATTTTATTTTTTTTGGAAAATTGACTTAAAATAATTCATTATATTTAATTTTGTTAATCTAAACAAAACTTTATCACAAATGTAAATATTAATTAGTGATCTACAGACATCTAATTTATCAAAATATGAACATTCTTATTATTGGAAGATAAATAAATTATATATTACTTAAATTAATTAATTTACATATTAATTATGTACAATAATATTGGTCTCATGACTCCCAGAGGTAGTGGTACCTCTGGATACGTATAAAAAAATCTAGCTCACATAAAACCAACAAGGAAGCAGGATGAATTTCTTAAAGAAATCAAGGCTATGAAAGTAGAGATTACAATTTAATAAAATTTAGGAAAATGTTATATAAGCAAGAAAGAAGGCAAATCCAGAGATTATTTTACACGAAATGAAGAGAGATATTGAATTGAAGAAAATTACCTTATAAGAGGAATTGGAAGCAAGAGGAATCCCAGAAGAAGAAATTAATTAAAGAGTTTAAAGATTGGAGGATAAATTGAAAGACATGTTAAATAAAGGAGAATATCAATTAGAGTAATAAGTGTTTTAATATTTTAGTCATGTTGCAGATACTCACATCAAAACCTAAAAGAAGGAAGAGTAGGAGAAAAAGATAGGAGATGCATTTGGAATTGATAAAGAATAATTTAAGCCAGGCACAGCTTTTGATTTTGATGCTGAAGAGAAAGTTAGATTAGAAAGAAAAGTTGAAAGGGAAATGAGAAAGGCTGAACGTTTAATTTAATTAAAGGAATAGAAGAAAGCTGAAAAAAAGAGACTAAAAGAGCTTGCACTATAACAACAATAAATAAAAGGAGCTTAAGAGACTGATGTCAAAAAGGAAGAAAGTCGTAGCAGAAGTAGAAGAAAAGAAAAAAAGTCAAAGAAGCATAAGAAATGAGTATAGATGATCATTTTTATTAACTAAATTATTTCAAATGTGAATTGTTTTACTTCTACCTTTCTAAAATTAATAAACTTCTGTCTTTCATTTAATTTAATACCTATTAATAATTTATGAATTTTCTACAGAAGTATTTTGGTTTTTATTAAACTGTCTTAACATAGATAGGTTGATTATTATCAATAAAATAAAGTAGATAATAATTTTAAGTTAGAACAATGATTAATTTGGTTATGTTTTAGTTTGTTTTGATTCATATCTTTAAATTTGTGTTTTTGATTAAATTTCAAACAAATATTTATCAATTGTTCCTATATAAGTTTAATAATTATTCCATAAAATTCGTAATCTTAATTAACTTTTGACATCTTTTTTTTAATTATCGTCATATATTTTATTTAAAAAGTAAGTGACTTATTTAGAATAAGTATATTATTAGAATGATTTCTTATGTCTTAATTATAAATTAAGTCATTAAACAATAATATCAAAACATAAAAAAATTATCATAATTTTTTATGATTTTAATTCTAATATTAACTGCTGTTAATATATATGGATTGTAAATTGAAGACTTAGTGACTTATTTACCTGTAAGATTATTATTTCATTTTGAATAGCCATTTAATATGTCAGATTTTAATTTTTCGATCTATTCAGGCTATTTATCGATAACTGATAGCAATCAATCATTTCATTATGTATTTGTTTAGAGTTAGCTCAACAATTTGGATAATAATGTACCACTTGTTTTGTGGTTAAATGGAGGTCCAGGTAGACTATATAAGTAATATAAAAGGGTGTTCGTCAATGATTGGATTTCTTTAAGAGATCGGCCCTTTTGTATTTTTGAACGACGATGACGAAACCTTATCTTATAATGAATACTCTTGGAATAGAGCAGCACATTTATTATTTTTGGAAAGCCCAAGCGGAGTGGGTTTTTCGCATAATCCATTGAACATAACATTCAATGATTCATAAACAGCAGATCACAACTTAAAAGTTTTATAGGAATTTTATAGCAATTATCCAGAATATCAGAAGAATCCATTATGGTTGGCAGGTGAAAGCTATGCAGGAGCATACATTCCATTGCTTGCGTAAAGGATAAAGAAATTTAATGATTTGGAAGTGGCTGTAATAAATTTATAGGGAATGATGATTGGGAACGGAGTGACAAACTTAACACATCTTCCAATATCATAATTAATATATTAGAAGTAACATTAATTGTTGCCTCCAACATTTGATATTTCTGCTTGTGAGAAGAATGTTACATCTGAAGATTGTGAAGATGTGAATTATGATGCTTGGATAATAACAAAGAGAATCAATCCATATGATATATATGGGTATTGTTATTATGAAGAAAATGAATTAGAAGATGAAGAAGAGTGGATCTTGCATATGAAACAATTTATGATGATTCACAATGATAACATTGTTAAAGTTACTAATCATGATTTAGGAGTACCATGTGTTTAAATAGACAATATTGAGAACTATTTGAATAACTAGTAAGTTAAACAGTATCTTCATGTGGATGAAAGCATTCAATGGTTTCTGTGTTCCAAATAACATAACAAATAATTTAAATATGTTTCTGATCCTCCTCTTGTTATGAAAGTGCTACAAGAATTGTTAAATTACAATCTATACAACATTCTATTATACAATGGAGATGCCGATAGTGTAGTTCCATGGATAGATACAATGCAAGGTAAATTGTAATTTTAAATGGCGTATTAGCTTTGTAAAAATTATAAGTAACCATCACTGAAGAATGGAGACCGTATTATGTAAAAAACAACTAACTTGGAGGTTATACTCAAGGGTATTCAAACAAGTTGAGATTTGTCACTGTTAGGGGGGCTGGACACATGGTGCCATAAAATGATAGGATAACTGCCTTTTATTTATTTAATCAGACTTTGTTAGGATAGGCTTTTTGAATTTTTATAGTTTTTAGTATTATTACAAATATATATATTCAAATTAATAAAAATAATAGGTACAATATCAAAGAGGACTTGTTAGAGATGTATTACGAACTCAAAATTAAAGAAACCAAAACCCTCATTATGACAATTCTTACACTTCTGATAGTGGTGGTGCCTATTCATTGGATGATTCAGGCCGGTCTAAGTGTTGTGACATCGGATTCATGTTAAAGACAATGGGCCATTGATTAGAATATGAAAGGAAATCTTGATGAAACTTATGCTCGATTTGCAAAGAATTGTTATTGAGTTTATATGCAAAATGTGCAAATTAATATTTATAAATAATGAAATAAAATCCCGTAGCACCACCTACAAAATAATAGCCATAACAACAACCTCCTGCCAAGGATCCTCCCAAAACTACTGGCAAACCTACTGATTAAAAATAACAACAACCATAACAACAACAGCCAATCCAATAACCAAAAACTGCCCAGCCATCTTCACCAAAAAAAGAAACTGTCAAAGCTGCCACTAATGATATAGTAATTTTTATATTTTATGACCTTTAGGATCACATCCAAAAGATGAAGCAAACAATGATGGACTTTTAAAATAAGTATTTTGAAACGCTCAAAAGTAAGCAAGATTCCATTTCTCAAAAGGTTATTCCTTATTCTATTCTTAGCTCTCTTTAAGAAATGCCGAAAGAGTGGAAGATAAAATTCTTAATGCAATTCGCAAAGGAGTCTTGTAATTAGAAGTAAAATAGAAACTTAATATTTTTATAAGAATTCCAAATATAACTATGTTGAAGGACATATGATGGATAAAAAAGTCTTGATTGTTGAAAAAGAAAAAGATCAATTGTAAACCAAACTATAAAATGTTGATACTGAATTGAAAACACTCAAGAGCCAGAAAATCAACAATGCCTATAGTGCCTATAGTTAACCTACCCTCAAACTATATATGCAAGAAGAGAATCTAAACAAGTAACAATAAGCCCAAGAGACAGTCTAGAAGATCCAAAATGAAGCCAAAACTAGAAGGGAAAAAACTAATAAAATATTGAGTGAAAAAGAGAAGAGAGAAAAGGAGGAAGAAGAAAGGAAAAAATAAGAAGATGCCGTCAAAACGTAATCATAATCCTTATTTTGTTGTATAGTTAATAATTGAAAGAACAGTTACATGCTAAGTTACGAGAAAATATAGAAGATTTGAAAGCAAAATAGAAACAAAGACTAGAGAAAATGGATAAAATGGAAGATGATTATTTCAAGAGTTTGAATGACAAATTATCTAAAATGAATAAGGAAAGAGCATTGATTGCATCAGTAGATATTCCTAAGGTTTAATTGAAACCATACAAAAATGAGGGTTAAAAAAAAGATAAGAAGAAAAAGATCAGACCTAAAAGTGCATCTCCAAATAGTAAATTATTACATCCTCCCAAAAAAATTGAAATTGAATAACCTTTGTATATGAGGGTACTAGATAAGTATAATAAAAAAATACAAAAATAACAGGAAATTGTTAATTTGGAAAGGAAAATGAAAATGGAAAAGAATGAATTTTATAATTAAGAATATGAGGATCACATGAAAGAATATTTAAAGAAACTTAAAATGAAAAAAAGAGAATATGAAGAAAAAAGAATGAAGGCTCTTGAAAAATTAGGTTTAGAAGCTGGTAAATATAGTTAAAATGTTAATGCAAGTTTTGATTCCAAACTCTGGTTATTATAAGAGTCTAGAGTTAATAAATCACTTGATGATATCTCAATCATCCCCAAAGAGACTTTAATTAATTAAGCAAAAGAAAAAAAATAAAAAATAGTTGATTATGATAAAAAAGTAAAAGAAACCATTAAAATTCAAAAAGATAAAGAAAAAGAGGAAGAATTAATGGTCTTAAGAGATAAAACAATACATCCTGAAAGATATATTCGAATGGTCAAAAAAAATGATAAAGAATAAGAAAAGGAACCTGAGTTTGAAATATTCTAAAGACAAGAAGAAGCAAGATAATAGAAAGAAAAAGAAACTAAAGAAAAAGAATTAGAGAGATATAGAAAATTATAAGAGAAAGCTAAAAAAGACCTTGAATAATCAATCATATTGAGTAAAATAAAAGAAGAAGATAAAAAGAAAAAGGATGAATTTGATTACGAATACGAAGAAACCCTTGCTAAATAAAAAGGAAAGGAATATTTAAAAGAATTTAGAGAGTTACATTAAAAGGCTCTTGAATTAGAAAAGGAAGAGAGAGAAAAACAATTGAAATTACTCCAAGAATAATAGAAAAAGAAAAAGTTAGAATTACCTCAAATCACTTCCACTCCAAAAATAATTAAAAACTAAACCTTAGGAACAGTATTAATTATTCTAATTTATTTAGCTTGAGAGGCATGATTATTTATAAGAAGTTTTGTAATAAGCTAAAAAAGAAAGAGAAGAACGAAAGGAAAAGGAAAGATTAGAAAAAGAAGAGAAGATTAAGGAAGAAGAAAGAAGAAAAGAGGAAGAAAGACGAAAGAGAGAAGAGGGTCTTGAATAATAAACACCAAGAAAAGCTGTTAACATAAATGATTTAGATGATGAATAGAAAGAGGAATTAAGAAAAAAGAAATTGGCTTTGCATAATTAAAAGGTTGATAAAATTAAAAAAAAAGTAAGCCATTTTCTAATTATCTTAGTATATTGATGATAAAACTTATGGTGAATCATCATAACAAGAAAGTTATTTAAAAAAAAAGGCAGATCAAGTAAATAGATTAGAAAAACAAACTAAAAGCATGGAATCTGTATTATTAACCATTTATTTTTAGATAGTAGAAGCTTCTTGGACTACCAAACCACTAAAAGCAGTAGAGAAAGCATAAGAGGTAGATGCACTTTACATAAAGTCAATTCAATAAAAATTAAGTTTATTATCACCTGCTTAAAAAGCTTGACATTATAATCAATTCAATTAGAAATGCAATTCATAAATTATAATAATTTAGATACTTTTTAATATTAATAATTTTTTATATTAAAAAAATTACTTTTGTACTGAAGGAATTTTTTATTTAAAATGAATTAATTCTCAAAGTTTAAATATTGATGAAGTTCTGCTTCTCTCAAAATAAGCTTTTGCTAAATTTAATACGTTCTACTTGAATACGTATCTTTATTAATAATTCTTTGTAGGATCCTTTTAAATGTTTATCATTCAAATATGATTTGATAATTTTTATATAATTTTGTTACATCTAAAGAAAGTATAACCTCTAGCCTTTTACAAACTGAATTTCATTTCATTTTGAGTATCAACCTAAAACAACATGTATTTTAATAATTATAGGTACACCTATTGCTTTAAAGTATGTATTTAGCAAAATAACTAGGAATGTAAGGAATATTAAGAGTAAATTGTTTTCCTGACTAGATTAAGGCTATTTTTCAAAAAAAACAAAAAGAACAATACACATGGTAAGATTCCAAACATCTAAGGGTTATTATGCTGAAATTTTCCTTTTAATAATAATACGTATTATTATTTTGAATGCAATATTTTAATAAATTCCTCTATAATATTATTAAACCAAAAGCAGAAATCCAAAAAATTCATATATATTAATAATTTGTTTCAAAATGTTCCTTAACAAACAAGGCTTATTAGAAGATACAAATGAGCCTGAGCTCTTAAAAGGACAATCTCTAAAAAACGGACATATTTCTTCTTCCTCGTAAGACTCAATTTTTTCAAAAACGAATTTTGAAAAAAATATGACCTATTTTCATATCATGGGTATGATATAATTGAATATTTCAAGGACATGATGAACCACATGCAATAAGAAGAAAACAAATACTCGAAAAACACCCAGAAATAAAAATTCTTTTTGGTCCAGACCTTATGTCAGCATGGTTAGGGATTGGCATTGTTCTGGCTCAATTTTGGTGTTTAAATTTCTTTGCAACCACAAATTGGTTATTGTATATAGTCTCATCCTACTGCATCGGAGCAGTCTTAAGCCATGCTCTTCATGCTTTGATGCATGATTTTACTCATTATTTGTGCTTTGAGAGTGTGTAATACAATAAATTAATGGCTATCTTCCTAAATTTTGGATAGGGAGTTCCATCTGCCATTACTTTTGGAAGGTATATTTTTATTTTTATTTAATAGATATCACTCAGATCATCACACGTTTATGAATTTGCCTGATCTAGATCCCGATTTGCCATCATAATGGGAGATAGATCATGTCAAAGGACCTCTACTTAAATTTTTGTTTATGCTTTTTTTGCCTTTATTCTATTCACTTAGACCAATGTTTATCAGACCCTTGGTGCCAAATAAATATGAAATCTTAAACTTAGTATCAATAATTCTATCAAATACACTGATATACATGTACATAGGACCATCTGCTTTGGGATGGTTAATATTATCAACCTATTTTGGATTAAGGTACGAATTTAATCAATATTGAATAGTATACATCCTCTAGCTGCTCATCTAATCACAGAACATTACGAATTTATCAATAGATTAGAAACATATAATTATCTCGGAATTGCCAACTTTTTAATTTTAAATTTGGGGTATCACACCGAACATCATGATTTCCCCAACATTCCATGGTCTAGATTACCTCTAGTTAAGAAAATCGCCCCTGAATTTTATGATTCATTGCCATATCATACAAATTACACATTAGCAATTTTAGCATACATATTTGATGGATATATCGGACCTTTTTCAAGAATTGTCAGAAAAGAGCTCAAATCAAATGGAAAGATGAAATGATCTTTATACAGTATAATATATGGATTAATTATAATCATTTTTTATTTTTTAGATACTTTACAGAAGGATTCATATTAGTTTTTGATTTCGATCTTTTTATTTATTAATATTGCTATTACTAGTATTATTATTATCTGTTAGGAGAAGCAACTAGTTTCAATGCTAAATGACTTAAATTATAGTCTTAAGCAACGGTTGTTTTTTTAATATCATAATACATTTTTTCTAATTTACTTTGCATATCTTCAATGTTTTATTTTTATTATTACTAGAGATTCTTAATCATATTATTAATGGCAATATTAAAACTTGGTTTGCTAGAGTCCATATTTGAAATTTACTCTGCAATTTTTTGTAACTGTTTATTTTGTTCTTATTAAGTTTCTATAAATTAACTTTGTATTTGTAAATGATTGTTATTCAAACCTTGAGTACTAACTAATAGTTTATAGGATTTCTTCATTTCAATAGTTAACTCATTTATTTTTGAAAGTTGCTTTTTAACATTTTCTAGATTCTACTCTTTATTTAATCCCTGTAATTCTATCTGAATTTAACTGATCTTTTTATCTAATTCTAATTAAGCACTATTTTCTTGCATTTTGAGATTGGGCAAACAGTTTTCCTTGTTTTCAGTGTTCAAACTTCTATAGGTCAATCTTAAACTCTCAGAACATGGAATTTCAGAATCAGTAATATATCGACATTGAAAATGTGAAACTGAACTCGTCTAACTCATTCTCTATTTCGTTTCCAATAATTCCTATTTAAGTTAACTAATTTCCAATTCTAAATCTCTGTATGTTTTTTTCTATGTGGCAATCCTAATTTCCTTTTTAATAAATCTAGCTCTCTAAGCGAATTTTAAAGATGAAACTGTTTCATCTTAATTCTTATTTTCAGGCGATATTGCCACAATCTAAAAGTCTCATATATTATATTACAATTGATGTCCTGCAGTCTGCCTGTAGACTATCCATCAATAGTTTAGTAAGCTTAGAATCCCTATATGGAATATGATCCTACCCTTATGATAGACATTGTATGACATGTCCCAAACATGATAATGAATAATTAATTTTCTTTGCTTCCTAGAGTGTTTCACCAATAGCCCCAGTTTTATTAACTTTTTCACTTCCTGCCAAATCAACTAAATGAAGTTTTGCTCTTCCCATTTAAATGGTCAAGATTAAATGACTTCTGCTACTCAGGGCATTCAATTTAGTCTCAGCCACATGTCTATTTTCTTCAGCTATCTAGAGTAATTCAGTGCAGCTCTCTAACTTATCAACTTTCTAAATTAAATTATTGAAATTGTTACAATCCTTTTTAATCCATCAACATAGAAACCTAATTACAAGTCTTCTTTCAATTTTAAGTCTTAAACGCCAGAAATAAGATCATAAACATGATCTTTATATATTTCAAGAATTGAAACATAAATAGTTTCTTAATTTCTTTTAAACAAATGGGTGAATGTTCTTAAAACTATTCCAGGATCATTCGATTCTCCAAACATAGTAAACGTTTTTCCACTTCCAGTCTGTCCATAAGCTATTAAACATCCATTTATATTATGAAGAAAATCATCTACTGTTTGTTTTGCCACTACATCGAAAATTTCAACCTTTGATTATTAATTAATATACTTAAGTGGCAGATTATTCAAATACTCTATCAAAATTATAAGGGTTGGTTTCAATAAGAATTGATTACTTATCATAGTTAAGTTAGCATTCTCCTGGCTTAATTCTAGCATATATTTTTAACATCCTGTATTCTGGATATTTAAGTTGGCTAAGACTTTTTCTTTTAGTTTCCTTAATTGAATCTTATGTTTTATTAGAGAAGGAACGTTATGCTTTGACATTTTTTGGAGTAATGTTTTTTTCAAATAATAATGGCGGTGGGTTATTAGTTTTGAAGAATTATTGGAAAGATGTGAATTGCTTTTAATTTGGTTCTTAAACCTTGAGAATCAAATCAATAGTTTTGCTATTGTAGCTCATTTGAATATTTAATTATTTTACTGTTAAAATTATTATATATACAAATTAAGTAGGAGAACATCAACAGGTAATTTTTCTCGGTTGTTTGGGATCAAAGTCATCATTTTAATCCAAGATATTTGATTGGCTTTTTATACTTGAATTTTCTAGGGTTGTTTATGAAGGCCCTTTGGATCTACATCCTATTTCATTGCCATCTAATTGGCTTTTGGCAATGAAGAAGACCATAAGATTACTGGAAACTAATTCATGATATCTAAATATTTAAATTGGTAGGTGTACTTAAAGATAGAGTTGAGGTACACTTCTAATTATGTTTTTCTGTCTTTTAAATCACTATTATCCATGGAATTTATCACTTTTTTTTGAGGAAACTCTGGTAATTCAAAGGTAATTTTGATTTTTTTTAATTATCTATGATTTTCCTTCAAGTCTTGATATCTTTAATTAAATTTCCAGCTCTTATTAGCATAATGATCAGTAATTTCGATGGTATAAATAGCAGAATTATCATAGAAAGCATGCTCTCCAAACTTAAAAGTGTATTGCTATCTAATTTGAATATATAAATGAAATATACTTAATTTATTATTATGGTTTTTGTAAAGGCAATGAAAATACTTGATTCTCATGTTTTGCCAAGTAAGACTTTTTTAATGCTTCTATTTCTGACCATTAATTATTGGAAGCTTGTATCATTTAATTCTGATCAGGAAGTTTTCGGTTTTTAGTAACAGGTATAAACTCTTCAATGGACCCTAAGCTTTGCAATTCAGGATGTTAAATAACATCATTAAAATATTATTATAATTCAGCTCTCTAGCATAATAAATTAAGATACTCGCTTAATTACACTCTCTTCTGATAGATTAGTGCTGAAAAGAAGTTTTTTTTTTGGAAATTATAACTAAGGGATTTTAATTTTGAATATGCTTATCCAATCCAAAATTTTATAGTGAATGGATTCTAATTCAGAGTAACGTTTTTTCACTTCTTTGCAATCATCAGTCTCCAAATTTGTTACTTTGATAACATAATAGACCTTTTTATCTTAATATTCATGTGTTGGTATTTCAACTAAATATCTTGTAAGTGTTTTCTTCATTTAATAATTTAATTTATGCATTTTTCTGTATGTAAACACAAGAACTTTGATAATACATTTTTTAATTAATGACGAAATATAATTGATCATTACAATCTGAATTCGGATTCCTTCTCTGAAATACTCATTAACTCTTAATTTGTAACTTCTTTTAAGTCTGCTAAGATTAATTTCTCATGTCCTTCAAATTGCAAGTAACCAGAAAAACATTTGTTCTCAAGCAAATATGGAATCCAATATTAATCATCAATCCACATTTAATTGTAAGGTATTTTTGCAACATCAAACCATTGTGGTTTCATTTCTTCAGTCTCCTTAACTTCTCCATCGAATTGAGTGGCCTTGAAGATATGCACTTTGAGTGTTTCTTTCTCACAGTCGTAATCCATCTTGATATATCCAATAAACTGTGCATCTGTAGGAGTAATACAACCTTCCTCCTAAGTTTCCCTTATTGCTGCTTAATAAATTGATTCTCCGTTCTTTTCCACTTTACCTCCAAATCCATTGTATTTGCCCATTCCAAACCCTCTCTTTTTCATTGCTAATAAAATCTAGTTATTTTGATGTATAAATAGAAGGGTTAAGATCTTAGAGGGTTTGCCCTAAAACATAATTAAAATTAGATTTAAGTATAAACAAATAATATCATTCATTTAAGGATGTGAGTTTTAATTCTATATTCATAAGTATCCAACAATTGAATTGTTAATGCTTCCACAACCATTTATTGTATTTCACCTTTGATCTACCCTCTAAACAAACCACTCAATTTCCAATCTACCATCCTTCAGTTGGGTCAATCACTTCTACCTTTGCAACTTGAGTAAGTGTATTAGTCATTAATTTTAGATAATAATGAATTTTTAAAGAAAGAATTTAAAAAGCATATATAAACAATTGTATTTTTAATAATATTAATCATGGTTGATTATTTATCGTTTAATTTCCTTTAATACATAATAGTTATCGTGTGTATCTTATACTTGGAGTGTTTAAATTTCTATGGCTATTTATTATTTGATTCTGGATTCATCTCCATGCCTTCTCATTACTATTATCCAATCTTGAACTTAGGTTATTATTTGAATAATAAATTTATGTATGCAGCTGCTTACAAAACGCAAGGATTCTAGATTACTTAGTGACGTAATGTAATGAGTTGTTTATTGATAGTTGTATTCTAGTTAATAATAATTCAACTGTTTTAGTTATAAAAGTATAAACAAAAATGATTTTCAGAAAAATTTCTATATTCTAAAAATAAAATAATATAGTATCAATATTATAGAAATATATTCGATTGTTAATTTATCCGTATACAGACAATGATCCTACCTACTAATTAATTATACTATTTATTAAACTGCTTTAAAAATAATGTTAGTTGACAGGAAACTTAAATTTTGTTTTTTCCTTTAGGTTTATTCTTAGATTTAGATTTTCATTTAGATATTTATTGATAAGATTAATTCTTAACATAAGATCCAGAGCAGTATCTTAATCTTATTCAAGTCCTTCTCTTAATTATAAGATTGGATATAATTATTTACATTTTATTTTTTGTTAAAACATTTTGATAATCTTTTAATTTCATCTGAAATTGTTCTTTAGAATTCATTTGTTATATTCAAGTGAAATTTGTTTGGTAATAATGAATATAATATCATAACTTCATTGCGATAATGAATTACACTCTAGTAAGTGTTTTGTGTTCGAAATTTTATAAATAAATCTCTCTGAAATACTAGAATTCTTGAATCTAATACAGGAGAAATAGTAGGAGCAGACAATTCAGAAATACAGTCCTATTTTCATATAAATAGATAAAATTCCTGTATTTATGTTTAGGATCATATAGAATATTTTTTACCTAAATGAAGCAATTATTAAAAATTAGTGATAATTTTAAGAAATTAAGAAATGATTCATATAAGTTATCTATAATTTAATAACAAATAAGATTTATTAATTTAAATAATATATATATAAAATGGGCTCTAAACCTACAGTTCCTGAATCAGTTAAATAAATGAGTACAAAGAAAGACGCAGAATTTTCAATTCATATTGTCTATTGCAGTGGATGAGGATATGGCTAGTTCTACAATTTCTTTGTCGAATGTTTATCAATTATCTATCCTAATGCCAAGGTAACAGGTGAACAAACTCCAAATGTAAAACATTAAAATAATGATTAGGTTTCCGGATATTTTGAAATAGAAGTTACTAAAGGAGGTAACAAATAAGTTGTTCATTCAAAAAAGAATGGCGATGGCATCTTTAATGAGAAAACTTGCCAACCAATTTTAGATAAATTAAAGAATTATGTTGAGGCTTGAAAGTCTCTAATAAAATGAGATAATATATTGAATTGGTACATTGACCATGAATGAAGAAACTAAGTTTAAATAAAAAAAATTTATTTTCTGAAGAAACCCAATGATTAATGTTCTAATTCTTATATTATAATTTAAAAATATAAATAATAGCTTTGTAATCTACTAGTTAGTTATGGTTAAACAACTGGATTAACAATTCATATATATTTATATAGATAGAGTCATAAATAAAAAATAAGTAGAAATTCGTTTCACAATCACTTATAACATCCGTTAATACATTTTATCTGTTAACCATTAAAGACTAATTAACCTTCTCCACACTATTTCCCATTTTTCCAAGTTCCAATATATTAACCATGTTAGGTAATTTGTTGACCAAAGCCATGTCTCCTGTGATTCTCAAATTCTCCAACATACTTTTGACCATCAGGAAAGAGCAATTCTCCTCTGCCATGATATTTACCATTTAACCATTCTCCATTATAATATCTACCATCTTTTCCAACGAATTCTCCATCTCCATTTAATAATCCATTTTTAAACTGACCTTCGAAAATATTGCCATTAGTGTCTATTAATTTGCCATATCCACTTCGGATTCCTCTTTCAAATCCACCTTCATAAATGGTTCCATCTTTTAACTTTGTTCTGCCTCGACCATGTAATAAATTATTTTGAAATTACCCTTGCAATATAACATCATTGAAATAATAGATTCCTTTGCGTAATTCTCCATTCTGAAATTCTCCTTCTTTATAACTATTATTTGAGTAAACTATTCTTCCCATTCCATGTGGTTAATTTTAACTATTAATTTCACCAACATATGCCTCTGTATCCTAAACTATAATCTTAATGTTTTTCTTCCTCAGAATCCTGTAGGTTAATACGTGTTCCAATTTATTAAATCCAAACTTTTTTAAGATTCTCCTTTCTTCCATTAATAATTATTTATTATTTCTCAATATAAGCTTTTACCTTCTTGACAGGAATCCCCGTATGATTGCTTATATTTTTACTATCTTATTGAATATGTCTAATGGAGTATGTGACACTTCCTATCGATATTCATTATCACAATACTAGCCCTTACATTAATTTCCCATTTAAAAATATAATATATAATTATAATGATCATACTTATATTTATCTTCCTCATTTGTAATATATATCATCATTAGGGTATACTTCAAATTAAACAGACTCTCGCTTTAAAACCAAATATTACACAAATGGTTCAAAGCATAGTCATCAAATTCTAATTACTTTTAGATTGTAACTGAGATTAAACGGTGTCCTGCTTTTTGGATCAAATGAGGATTTAGACCCACAGACAATGGACGAACAAGATTTAAAATTAAAAATCAAAGCTAAATTGTTATGATTTTCATAGTATACAATCAAATAGCAATTAATAGCTTATAGAATACTCTTTTTAATCAGATCTATTTATTATGCTTCATCATAATAAGACATTCTAATTGAAAATTTGTTAACCTATAAAAAAGGTTCCTATAAATCAGGTTGCATGAATGATTGTAAGGGATACAATAACACTGAGTCCGTAAGTAAACCTTATTGTTAAAATAGTCACTGTGAATGTCAAATGAATTAATTCGGTTTATTTTGTTAACTATCATCCAGCTATTTTATGACTAGTCCTCTAGTGAGGGTAAACTTAAATTCCTTTCAATGAAAATTTTTCCTTTATCAATATAGCAGCACTGATTTGTGATTACTATGCAATCTCCCAGTTGATGAAAAATCTGTATGTAAATTTGCATTAATCTATATCAAGTATATAGTTCGACATATAGACAAACTCCTTAATTGGAAATTCCTAACTTGTCTAAGAGCAAAATTTAGCCAATGGTATCATTTTGAAGATTGAACTTTCCAAATTACTTAATATTTAAACATCGTTTACATAGGATTAGGTAATAATAATTCCTAAAATGCGGAATTGGATATTAGAATATTATCAAAGAAATCATCAGATTATAGGGATATAGAAAGGAATAAAATAATAATTATTATTTTTGGAACCTGTTTTAGTGGTTCTATTAATTATTGAGGGTTCACTGATAAATTTGTCTAAGAATATTTTGGATTGATCTCATATAAAAACTAATACAATAAAATACTGGATTGAGACAATTTGAGGATTGAATTATATGCTTGGAATCAATAAAATATGGATGTAAAAAGTAATTAAGATATCGTTCAGTGACTCCCTGTTTTTATATCTTTCATTAGAAATGCTTGACTTTGTGGTTGCAAAATTAAAAAATTTCCATTTTGTAGAACTGAATTTAAAACAAAGACTTATTCTAAACAATTATCCTTGACTTGGATTAACATAATAAAAAGTAAATACTCCAAATCAGTATGAATCTAAATATATTCAATATATAAAATTTAGTTCCAATACGGATCAATCATTAAATGAAAGAAAATAACAATTAGTAAGGGAGGATAAAATAATTATAGAGATTTGAGGTCATATTTGAACATTTATAATTATTAAACTCAAAATTTTAATAATAAATTAATAAATAAAGTCATATAATTTAACTTTAACTGACATCGTTGGTTTCTATCATATCTGGATGACCTAATTTCTATTTTAGAAGACTAATTTATTAGTATTCCTCCATTAATCTATAGACTTCCAATATTGACTAATGTTGAAAAGTGATAACCCCTTCAAGAAAAGTAGTTGTCATTACACTATTCTGAATAGACAATTACTGCATTTACTAAATTGGCAATGACATCAGAGGAATACTTTAATTTTATTCATATATTAGAATTTCATTATGAAGGATTCCTATGGATACTTTAATAGGCATTCTTTTTTATGAATTTAAAAATGAATTTTACAACATTTTTACTGTAAATAACTTCATTCCATGTAGTTTTTATTTATAGAGATTGTTCAGAAACTCAATTTCCAATATTCTTATTTCATTGTTCAAGCTAAGTTGAAACTTTTGAACTTGCAATTCTGTCAAAATGTTTAGAATCTATTAAAATATTTATTTTTTCCAATCAGCCTTCTTAATACTATTTAAAATTAGTAAAGGTACAAAGTTCTAGAACCATTACATTCTCACTTATTCGAATGTTTTAATCTTATGAACTTCATTGTTATATAGAATGCAAATGGCAAGTGCACATTGAACAACATATTCTTGCCTACTCATGTGAGAATGATTGAATTTCATTAGTGATAACTCCTAGTAAAATAATAATTGAGATCTCCTTTTATTTTTACTAAATTGTTCAAATTCTATTTCGTAACAGAGATACAAGTATNTTATATCAAAGAAATCATCAGATTATAGGGATATAGAAAGGAATAAAATAATAATTATTATTTTTGGAACCTGTTTTAGTGGTTCTATTAATTATTGAGGGTTCACTGATAAATTTGTCTAAGAATATTTTGGATTGATCTCATATAAAAACTAATACAATAAAATACTGGATTGAGACAATTTGAGGATTGAATTATATGCTTGGAATCAATAAAATATGGATGTAAAAAGTAATTAAGATATCGTTCAGTGACTCCCTGTTTTTATATCTTTCATTAGAAATGCTTGACTTTGTGGTTGCAAAATTAAAAAATTTCCATTTTGTAGAACTGAATTTAAAACAAAGACTTATTCTAAACAATTATCCTTGACTTGGATTAACATAATAAAAAGTAAATACTCCAAATCAGTATGAATCTAAATATATTCAATATATAAAATTTAGTTCCAATACGGATCAATCATTAAATGAAAGAAAATAACAATTAGTAAGGGAGGATAAAATAATTATAGAGATTTGAGGTCATATTTGAACATTTATAATTATTAAACTCAAAATTTTAATAATAAATTAATAAATAAAGTCATATAATTTAACTTTAACTGACATCGTTGGTTTCTATCATATCTGGATGACCTAATTTCTATTTTAGAAGACTAATTTATTAGTATTCCTCCATTAATCTATAGACTTCCAATATTGACTAATGTTGAAAAGTGATAACCCCTTCAAGAAAAGTAGTTGTCATTACACTATTCTGAATAGACAATTACTGCATTTACTAAATTGGCAATGACATCAGAGGAATACTTTAATTTTATTCATATATTAGAATTTCATTATGAAGGATTCCTATGGATACTTTAATAGGCATTCTTTTTTATGAATTTAAAAATGAATTTTACAACATTTTTACTGTAAATAACTTCATTCCATGTAGTTTTTATTTATAGAGATTGTTCAGAAACTCAATTTCCAATATTCTTATTTCATTGTTCAAGCTAAGTTGAAACTTTTGAACTTGCAATTCTGTCAAAATGTTTAGAATCTATTAAAATATTTATTTTTTCCAATCAGCCTTCTTAATACTATTTAAAATTAGTAAAGGTACAAAGTTCTAGAACCATTACATTCTCACTTATTCGAATGTTTTAATCTTATGAACTTCATTGTTATATAGAATGCAAATGGCAAGTGCACATTGAACAACATATTCTTGCCTACTCATGTGAGAATGATTGAATTTCATTAGTGATAACTCCTAGTAAAATAATAATTGAGATCTCCTTTTATTTTTACTAAATTGTTCAAATTCTATTTCGTAACAGAGATACAAGTATTTCTTCAAATAAAACTTTGGCTATTACTTAGAACTCATCGAATAATATATTCCGTTGAAAAATTTGGATAAGAAATCTAATTAAAAAATAATCTTACTTTGTTGATTTTTATTGTAGTTTTTCATAACCTTATAAACAACCTCATTGTCATCTAAATATCTACAAGTATTGTTTTAGAAAATCATCAATTTGAAATCGAAGTTTCGATCTAAAAAGATGGATCTACAAATGGTGTCTATTAAATCAATAGTTTTGCAGTGTTAAGTAATATTCAGAGTAATGTTTTTATCATCTGGTAAAATTACTATGATTTCAAATTCATCCTCTTAAAATAAGGTGTTTCTCATTAAAGTTGTGTAACTCCCTCTCATCGTGACTAGAGTTTCATTGTGGATTTTATCGATTGCAAAGAAATTTTCAGGTAGATCAAGATGTGATATGAGAATATCTTCATATTGTTTCATTTATTTGTTCAAGAATATTGATGTTAAGAAATGTAATATGGATTCTTGACGAAGTTTGATTAATTTTTTTTCAGAGATTAAATTTGCACAGTTACTTTGTAATCCGTCTATATCAAAATTTCTGTCTAAAAGAGTTGTTTCAAGATCTAGTAAATCGCTATACCTTTGATATGTTCTGATCCTATAATTATTAATTTAAATCTTTCAATAGGAATGATAAATTACTTAGATTATATAGACTATGAAAGTATTGATACCATCCTTCTATTTGAAAGTGGATACAATGTGGATAGACACCTATTATTATAAATTTTTAAGAAATTGCTCTTCTTCTAACTACTTTTTTTAGATCATCTCAATTTCCAATTAATCAATTGTTCCGAATTAGGCCAGTAATTTCAAATTACTTTGAGTACTAGTAACAGAATATTGAAATTGATACGTATTCATCATCTAATTGATTTACTCGTTGATTTTATAGAATTACTCTTATATTTGTTTAAGATCAAGATAATCTGGATGACTCAATTCAGTGTATTTAATTAACTTTTCTATCATCAAGACATATCTCGGTAATTATTATACGGGTTTGACAAGAAATGATTCAAATGTCAAACCCTTGAGGAGTCCACTGGCTTCAATACTCTGAAGGTACTAGTTGAATTCTGCCTATAAATTTAATGGCAATATGATACTTTTGTGTTACGTAGTTTATTGATATTTTCTAGTTAAAATCTGCTGCAGTAATCATAATAGATTTTAAAAAAAGGGATGTAAATCTTGAATTATTATGAAATAATAATAAAATGCCAATAATTTTGTAAAATTTCTTAAATAGAAATGGTAATTACATTGTATGGTAATATAGAATTTGTAATTTAGTTGTTGTATTTACTCAACATTCAAAAATAGGGACAGCAACTCTTCTTCAGTCAAAATGGATTGACGCCTTACTAAATAGCATTTATAAGGATTACCTGATGTCTGACATCAATCTGGCAACAATAATATTTAAGTCTTCATTATAATTTTTTTCAATCTAGTGAAATTCAACAACAACATATTTCCTATTTCTCAACTATCTAAGTTTCTTTTGAAATGTTTTCATATTTAAATATCTCCTATAGTTCCTCTATATCATTATGATTTTTGGGATGATGCTTTTGGTAACACTTTAAAGTATTTCTTTTTAGTTGTATTGTGAATCCATCTAAAGGAATGATCAAAATCCATACCACTCGTGCTTATTATTTTTTTTTCTTCACTGATTTTACGGAGGAATGTATTGTTCCTTATTCTTACTCTTATTCAAAGTTACTATATTCCAAACAACTGTCCTCACTCTTGATTATTGAAGATTAATAGAGCTAGTTCTGATGTTTGTAGGTAGAAAATATTTGAGATTATTTATAGGAAGTGGCCAATTGTTCTCTAAGGGACTCAAACTTCTAATTTGTAATTTATTACATAATTAAATAAAATAAGCAATATATTTTTATTATTCCGACGTATAAACTCTTCACTTTAGACTTTTCTTCTCTCCTTCCACAAGTCCAACTATCTTATTGAAATAGATATGCCCGTCCTAAATGGAATCAACTATATAAAATCCGTTACGCTCAAATTAGAATCTATCTCCAATTTTGTATTCTAAAGACTTAGGAACTTTGACGTCATAGATTTGTAATGAGTTTTTATTAATATTATTCCAGAATTCCGGAATATCAGCAGGATTCTCAGTATCAAAGAGATAGGAATACTCATTCACAGTTGCAGCAATGCAATCATTTTTATCCAACCAGTTTAGTTACCCTTTTAATTTCTTCCTCTCATTCAAATCTGTGGATACCAATTTCACTTTTATGTATTTCACCCTCTCATTCTCCAAAATGATGTTTTCGCAAAGGATTACTCCAAAAAACCTTAAGCAAACCTACTTATTCGGTGTTAAACCATAGAAATCAGGACTCCCAACCATCTTCACATCATCTTATTAAACGTAAACTTATTTTATTGTATTATTATCAATTTCAACATCAATCAAGACTGGATTCAGAATGGCCATGATCTTAGGAACCGTTTTTTCCAATTCCTTCCTTATACAATTCTCCAACAATTTAATAGAGATTATTTGTTCATTGCCTCCCCTTGGCACACTCACTTGATCGATGAACTCATTTATAGCCTAAGGAGTGTACCCCCTCTTCCTCAATCCAGCCAAAGTCAATAATCGGGGGTCATCCCATCCCTTAACAATCCCCATTTCAATCATCTTCCCAATCTTTCGCTTAGATAACATGTTGTTCGAAACGTTTAAGCGAGAAAACTCGTACACAAATGGCTTATACAGATTCAGGTTTGTTAGTATCCAATAATAAAGTTCCCTTCGAATCTCGAACTCTAGAGTACAAAGGGAATGAGTGATGTTCTCGATTGAATCACAAATGCAATGAGCAAAATCATACATAGGGTACACTTTCCATTTATCACCACTCTTAGGATGCTGAGTATACAAAACTCTATAGATTACTGGATCCCTAAGAGTGGGATTGGCATGTTGATAGTCAATTTTTAATCTTAGAGTGTATTTGCTTTCAGGATGTTTCCCCTCTTGCATCTCTTTGAAAATACGCAAACTTTCATCTATGTCTCTATCTCTGTAAGGTGAGGGCTATTTGTTTTTTCTGTATTCCTTCATGTCCTCTCTATTCTATTCGCAAACGAAGGCCTAATTTGAATATCAAATAGGAAGTACTTTATTTTCTTTTATTAATCTGAGTGCACAATCGAAAATAAATGGAAAGTAATCTGAAGCATATGTGATATGAGTTGGTTTATGTCCAAACCATTTTACATTGTCTTCAATTTCATCAATATAAATTTACTTTTCATTAGCAGGATTGGTATCGTCGTATCTTAGATAGCAATGGCCATTTAATTATTCAGCAGAATGAAAGTTCAATCTGATTGATCTAACATGTCCCAAATGGAGGTATCCATTGGGTTCAGGAGGAAATCTTAATACAATTTTACCTTGAGTGATACATTTGTGTTTTTCTAATTGTTCAGGTTGATTATGCTATTCAGGTATATCTCTGGGTGTGAATGTTTGTATCTTCTAATATATTTGTTGTTTCTATTGATTCTGTTTAAGTGAAGTAATTTTGATTACCATTTCCTGAGTGCATTCTGGAAATTGCTATTTAATTTTAATGAATTATTCATTTGAGCAAAGACCAGGATATTTTTGGGTTATTTGAATAATGCATGAATGTATTCTCTTTTCTTGAATAGTGTTGATATATTCATTGAGATAGAATTCTGGATTTTGTATTTTTTGAATCAATTTGATTGCATATTCCAAATCCTAATTCGATTCAATTGATTTGTTTCTGATTTATTGGAGTAATACCTATTTAAATGGTATTAGTCCAGGCTTTAACTTTTAAACTAGATAGGCAATCAATTTGAGTTGTTTCTCGTCTTCATTTGATACGAGTTGATTGAATTGAGTTAGCTAAGAGGGAGAGAGATTCTTAAGGGTGGATGCAATAGAGGGAATGCATTAGGAATAGTGGTAGAGGGGTATGCGAATGAAATGTCTGAGTAAATATTGCATTTATTTAATTAAAATGACAGAAAGAAAACAACAAGAACGAGATAACATACAAGTTTCAATAAGAATAAAGTACATTAAAAAGACATGTAACTAGACCCATGTTTGAAGAAGGAAAGACGTGCATACGAACTGATCCAAACCTGAAGAATACCATCTTCATAGAAGGATAGAATCAGTAAGAGTAGAAATTCTTCTCGTTTGATAATGTGGCTGGAGCAGACTCTACATAGGAAGATATCTTTTTCATGATTGGACAGCAATAAGCTAATAATTGTTTAGAAGGTATGATTAACTGTAATTTTAGGCTACAACGGATGTGTGTTTGTATATGGTTAGACAGGGTCAGGCAAAACTTACACTATGACAGGAACATCTCAGTAACCAGGACTACTACCACGTATAATAGATTATCTCTTTCGATGTGTCTTTGAAGACTAAGAAAAAGATCCCTCAGTCGAATACTTAATCAAGTGCTCACATCTCGAAATTTATAATGAACACATCATTGATCTTCTTAATCCTGATTTGGGTAACTTGCAACTCCGAGAGGATCTGAACAAAGGAGTATACGTTGAATTTCTGACTGAAGAATGTTGCGCCAATGTTGTAGAGGCTATGGAAGTAGTCCAACGAGGCAATGAAAATAGACATATCTCATCAACTTAAATGAATTTCGAATCTTCCCGTTCTCATAGTGTTTTCACTGTCTAATTGGAATCCAGAAGATAAAGTCATTCACTCATCAACCACAGATTCTCTAGATTCCATTTTGTGGATCTAGCTGGTAGTGAAAGATAGAAGCATACCCAAGTTTAAGGTGAGAGACTCCGAGAAGGTTGTCAAATCAATAGGAGTCTTCACATACTGGGCAATGTCATCAATTCATTAGTGGAAGACAAGGAATAAAATAGATATGTTCATTATCGTGATTCAAAACTCACGTTCTTACTCAAAGATTCTCTTGGAGGCAATTCCAGAACTCATCTCATAGCAAATATACAATAATCCAATTTGTTTTTTTAGGAAACACTCTCTACACTTCTATTCTCTAGAAGAGTCAAACAAGTCAAAAACAAGGCTAGAGTTAATGAAGATGAAAGTGGATCTTTGGAGAGTCTCAAAAATGAAATCAAAAGATTAAAATAAGAATTAGCCAAATGGATTGTCGGTCTCTAAACTACCTCCTCTAAATCAGCAGAATCTCCTTCTAAATAAAACATCAGTAAAATACTCATCATAAATTAGTCATGCATAATATCAATTTTGAAGATCTTAATGCTAAAGATTAAAGATATATCAAGCTTGAAGAAATACTCAAAGTCTATCTTGAACAATCTACTGAGAGTGAGACTGCCCTTTATATAGAAATTGAGAAGTACTTAAGTGGAATCAAAGAATTACGAGAAGCCTTCTAATTAAGTTCATAATTGGAACAACAACTAAAATTAATTATTCGATTGTAAAATGAATAAATCGTCAGATTGAAACACGCAAATGGAGCTGAAGATTTATCAAACGATTATCAAGAAGAACTCTCCAAAGCCCTGTTGAGTCAAGCTGCAGTTATGAAGAAATTCTCTGATAGTCTTAGAATCAAAGAGGGATCAGCCAAAAATGTAGAAAAAGCTAAACTATAAATTAATGAAAATGTATCAATGCTCAATACTATTGTAACTACTGTTAATGTAATTCATTCTATTTATTAATTTAGGAATCTTTGGATGAAAGGAAGAAATTACAAAAATAAATTTAACAATAATTCTCATAAGTTTATGTACCAGTGGAGGAGTTTACTTAATTGCAAAGTGAAAAAGAAAAACTCAATGAAAAATTAACTAAGTTTGTAGAAAAAGAAGATAAAATCAAATAATCACTTGATTAAATAGGCATTACAGTTCATGATGAAGATGAAATTAAAATCATTGATCACAAATAAAGAGATTTAACCTTAGATTAATAAAATGAATAATTGGAACTGAAGAGCAGAGCTGTTGAATAATTAAATTAGTAACTATTGCAAAAAGAATAAGAGATACAATAAATAGTAGAACAAAATCAAATACATGTTCAAGAAGCCCAACATTTAAATGAATAAATAGGGGAAGCAAAGCAAGAAGTTAGGTAATTGAATTAACAACTCCAATCCTAATAACATGAATTAGAGTAATCAAAACAATAATAGGATTCCCTATAAAATACGGTGCATTTAGGTAAGTTAGAGAATGATTAATTGAAAGTATAAATCGAAGCTTTAAAAGCTGAGAAATAAAATTTGTAGATTTAAAGTAATCAACATTAAGAGGACTTAAGTAATTAATTACAGTAATAGAAATAATAAATTGATGATCTATTGAATTAGGTTAAATAATTGATTCAAAAGTAAGAGTAATAAGAGTTATTGTATTAAAATGAACTTCAAACTATTATTAAGAATTCTAAAATTGAAAACACTAATATTTAAAATGAGTATGAAAGTCAAATATAAACTATTGTGAAGTAGCATCAAATGTAGATTGAAGAACTGAAAAATGAAAACAAGAGGTAGCTTGATTAATTTGTTAATTAATAAGAATCAGTAATCCAAACATAAATTAATTAATTGCAAAATTAAACCAAATAATTGAATAAAGAATTATAAGAAAAGCAATTGGAACTGGAAAATAAAAATAAAGAATTTGAGGTATTATTCATTTTATCTTTAGCTTCTAAAAGAAAAATAAACGAAATTAGAATAATAGATAGAATAACAAAGAGATGACTACGAAAATGAACTTGAGGAAAAATAGGCTTAATATGAAGAATTATAAAAATAACAAAAATTATTAGTGGAGTAGAAGGACAGATAATTAGAATTAACAAAGATTGTTCATGAAAGGGAAATTCAACAAAAGAATTTAGAAATTGCAGAAATTATATAGCATTATGAAAAATTGTTGGTAGAGAACGAGTCTATTATAAAATAATAGGAGTAAGAACTTTTGATTAAGAAGGAAGAGTTGAATCAAGCAGTTTAAGAGATGATAACTAAAGAGGAAGAATTTAAAGAACAATTAGCTTAAGTTAATGAAAAACAGAAAGAGTTTGAAGATAATTGTTTAGAATTGAAAAGTAAGGCTATTCCAGAGAAAGATTCAGTAATTGAACAGTTGAGAGCAGATGTTGAGTAAAAGGAATGCGAGTTGCAAGTTCAAAATGATGATTTCATCAATTAATAAAATCTCCTTTTTGAGATGATCAAACAAAAAGATATTGAAATAAAGAAATTGACAGAGGATCTTGATGATCATAGTAATAGATTAAAAGAGGCATCAAAAGTAATAGATAAGTATTCTAATTGCAATTCCGAGTTGAAAGGAACTATAGATTCATTAAATCATCAATTGGAAAAGTAATAATAAATATTAAATGATATAAAAATTAAAGAGAATACGTCAACTCAAATTTATGATGAGAAGATGAAATCACTCAATGAGATTTTACAATCTAAATAAAATGAAGTTGCTAATCTACAAATGAGATTGGAAGAGGAGAATAAAGTTTATAAATAACAGAATTAATAAAGTACCTAATAGATGAAGACTAGTGAAAAAAGAATGAAAGATTTGGAAAAGGAAAAGCTTAATTATCAAGAGGAAATCTAGAAAAAGGAGTTGTCAATCAATTAATTAGAATCAAAGTTACAAGCATCCTTAAAGGAAAAAGAAATTATGTCTAATTAATTGAAAAGTTAAATTAAAGAGCTGTAACAATAATTGATATCCAGTAATCAAGGAATAGAAGAATAAAAGATTTGGGTTATTCATTATAAAAAAGAAGTGGATAAATTAAATAAGGAAGTGTCTTTATCTTAATAAATTACTTAATAATATTAAAGCCAAAAGAACGAGGGTGATTAAATTAAATAAGAAAATCAGAAATTAAATAAATTGCTGGATAATCAATAACAATAGATAGTATCTCTTAAAAAAGAAGTAGAATAGCATAAATAAGAAAAAACTAAATTAATTGAATCGATTTCGTAACAAGAGAATAGGATATTAGAGTTAGAAGAGATAAAATTGTAGAAGTAAATATTGCAAGGAAAAGTAAGTGAAATACAGAAGAATTAATAAGAAGTTCAATAAAAGTATCAATAGACATAAGCACAATTATAGAGTGTGTAGGATGATTTGTAACATTCAAAAAAGGAAATCTAGGAAACTAAACAAAAGAATAAGGTTCTGGCCTAATAATAATAAAATGAAATGTCTAAGTTCAATTAAGAAATTATTGCGATATAGGAAGAGCTAGAACAGAGCAGGAAGATTTAAATGGAAATAAAGAAGTCTGAACAGGAACAGAGAGAGTAGAATATGCAAATGAGATAGAATTATGAAAAGTTGAAGTTAGAAAATTAATAATTAAATAATTAATTAGATGAAATACAATAAGATGTTAAATATGAGAAGGAAGAAGTCTTGAAGAAGGATGAAACCATTTACAAATTATCAGATTAAGTAAAATACAAGACTCAGTAATTAGAGGCTCAGAATACTTTGATTAATTAGGTCGAATAAAATAAGTTAAGCTAAACTAATCAAATATTATAATAATCTAATTAATTGACGAATCTATCAAAAGAATTATTTTCTTTAAAGTAACAATTGCAAATAAATGATACTCAAAGTGAATCCTATAAGCGAGAAGTTGAAAGATTAAGAAGAGAATTAGAATTTTAAGAAAAGTAAGTTGAAGAATACAAATAATAAACTAAAAAATTATCATAGCAACTTGACTTTGAAAAGAAACATAGCTAAAAATAAAAAATTTATGAAGCATCTGAATTGTTAAGCAAAATTGACAATACACTCTCTCCAATAAAAGGAGTTAAGGTAATTTACATTATTATTATTTAAAGGGTTAGACTCTATATGGCAGTTCGGACAGCAAAACTTAAAAAAGAATATTCCAACAAAAAACACCGTAAAAGGAATATGGATTTTAGAATTCAAATAGTGCTTCAATGCTTAATGCTTCATTCAATTCATAAGATTAATTAGCTAAAGAAAATAGGAAACTCAAATAAAGTTTAGAATAGAAAATGAAAGTAATTGATTTATAATAACATCAGATTATTGAATAATTGGAACAGGCATTATTACAAAGCGAGTAGACATTGAAGGAAGTGCATGAGAAAGCAAATCAATTTTGTTAACAACAAGAAGATGAAATAAAGCAAATCAAAGATCAATATTCTAGACTTGAACAGGAACATAATACTATATTAGTAATTACATTCTATATTGTAGGCTGAAAGGGAGTATGAGAATTAGCAAATAAATAAATAGAAGGAATAGGCTTTGTTTAAAGTTTAAATTCTATAAGATGAGGTATTGAAATCCAAGAGAGGATCAGTTGGAAGTCAACACATTCCAGGAACAAAATATTCTGAAACTGTGTAGGACATGTCAATGAGAGAGACTCCATCATCATCTCATAGATTTAGACTCTCAGATGGGTAATTTAAATCATATTATGGCGTCGATGCTCATTCAAAGCTAATTTATGACACTGTAATATCCAAATTTGTATCAATAGCAAAAACTATTACTTGAGAATCAAAGACTAAATAGTCAAATGTGCAAATTATACTAGATATTGGGATTAGAAAAAAATAGATCAAACAGACTAGAGGATGGTGAGAAGGTCATCTAATCGGTTCAATTATTATTATAAGAAGTCATTGTATTTAAAACTGAATTATTATTTAAGGATTGCAAATAGGAGATTCAAAATTTGATTTAGGCTTAGCCTTCAAGAAGCTTAAAATATCAATCAATGGAGAAAGATTTACAATAGACTAAATAAAAATATTATGCTTTAGAAAGGAGTCCTAAATTTTGGAATTCTAGCAATGATACTCCAAAAGCTAAATTCTTTAATTACTCAAATTCTTCAGGGAAATGATTTATTGTAATTAATTATTATCATTTACCCAGATATTCATTTTTTATTTTTTGAACTACTTAAATCCAATTGATGGGTTTTGCTTCTGCATCCTTGAATTTATAGAAAAACTGAGATGATTCCAAAATCTAAATATAATTTATAATAAAATACATAGTAAATACCATCCTAAGATATCTTCATTGTATCGTCGATGGGAAGATATTTCTTTTCTCCTTTAATAAAATCAATCAATAGGCAAGGTGGCTTTAAATACCCAAACAAAATAGCAATCTAGGGGATACAAAACCACCTATTAGTATTTAATTGAATAAATCCAACTGATTTATCAAACTACTTTTAACTTGAAGTTTATTGCTGCTCACTATCTAGACTTTTTGATGAGTAAGTAATTTGTTTTTCAAATATTATAGGAGCATTCCTATTCGGGGGAATCTTTTGAGTTCTTTTAAAAATGCTAGGGACTGGAGTTGCTGTTTCTTCTAATTCTTCCATAATTGTTTTTAATCTATCTTGTCTTCTGCGAATCAATTATTATTTCATTTCTACATTGGTTGATGTAGTCTAATAAATTAAACTTGATTTGCTTTAATTTGGAATTATTTCTTAAAAGAGAATTTTGCATTGACTAGGAATTTCAATCTCATCCTACCATGGTACAAAATGTCGAATATTATCAAAATATTTATGTTCTAGAATTAGCTCAGAATCTTCATAGCCTAAACGGTTTTATGGATCCAATGTCAATAATGAACTTATCAGATCAGACACATCCTCTGGTAAACTGTTATCGAGTTAGTAATTTAGAGATAAAATGCTATTAAATACTTCATTCTCACTTTTATTGGAAAAGGGTTATTTCCCATGATAAAACTAAAATTGACATTTGGTTTACTTCATAAATAATGCATCCAAGTGCCCATAAATCAGCTTCTTTTGAGGCTCTACTATGACTGAGCATCTCTGGAGAGATGTATTCAGGAGTTCCTACAAATGTAGATCGATACTCACTAGTTTCATTTTCAATCCTCTTAACTGATTTTACATAGTTTTGTTAAAATTTCTTTATTTGTTCAATTAATTCTGGAGGCTGTCTATGTTCTTCAAAAAAGTAGCATGTTGCAAAATCAGTTAGTCTAAGATTATAACTTTTATCTATAATGATATTTTTTGGTTTAATATCTAAATGAGCTATGCCTTCTTTATGTAAATATATAATTGCAGTGGCTATTTAATGTATATAAATTTTAATAAGATTTTCGACATCCTAAGATTTATCTCTTTTGTATTCCTAGTAAATATCCCATATAATATTTCCCAAATCTCCAAAAGGACAATGCTCACATACAAAATATAAAAACTATTTATCCTAAAAACTCCCTATAAAATCAACCATACCTAACACATAGATCATAACTAACTTGGATGCTTTAATGAATATTATTTCATCATATGTCTTTCAATATAGATTTCTGCTTGTTTATTTGATTGTGTGATTGATTCCTTGAATACTTTCTTGATTGCCACCTTTTTATTGTTCTTCAAATAAACAGCCTCGAAAACCTCGGAATATGCTCCTAATATTAGATTAATCAGGAAGAATGTACCCTAACCAATCATTCCCACGATATAAAAGCTTTTTATAGTCATTTTCTTATCTCTGTTAAGATGGTTCTAGAGCGATACTCCTTTCATAAAATAATTAAATGTATTATTTTTAATATATGTCATCTTCCCCTAAGATTTTACTTAATCATGATAAATGATAAGTCATCAAATCCCAAGAATTCATTAATTTATCTCTGAATATCTAATTCTGATCTTTGATCCATTTATAGCAACGAGAATCTTGGATTCCTCAGATCATCTTCGGTCAGATCTAATCCTATTTTCTTTATTTTCTACTCTTAATTCATTGACCATTCAACATACTTGCTCTCTACTTCATAATTTATCTTGGAATCAGATTCTATTTTTGGATCTATAAATAAAATAAAATTTTTACATTAATCAGTGATCGGGTGCATGGAAACTTCAGTTTATTTCTTAGCTTATTCCAATTTAGGAACAGCATCATATTATTCTTATAATTTCTTTTTCAATTCAGCTGATTTCTGTTTCAGTTAAGTAATTAATTTCCTTTCATCCTCTGATGTTGTAACATCTGTTGTTATTTAAAGATCTTTCATCACATCCTCTATTTTCTCTTTTGATTATTTGAATTATTTAGATTCTTCATATTGTTACTAATTTATTTTAATTTATTATTCTTCCTAGTTTTATACTGATTTTCTGCTAATATTCATTTCGTCAGGTTAAGAAAATTCATCAAAAAATAAGGAGAAGTCAACTCCTTCAAGGCCATCTCTCAGTCCATCTAATTCATTCACTACTTCATCCTACATTTCTTCTGTTTAAGTTTCTGTACTCACCTCAACAAATGGATGATCTTCATTTTCTTTTTAATTCTATTGATCTGCTTCTTCATTTGCAAAGGATTTATAAACATCAATTATATATTAAGCAGGAGATACTTCTTGTTCCTCCTTTTCTTCTTTTTTATAATCTAATTCTACGTCAACGTCATCAAATTGCAAATCCTCATCAAACAATGGGACATCTATTTATAATTGCCTTTTAACTGGTTTTTATTCTTCTACTTCTGTTTCAGTTTTATCAGCAATAATTTCAGATTATACTTCATTTACTAGTTAATCTTAAACAACATCAACAGATTCTATCACTTCAAGAGTCTCCTACTATTATTATTAAGACTATTATAGTTATTAATCTTATTGTTATTATTACTAATCTCCTTATAATTACTATTATAAATTTTACTATTAGTATTGCTAATCTGATTAATATTCTTAATCATCCTATTGTTATTATTACTAATCTAATTGTTATTGCTCTTATTATTATAATTACTATTAAACTTATGATTATTATTATTACTATTGACTAATTATATTTTTATTCTATCCAAACAAATCATCATTAAGTTATTGACTCAATGTGAATTCTTTATATAATGCATCCATATCAAGGTCATCTACAGACTATGGAACTAATTCATATGCTTCTTATATAATAATTTCTTATTAAATTGTGTCTTGAATATTTTACATATCTATCACATTTACTTAATTCACTTATGTTAAAAACTTTTTTTCTTCCTGTTCTTCTAATTGTATTTCTTAATCCACAGCTTAACCTATTATTTCTTAAACTCTTTCGATATGGTTTTCTTCAATTTTTAACAATTCATCCTACACACTCTTGTTTTCAGGTTACAAAAATTAGATATCAACAGATTATATTACTTCGTCTTCAATATTCTATTAAATAGTGTTTATCCCCAAAGTTTCTATTTAGATACTATCAATATCAAGATATTTTTCTTCTTCGTCTTACACTTAGGTTGATTATTCTCCCTTTGATTCTATGGATAGCTTGCTTATAATATCATCAAAAGATAGAACTTAATTTTCCAAAGGTCTAATAATAATAATGAATCAATATTACAATGTTATTGAATCTTCTATATTCTCAACATTAAACTCTAGTTTATTATCTTGCAAAGTAGATGTTATAATCGATTATTAATGTGCAATTTTATCTTCATCACCAAAAACTAAGCAAAGACCCATAGCCTTTTATTTCGTCTGAAAAACTGCCTATGAATCACTTATAGAATTTAATTTGAAGTAAACTTTTTCATTTTGTTACAATTTCAATCCTGTAATAAATGCTGCTACTTATGAATGTTCTATATTAAAAGGAACTTTAATTTCATCTTTTTTTGTTTGGTAATTCTCACAAATAATATTCAAAGAGTTATCGTTAATTGCAAGATAATTGATTTTTATATTAGCAATATTGGAAGAGCTGATTATCTATAAATCAAATCCTTACCTAAGTAAAACATTGTATTTTTACCTCTCAAATTTATATTAATGGCTCTGGTGTAAAGTTCAAACTGATCTCCAATTATTTATTTTATAGATACGACCACTTATGGAATTTCATCAAATTCTTAATCAAATTACACATTCTTATTATGTAACATGTTTGTTTACTTTTGTAAATAGTTAATGCGCTTTTAAATTTTAGAGATCAAGTATTCCATTACTCTACTAAATTCCATTTATACAAATGAATAAAGTCATTACTATTAATAAGCCCATCTTCATTTTCAATATAAAATTATATAAAACGGATGCTTGTAATTATGAAATGAAAATAAATATTATTCATTAATATTCCAAAATACATATAATCCAAACTAATAAGGATGATAAACATTTGCAACAATTGAATAGCAATACAATCTTTACCATGTTTATTCTATTTGAACCCAAGAATATTCTTATTTTTTAACCTTTAGAGAATTAAATTCCTACATTTACAAATATGGCTTAACCAATAATCTAATTTAGCTTTCATTTTTATTAAATTATAAATGAATATAAGTATGTATAATTTCATATTATATTCAATAAATAATGGATTTTCATCATAAAAATAATGAGAGAAATAATAAGTATATGAATGAAAAATGAAATAATTATGATAGAAATGAAAAAGCATTATGAAAGAAATAATGATCGTAACAATGAAAGAAATAACGAAAGAAATGATAGATATGATAATAAAAATGACAGAAAAAGAAAGGATTATCATCATTAGAAGAGAAAAATTAGAAAATATTCGTCAAGTTTGTCAAGACCATCATCTTCAGTTTCTGTTTCAGTTTCCAAATCTGAATCATCATCAAGTTCAGAAAAAGTGCCTCGATGTAGGCCCAAAAATCATGATAATATGGTATTATTATTGGAGAATTACCTGAAAACTTAACTAAGTAATAATTGGATAGTGCATTTAATGAGGCAGTTATGGATGCTAATGTTATTCCTCACGAAGAAACATCTATAATAAATGCATTTGGGTAAGCATATATAAAATATTGCACTATCGATTATGCAAGAAAAGTCTTAATATACTTAAAAGGAAAAAATCAATAGGTGAACATACACTAAATGTTGATTTCTATGATGATACTAGTGGTAGATAGAGAAGAGTAATGACTATAATAATAATAATTAGAATAGACATGAATTAAAAAATAGTTTAATTAATTAGCCTCCTACAAGTTATGATTGGATATGTGATAAATGTGGTTATGAGAATTTTGCAAAAAGACACAAATGCAATAAGTGTTTAAATCCAAGAAATATACATTGTAAATTTTGAGTGTCATGATGGCTCCTACTACTGGATTCACAGATGATTCCATTTGCAATAATAGTTTAATGATAAAAACAAAAGTACATCTTTCCTTATTGAAGTCAAGTCCATAGCTGATGCAACAGATGGTGATATTTTGGATATTTTGCTCCTCTTGCAGCCGATAAAGATATTAGATTGGTCAAAATAAAGTACCAAAGGATCCAAGAATGAAAGAATAAAAAGATTTGCTTTTGTTGAATTCTTTAGTGTTTAAGACGCAGAAAATGTTTATAGATATGTTACTCAAAATGAAGTCAGACTTAATGGTGATTAACTGATAATCTAATACTCCAGAAATAACAGAGCTTCACGATATGAAGACCACTCAAAACCATTTGGGTATTTTATAAGACTAAACTTAGATTCTATCCAAATAACTAATTTGTGATTTAACCATAAGGACACTTACAACCATAGATTCCATCACAACTTAATTCATAATAACAGCCATAATAACCATAGGATATTATTCAATAACAACAATAATCTCAAATTTAAATACCAATTCAAATGTAAATGCCAACACCTCCTCCTATTTCAATCCATTAAATTTCATAAATTCCACCTCTCTCACACAACCAACCAACAAAAACTTAATCTATTCCCAATTACCAAAATAAATGTCAGAAATCTCTATTGTGTAGCCAATAATTTAAGCGCCGTATTAAGCAGCCTAATTGGCTTAAGAGAGAATCATATTGAAATAAGAACAAAAACTTCCTTTATCAACTCTTTCCATGAATCTAATGTCTACACTCCCACCCAAAATTGATAATCCAAAACCTTAATAATAATAGTAACCAATTTAATAATAATCTTAATAATAAAAAAAATAATAAAAAGCTGAAGAGACAGAAGAAGATGTCAAATCTGATAAAGAGGATGATCAGCCGTCTCCTCTACCTGCATAACCTATAAATAAAGTACAACCTCAATTAACTGAAGCCTAAAGAAGGAAAAAAGCTGAATTAGAATTAAAAAAATGGGAAAAATAATAACAAACAAAAATACCAGGATTAAAAGTTCCTCCTTCTAAATCTATTATAAATCAAGTAGAATAGTAACTAGATTGATTTTATATATTTGCCCAATCTGCAGAAGAAAGTTCCAAAGTGAAGAAGTAATGAATTATCATTCTCTCAACTCTGAGATGCATAAGTAAAAATTATTATCAATTTGAATTTATCATTATTCAAAGCTGATTTACTTTCATTGTTTTCTATTTATATCCTTAATTTGTTCAGCAATATCCAATAACTCTTTTCGAATTTAGGCTTTTTGTTTAAAATCTGATTCTTTCTAAGCCTATCTTATTAACTATTCATAACGATCATTCAATTATTTCAATTGATATTCTGTTTCATTATTTCTAGCTGACGTAGGAGGTGATAGCAATTTCTTTTTAGAATGCTGTTATAACAAACTTTAATCAGCTTAAAAATGTAAATCAGACTTAAATGGAGTTGTCTATTTCATGTCTTCTAAACAATCCTTTATTGCTTGCTTTAGAACATTGGATTTAACTAAACTTTATTCAAATCTAGGACTAGACATTTAAGGCTATAAGTATTCAAAATTAAGTTTAGCAACTTTCTAATTATGATTATTTATCTAATATTAAGCAGGATTGTGTGTTGGTATATCTTGATCTGGATCTTCAGAAGAGGATACATTCCTCAATCTTTTACGATTAAATTTATTATTTTTCTCTTCGTATTCCATCCTTAATTATAATTATTGATGCTTTAAACTTAAATCTTTCAATTCTATTGTCAATTTATGTATTTTAGATTAATATTCATTACTTTTGTTTAATAATTCCTAGATTCTTCGAGTCAATTGATCCTCTGTTGATTAACGTTAATTCTACATTTCTTCCATCATTCTCAAAAATGCTCTTTCCTTCTCTTCTAACTAACCTCTATATATCTAAATTTGTTTTTCATATTCTTGCAGTTTAAATATTGGACATCTCTCTCTATAATCTAAATAGTTAGATTCCAATTAGTTTTTCTCATTTTATAATTTTTCATATCTCTTTTCAAGCTTCTTTGAATATGTTTATCCTTATTCTAATCTATGCTTCAAATCCAAGATCTATTCAATCTATTTCTAGTTCTCATCTAATTTTTGTTGATCCACCTTCTGCATCAATCCTCTCTCATTTAGTTTATACTGCTCTAATTGCTTTTACAATTGATCAATTTAACTCTACATCTCTGATCTTTCCTTCTTACCATCCTCTATCTTTTTAACAAGATCTGCAACACGATCTTGGTATTCCTTCAATTATATTAATCTTTCCTATTACAAAGCTTCGATTTATAAAATATAATTATTAATATTTTCTTTATCATTTTATTGTCTTTATAGTTAAATAGATAATGTTTCATTTTAATTTCTCAGTTCTTATATTTACTAAGACAAATTTTCTTCATCGTTAATTTTCATTTTATTACAAGGCTACAAATGAATTTTTTGTGTTTCCATTAATTTTATTTTTTCTTGTAGTGCCTTCATTGCCATTACATATGCATTTGAAGAACTCTTATATCCAGAATTAGTCGTATTCCTTTATTCTCGTTAAAACATTAATTATTTTTGATAAAATGTTTATAATTAATAAATTAATTCTAATCTCATCAACAAAAGTTAAATTTACCATTTCAACACATAATTCATATATATATGTGTAAAAGGCTGCACTAATAACAAGAGAAAGTGCTGTTAAAACTGTTATAGAACTCAGTTCAAGAATATTGTAAATAAATAATCTTTTTAATTTTATCAAGTTACTTCATAAACATATCTATTAAACAAAGAGGGAATTAATAATTAGTAATTCTGATGATAGTTTATTAAACTAAAAAAGAACAAATTGAGCTAGTTTTTGTTCCATAAAATTTATATATTTTCAAATTATTTATCAGATTTTTCTTGAGAATAATTCATTAATAAATTGTTTGTAAAGAAATAAAATGCACATTTAGGGTACATCTTTAAATATTAAATTTTAATGCTTTTCTCCAAATGCTAAAATATTGTATTTTGAAGAATTTATTAAAGCGTATTTAATAATATTATTTTCACATTTCAAGATACAAATTTATGGAACTTTTTTTAAATATATAAGATATACGGAACAGTGATAATAAATTTGTATTAATTTTAATTTATTTTGACCTACCCATTGATAAGATTCCAATAACTTTATAAGTCTACTTATAAAAAAGTGAATTTTCTATGTTCAGCATTAATAGCAAAATTGAGTACTATATAGTTAACATGTGAACCGATAACCAAATTAGAATATTAGAAGGATGATTAATATAGGATAGATTTGGATATCTTGGTAATAAAATAAGTCTAAACCCTAATTATTATGTGTGACTTATTAAAACTTTAATAAATTTCAATTAATTTTATTTGGGTATATATTATAACTTATATTAAATTTCATTGGATAAATAATTATGAATTAGAATATACAATATAATTGAATTTAAGTGAAGGCGGGATGAGAAAATATTTAATTAATGGATTTCGAATTCCCTCAATTATTAAACCCTACCGATAACGAGCCCTTTATTCTGGTTTCCGAATCAAAAGACGTGTTGAATAGTAAGTTATTGACAGCTCGACATGTAAGCCAAAAAGTTCATGAAACTGGAGGAAAATCTGAATTAGTTGTTATTTAAGACTTTTTATAGTAAATATAGCTTAAATATATTAATAAAATAGGGATTTGACCAAAAAGTCTCCATTAGCCTATGTTCCAGATGCTGAATCATAATCTCTTGTTTAAAATTTTAATTCTAAAAAACAAGAGTATGAAAGATAAGTTTAAGATCAAGTTAACTCATTTAAATAGTTGAATTAAAAGTTATAGCAAGGTTATGAGAATGCTTGCAATAACATTGTATCTCAATTGGTTGGTAATGCACAAGGTGAGACTAGCAATGTGTAAAAAGCATTTAATTCCTTGTAGACAGTGTTGAAAAGCGATCCAGAATAAGAAGCTTCAATTCCTAAACCAAAAGAAATTGTAGATAAAGTAATATAAAATTATAAATTTAATAGATTTCTGAATTAAGAGCTGCTCCAGAATTGCCAGAATATTTGTTTACAACCACAAAAAAGGTGAGAGCATGGAGAAATGCCCCAGAAGAATTATGTGTTTGGAATAAAACAAAAGAGCAATTCTATAGAGAAAATTTGGAATAGAGTTTGAATTAGAATGTTTAAGATAGAACTGAATTAGCTTTAAAGTTTTGGAATTCGCAAATTAAGAAATTGGGTGATCAGTTATTGAACATAATCTAAGAAGACTCTTCAATTTAACAATAAAATTTTGTGAATTTGAATATTGAGACTGCTGAAGCATTTGCATTGCTATTAAATACAATGATCACACCAGAAACAAGAATAATACTCCACATTGGAGATTTCACAGCTGCTGAGTCAAAATCAATTGCAGAATCAATTTAGAAATTAACAGGCATATTGAATTTACAAGTTAATTGGAAAGTAAGTGGAAAGGCCTAAGGATTGTCTCATATTGCTTAAGGTATCAAATTAATATAATTTATCTAGCTATTTCTTAAGCAGAGCAACTAAAAGTGTTGACTTTTTCATTCTCCTAATAAGTATAAGCAAATTCTGCCAAAGAATTCTTTACTGAATTTAAGGATGTGAAATTACCGAATTTGGAAGAAGTAAATGTGTTGGCAGAATAATCAAATGTTAATTCAGCAGTGTAACATATTTCTAAGGCAGTTAAATCTGTGGGAGGAAGTTAAGTTAAAAGAGTCTTATTCAACTTTAGGTAGAATATTTATACAATATTTGTAGTCAATCCCAAATTGATAATAAGTCGGCTCAATAATTAGGTGAAGCCTTATCCTCATACAAAGGGGTTAAGAAACTAACATTTAATCTTTCAGGATATTCATTATAAAGCAATTCTATTAAAGACGATGGCTTTAGTGGATTGATCCAACATGTATCAAACTTTGCTGAGAGTCTTGTCGAATTAACAATTAACGTTGGAAGAAACTAATTAACTGATAAATCATTGGCAGACTTAAATAAATAATTCTCTGCCAACAAATGGGTTTCATTAAAGAGTGTTAATATAAGTGTTCATTATAATAAAATTACAGAACAAGGAGCTCGCAAGTTAGGCAAAGTAATGAAATATTTATAATAAATTTAGTTCCTTCATAATTTGCCAATTCTAGTAAACCTTTCAGTAAATTTGAACTCTACAGAAGTTAATAACAAAGGTTTAAGCTTTTTAATTAATTAATTGGGCCCATAAGTAAATGCTTAAATCCAAGCCAAATAATCGAATATTAGTTAGGAAGAAGCAGCCGATTTATAAGGAAAGGTGACATCGTTGAGCATTTGATATGGTTAATTAATTACATTAGCAAATATATATAATTTTATTGTCACTAATTTGCCTTTTTTTTAAATGTTATTTGTGGAGATTCGTTTCTTCTATAAATTTCAGCTTCAGGAGAACTATTTTCTTTTTATTCAAGGAAGGAACTCTATTCTTTCCTATTGATATATTTGTGTATTTTTATACTTTCTAGTTAATATCTCATCATATTTTTGTAATTTTTCAGAGATGAATGTCAATTCTGTAACATATTCCTTCATTCTTGTATTATAGAGATCCTTCATAGCTTCAAAGCACTTTTGTGTTTCCTCTATGCTCTTTACATCCAACGTTGGAATCCTTTCATTAAGATAAAGTTCAACTTTTTCTTAAATCTCTTTTTAACTAATAGGTGTTCCATTTGTTTATGGTAGTAGATTTTATTATTGTGATTAAATCTTTTTATTACTTGAAGTGGATGCCCCTCCTCTTTAATATTATTCTAATTCCCTTATAAGAACTAGCTTTTCTTGTTCTAATCGTTTCACAACAGCTTCCAAATCTACTTTTTCATTTCTCCTTATCTCATTTTCTAGTTGTCCTACTCTTTGACTAAATCTTAAAGTAGATAATGATTCTTCTATGTTATCATTCTCGGAACTAATTGTTGCAATCATCACTGTTTTGCAATTACCTCCTAGAGAATCTTTTAATAAAGTGGTCATCAGAGAGTTTCTATATGGAATATGCTATCTATTGGCTCCCTTCATTCTTTCATTTAAGGCTATAATAACTTATTCTAAGTAAGTTAAAGATAAATTGATGTATTTTGCCTCATTCAATAAATTACCCTCTACTTAAGATTTACTAATTCTTTCTGATCCTGCTAAATCAACTAAATGTAATTTGCTAACAAAACAAGTCTCACTTGTCGTATCATATCCTTCAAGAGTTACTGTAAAAATACAATGAGATCTGGAACTTGATTAATTCATAGGAGTAGAACTAACCTATCTAATAAAATTTCCCATCATCAGCAAATCGATTCCTTCTTGTTCATTATTACATTAATGAATGGATAAGTTTTTTAAATGAATATTGTTCTAATCATCTTCATATAATGCTATCTTAAAATTTATGAAATATTTACTTTATTCCATTATTCTAAGGGAGATTCTAAATGTTTTTTCTCTAATAAATCATAAGCATTTTCATTGTATATCTCCATAAATGAAATATAGATTTTATATTCAAATTTATTTCTTTTATCGATTTCATCAAAAATATAAGAGAGTGCTCTAGGTATAATACCTCTCAACTACCATGTTTCAGCTCCACTCATTGTATAAGTCTTGCCTGATCCTGTTTATCCATATGCAAAAATAGTAGCATTATAGCCATCCAAAAAACTAAATTTGAATAAAATGTTGAATACCTATTGATTACAGGAGTTGTGACATTTGTAAAAACATGTTCTTAACTTGACTTTTGATCGAAAACATGAGTAAAATTAAAATCCAAATTGTCTCTGCTGTTGTTTATCAACCCAAATTTGACATGTTTGGGCAATAATACTTGTAATTTCTTATTTTGATAAATTTAGTATTGCATCGCATTTTAGGATTAGCTACTTTACATGATTACTCTTACTTGTTGGAAGGCTTAAGTCTGAGGTATACTTCGAATTGAGATTTCATAACTGTTAAATATATTAATAAAAAAAGTATCAATTGGAAATTCTAGTTTTTGAAATCACTCTTTTCAACATACTAGCATCTTTTTCATCAATTTCATAGATAAAATTAATTATCTATCTGCATAGAAAACATTCCTTTTGCTTCTAAGCCATTTGGATTGCACATTAATAACAAATTCCTCCGTGACCACACTTCATTAATATTGCATTTGAAGGCTTTTCACAACAAATAATGCATTTATTATTAGAATTATGAGGGCTTGTTTTATTTTTTTTAATAATTTTATTATTCACATTTCTCTCAGTTAATATTTCATTCTAATTTGTATCCTTAAGTGTTACTACTTCTAAATCTTTCAATTATTTAAAGTAAGCATTTGACAGTTTCTACATGAAAATTGATGTAGTTGTTAACTCTTTTTTCATTTATCTTTCCGTATTCTAAGTAGTTATTTTTGGAGATGAATCCCTAGATTCAACTTGATTTATTGATAGAACAAATTCAACAATAGAATTGAAAAGCAAGTAAGAGATGCCACAAAAAAAGAGGATGTTCAAAGAAATTGTAATGTACATAAAAAGATCTCCTATTTCGATGTTTATAGTATTTCCAAGTAAATTCAATGTATTTACTATCCAGATACCTGCGATTAGACTGCTCAAAGAGGCGATATACAATAACCACAAAAGCAATTTAACTAAATTAGATTATAAGGCTATACTTTCATTTTTATGATGGTTTATTATTGCGCTATTGTTGATTCTAATTAATTTTGAAATTAAAATCAATAAAAATGTTATTGTGGATCCTATTAAAGCACTTAAAAACATCCAATACCACCAAAATGTTTATGACCATGTCCAATCTACATATCGATTTAATTTTAATGTAATACAAAATATTGCTATCAATTATGAAAATCGATAAAAGATTTTACTCTATATTATATATACAAAATACTAATCGCACAATTGTTGTATATTCATATTGCTCTTCACATTTTTTATCGCATGCTATCTTGAAAATGAAGGAGAAAACTACAAATATATTGCTAAAAATATAGTAGTTTATCTCTAAATAATAGATAAGTGTGACATACATCTAAATAAATGAAGCAAACTTACATAAAATAATATGTGAAGAACGTGATCGACATTGTCTGTTAACTATCCACCTGAATATTTAATCCAAATCACAAGTTCATTTAATATCATGCAACCGAGAGGTAGAGCCAAGGGAGCACCTTGAAATTAATACAATGTGAACAAGAGAACGACGATATTGATGTAGTTGTATTTGTAAACGAAGTATTTGTAAGTGAATTCCAAGTTCTCCCTTTTAAATATGATAGTATCATTACTTTTACATAATTTTTGCTTTAGTTAAATAATAAAATTACTCAAATTATAGAATTTGTAGATTAAATACCTGAATGTTCTAATTTTAGGTACTTTGGGTAAGAAATCTAATTTAGATTTATACTTTAAGACTGTTATGAAAATAATATATAATTAGAGTAAATTTAGTTGATTATGATGAAATGGATTAATGTAAATAAAGAAATTTCTTTTTGAATTCAAAAATAGGGTTCCCAACCAAATATAATTATTTAACAAAAAATTTGATTTTATTGATAAATTGATATTTATTATAAATTACTAATTTGTATAATTTAATAACTTCATATTTTATCTGAGCTCATTTTGTTCAAACTACCAAAATCGTGCTTACTTCTTTAACTAGTGTGCAAACGCATAGTTGACTTTCTTCTTAATTTACTTGTTAAAGTATCATCCATCTTTTCAGTCTTGATCTCCTCTTCTCTAAATAAGTGGATTTTTTAGCATAATCCTTCCGGAATGAATTTAAAGAGAACAGAAAAGATAATTCCACCAATACCAAAACCAACACATAATAAATGTTACTATAAAGTTAGATGAGACACTTTCACATATTTTCCTCCATATTAAATAAGCAAAACCTAAACAATAACTGTTATTATTTAAACTATCCAAAACAAAGGATTATTACAAAAATTAGCAAAAGGATTCTTAGTGTGATAATCTAATTATCGACAGGAAATTGAATTAAATACTTACATCAACACAAAAGCTTAAAAGAAGATACTCATCTGCACTACATTCTTAGGGTACTTTTATATATATAAATAAAATAGTTACTTTTTAACCAATCAACTCTTTGGGAATGGAACAATCGATGAATTTTGGTAATAGAAATAATATAAATGTAAGAACTATGATTTAATATAAACTCGCCCCAACAATCGTTCTGTACATTGTTGGTGAGACAATCTAATCACTCCTTCGATATGGCTATCTATCTAAGACTTTGATAGAAGGAGGTTCTGTAGCCAAAGCCAAAGAAGCAAAAGTATCCATAATCAAATTAACCCACAGCATCTCTATTGCATTTAACGGGGATTATTTTATTATTACAGCGCCTGTAAATGACATGAATAATGCTACAAGATTGACTGTCAACTAGAATTGGATGAACTTTCTAATACAATCATATATATTTCTACCCCATTTCATGGCTATTTGATAATAAAAAATTGTACCTGTAATAATTGAACTAAAATTATCATCTATTAATATTATATCGGCAGCATCCTTCGCTACATCTGATCCAGTTATTCCCATTGCAAATCCAACATCTGCTTTTTTTAAGGCAGGTGCATCATTTGTTCCATCTCCTGTTACTGCAACAACATTGCCCTCCTAAATCAATCCTGTAACCAATAGATATTTATCCTCAGGTGATGCTCTAGCCATCACTTTCATTTCTCTGCTTATTTTCGAAAAGATCTACATATTTTTAACTACTTTTATCTCTTTTCCTTCTTCGTTTTTAGCACTCACTAGTCCTCCCACTAAATCCCTAAACTTTTTCCCCTCAATTACTTCAAATTCCTACTATGCTCTATTCTTTTCCAATATCCCACATTCAAGTGCAATAGACTAAGCAGTAATTATGTTATCTCCAGTAACCATTCTAACAGTCACCCCAGACTTAGTGCACTATCTAATAGAATCTGCAACATCAGGTCTAATGGGATCTTTGATACCTGCAATGGCAATCAAAGTTAGGTCTTTATCAATGTCATCCTCATTTATTTAATGTACGTGTGCTTTGGCGTTTACAAATCCCTTTATTGCTTAACTTTAAGGTTCTAGATCTTTATAAGCTATGGCTATAGTTCTTAGAGAGTGAGATGCAAAATTTTCAATAACATTATGCAAAATTTCATCCTTTTTCACTTTATCAAGAACTTATTCTACACCATTAGCAGAAACATATCTAAAACATTATGCTAAAATAATTTCAGAAGCTCCTTTGCTAAATATTCTAATTGCTTAATTTTTAGGATTTAATATAGCAGTAACCATCTTCTTTCTTTTGCTACTGAAGGGGATTTGCCTAAGAATCCTTTCATTTAATCTATAATTAGAGTATTTAAATCCAAAGTTATCAGCTAATTCAATTAAAGCACATTCAGTTTTATTCCCTATTTATGTCCATCTGTTGGTATCCCTATCTTTAGTTGGATTTGCAATTGAATTATAACATATAGATTCAGACATAGTCTCAATAGATTATCTTGAAATCTTTGAAGTTACATTTATTTCTTGGTTCATATAAGTATGATTCTCAATCCATAATGCAGTTACTTACATAATATTTTATGTTAATGTTCCTGTCTTATCACTACAAATATTATTTGCACCACCCATTATTTCACATGATGCTAGATTCTTTACTAAATTTTATTCATCTTTCATTTTGCCTACAGAATATGCCAAGGCTATAGTCACTGCTAATGGTAAGCCTTCTGGAACAGCCACAACTATTATTGTTACTCCAATCATAAATGCTTCGATTATTAATTATAAGGATAGCAAAGTAAATAATTCATGTTTATGATCCACGAATACATCATAAATCAAATGACCCATTAATGCAATAAATGTTAGAATAGCTACCAAAGTACCTAATTTTCCAATATTTTCAGCTACTCCTTCTAACTTTTATTACAGAGGAGTTGGAGGATTGTCTTAATTTAATAATAATTTTAACTATCCTTGTATTGTATTTTATCCTACTTGCAATACTAACATATATCCATTTCCATCTAGACATCGAGTGCCACTGATTAAAAATGGACTATAATGATGATGATCCTTGTTATTTGATAATGATTGAATCATTTCATTAAATGGTAATTTTTTTATTTCGTCTGATTCTCCAGTCATTGGAGATTCATCAACCTTAATTTAAGAGCCCTATATCATCAAACCTAAAAATTTATTTAATGAAATACCATCAACTTGGAAAATGTCTCCAATACCAAATTGCAATATATCACCTACAACTATTTCTTTTATTGGTATTTCAACTATTCCACCCCTAACCACTTATACCATTCCATCATCCAATTTACGTCTCAACTATTAAAATTATCTCTCTTTTAAATAATTATTACCAGCTGTTATTGAAACAATTAAAAAAACAGCTAAAAATATTGTTGCTCTAGAAATATGATTAAAGCTATACCCTTCTGTCCATCCTGTTTTAACACCTTCATTTATAATCCCAATAATAGTGCTAACCAGAGCAGCTACTAACAGAATTTACAACATTGTATCCCCAAAACATTCTAAAATTAATTCACATAATTATGCAGGCTCTTTTTCGATTGGATCATTATTTCCAAACTTCTCCCTATTCTCTTGAACTTGAGCTTCAGAATCTATTCCTTTCTATTTTAATTAATTTTCAATTCTACTAATAGATGTGATTTCAATTATTTTGCCAACCCTTAATCACCTCCCAATTTCAAAACTTTCTGAAAACTTGACCCATCATTTATTGAATTCAGAAGGAATAATTCTTTCAACTCTTCAATATTGTGAAATTCTTCAAAATCTCTTGAGTTTTCTTATTTTGAATATTGTTATTGCATTATAAAAATATTAACGATTTTCATAAAATACTATTACTATATTAGTCAGCTCAAGGTTTATAAAATAAAAAGTAAAATGAAAAAGAAATCTATGATGTTGTTGTTTACTTTGGACTTAGAATATTAATTTGAAAGATGAGTTTCTTCACAAAATTTAGGTATTAAATATGCAATTAACTATTTCAATATTTAATTAATATTAATTTACTTTATTACTAAGATATNAAACAAAAACTTTAAAAAGTTGAGAGTATATTAGGAGCTATTGATGGCAATTATTATGAAGACTAATAATTAATTATAATCCTAGATAATAGTCTTATTCTTAAGAGCATAAGTTTTATGAAGACGATAAATGGAATTTATTTTTTATTCTTATCACTTTACTTACCTTATCTAAATCTTATCGAAAGAGTTTCGATTAACTTAAAAAGTTATTTGATCTGAAAAAAAATTTATAATCAAATAATATAAATTACTTGAAACATAATTTTTAAGCACATTTGATGATAAGACTATTGGAAATTTATACTATTCAATGACTAAATTCTTAAAGAAATTATTATATAAGGTTGAGTTTTTAATAGTCGATATCTATATATATATCATTTAATTAGTAATAAACATTTCTTATTCTTCTCTTAATTTGTTATATTCTGATGGAGAAAATTGAAAGACAATGTATTCGTTGATAATGCGTTTATAAATATAGACTAATCTGTAATTTGAGCTTAGATTGGTAATTAATTATTTTGAATTCAAGCTTCTTTCTAAAGTATATTTGGCTTGAGACTGAAAATTAAGGCAACAAAGTAAGTGATAAGTTTATTACCCAAGCTACTTAGCCAATAAAATTAATGAAATTATAGTTGCTATAGATTATGATGAAAAGTTACAATGAGTTCTTAATATTATTTATTTTGCACTACTCAAGTGTGCAACATAATCTTAATGAACTTATATTTAACCTACCAATTTTTTAATTCTTAAATATCCTGTTAAGATTGCAGGTCTTAGAATTCCATAATTCTAAAGTTTAGATTAAAATATATTTGCTTTCTAAGGTTTTTGATCATTTTTATTAGCATCTTTATTTTTATAATTCTTTCTTATATTTTTTTTAATTACGTCATCCAAAGTCATTACATTTTTAGCATTTCCATTTCTTATCTTCAAAATAATACTCTGTTCTATATCTTGATTTTTTTGATACTATTTTTTCAAATAATTATTCTGTTTATTTTATTTGCAGGTGGTGCTAGTTTTCTGTCCTTTCATATGATCTTTGATTTCGTTTTATTAGAAGCTTGCTACTAATTTACTTTTTCTGCCTTGATTTTTTACTTAGCCACTTAAAATTCTAATTCCAAAATTGTTTTTAATTTTTCAAACGAATAAAACAATCTGCTTTTATTTTCAATTACCGATACTACACTGTCGGCGATATTGGCCAGATATAAATCGTTCAACTGCTAACTTTCAGGTTCTATATCTTTATACGCTATGTTATAGTTCTTAGAGAGTGAGATGCAAAATTTTCAATAATATTATGCAAATTTCAACCTTTTCACTTTATCAAGAACTTATTCTCACCATTAGCAGAAATATATTTAAACATTATGCTAAAATAATTTCAGAAGCTCCTTTGCTAAATATTTAATAGTTTAATTATTAGGATTAAAAATAGCAGTAACCATCATCTTTCTTTTACTACTGAAAGGGATTTGTCTAAGAATCCTGTCATTTAATCCTATTATTAGAGTATTAATCCAAAGTTATCAGCTAATTAACTGAAAAACTGCTTAAATTTTATTAATATCCAAAAGGGAATATATAATATCCATCTTTAATCTAAATAGTATTTGATAGCAGAAATATTTACAATTAATTTATTTCACCTGATGGGATTAACTAAATTAACTTCAGAGTATCATAACCTAATAGTCTTCTTATTAGATAGAAAATATAAATTCCTGTTTAATAAAATCACATAGATCATTTATAAAATAATTGATTAGATAAAAATAAATTGATTAGATCAGTAACGTTATTAATTACTTTTACTTAATGGTGCATCATCTTCCAGCCATCTAAACCCTTCTCCATCTTCCCATAAACCCAGACGAACGGTTCCATCAAGAAGATGACACTTTCCTTACCCACTTTATTTTCCATAAGCCCATTATCCATCATATTCTTAGATTTATAATATTTAATTACTTCTTCCATCTGCCCATATATATACTCCTTGACCATGTTTCTTATCATATTAATATTCCCCTTCATATCTTGCTCCATCTCCCCAAGTGGAAAGTCCTCTACCATGCATTTAATTATTTAACCATTCACCATCATATTTCTTATAATTAAATAATTTGATACTTTGCCATCTGCCCAACAATAAATTCCACTTCCACTCTTTTTTCCATCAATCCAATTACCCTCGTATGATGATCCATCATTCCATGTCAATCTACCAAACCCATGTTTTTTCCCTTCTTTAAAACTACCTTCATACTTAGAGCCATTAGCCCAAGTTTCAACTCCATTTCCATCTTATAAATCGTCTTTCCATAATCCTTTATATATAGCTCCATTCACATTTAAATAAACACCAAAGCCATTTTTCTAATCTTCTTTCCATTCCCCTTCATAAATCTCACCATCCACATGCCAAAATTTTCCTTAACCACAAGCTTTATTATCTTTCCATTATCCATCATATCTAACTCCATCAGGCCCTAACTTCAGAATAAGGATTACATGTTTACATTCCAAAACCCTCTCGTACTTATCCTCTCCATTCTCCATCATATATAGCTCCACTTCTAAATGTAAATGGTGGTCTTCTTTCAGGGTATGCATTTTGATCATTTTGATAATTGATTGTTTCCTATCTGTCAGCTAATGAGAAGTATTATTGTAATTATGAATTTGATCTAAACTATTCCGATTGTGCAGACTGTGCAACTTCTGTTTCGAAAGTTTAATTTTAAACTTAACTAAAGTTCTGTTATTATAGATTATCAGCTTCTTTCGTTTAATCATAATTTATTGAATCTTCTTTTTTCTGCATTTTTATTGATTTTATTAATTAATAATAACTTAAGATCTCAACAAAATCATTTAAAAATAATATATATATAACTTTTAAAATCAACAATTACATTCTTTATTTATCTCAATATCATTTACAATTTGTGGTTTACTTGGGTTGCCAATATGATAAAAATTACATAATTAAGAAGCTATGCTCTAAGTTTATTTGCAGATCATTTTCAAACTCTGCAATTATAGAATGACAAAAATATTCGAAAATATTAACCATTAATTGATTTAAGATAGTTGTCAATAAAACCTAGAATATATCTCTAAATACAAAAAAGATTTTAAAATTTAAATTTACTCTTTTAGTATTATGCATAATGCAAGTTATATAATTGTTTAATTAACTGTGACCAATGAGTGAATAATTTATCCTTACAAACTCAGAATGTTAAATAAATGATCATTAACCATATATTAATACTCCACAACCCATTCAACGTACATCCCCTCTAGATATTGGCTCAAGAATAATGAAATGTGTAACATTAATACATACCATAGAAGACCATTTTGCATAAAATTTTTGTAAAATATTTTAGAAAAAAATCTTCAATTCCTTTATCATTAGCATAAATGAATAACTCAAAATCTAATCTTTGAAACAGAATTAAATCATTGAAGATGTTGTTAATAATAAAAAACCACATAATAAAAATAAAACACCAAGCCGTTATTTAAATCAAATCTAATAATATTATAAGAAGAATCCTTCANATATAAATCGTTCAACTGCTAACTTTCAGGTTCTATATCTTTATACGCTATGTTATAGTTCTTAGAGAGTGAGATGCAAAATTTTCAATAATATTATGCAAATTTCAACCTTTTCACTTTATCAAGAACTTATTCTCACCATTAGCAGAAATATATTTAAACATTATGCTAAAATAATTTCAGAAGCTCCTTTGCTAAATATTTAATAGTTTAATTATTAGGATTAAAAATAGCAGTAACCATCATCTTTCTTTTACTACTGAAAGGGATTTGTCTAAGAATCCTGTCATTTAATCCTATTATTAGAGTATTAATCCAAAGTTATCAGCTAATTAACTGAAAAACTGCTTAAATTTTATTAATATCCAAAAGGGAATATATAATATCCATCTTTAATCTAAATAGTATTTGATAGCAGAAATATTTACAATTAATTTATTTCACCTGATGGGATTAACTAAATTAACTTCAGAGTATCATAACCTAATAGTCTTCTTATTAGATAGAAAATATAAATTCCTGTTTAATAAAATCACATAGATCATTTATAAAATAATTGATTAGATAAAAATAAATTGATTAGATCAGTAACGTTATTAATTACTTTTACTTAATGGTGCATCATCTTCCAGCCATCTAAACCCTTCTCCATCTTCCCATAAACCCAGACGAACGGTTCCATCAAGAAGATGACACTTTCCTTACCCACTTTATTTTCCATAAGCCCATTATCCATCATATTCTTAGATTTATAATATTTAATTACTTCTTCCATCTGCCCATATATATACTCCTTGACCATGTTTCTTATCATATTAATATTCCCCTTCATATCTTGCTCCATCTCCCCAAGTGGAAAGTCCTCTACCATGCATTTAATTATTTAACCATTCACCATCATATTTCTTATAATTAAATAATTTGATACTTTGCCATCTGCCCAACAATAAATTCCACTTCCACTCTTTTTTCCATCAATCCAATTACCCTCGTATGATGATCCATCATTCCATGTATATCTACCAAACCCATGTTTTTTCCCTTCTTTAAAACTACCTTCATACTTAGAGCCATTAGCCCAAGTTTCAACTCCATTTCCATCTTATAAATCGTCTTTCCATAATCCTTTATATATAGCTCCATTCACATTTAAATAAACACCAAAGCCATTTTTCTAA